GAAAATAATAATAATTTTCCTAATCACCAAGACTCATTGTTTATCTATTACTTTTAGGTTTACTAATCAGTAAACCACGAGGAGTAGCACAGGAATATAAGCATCCGATCGATCTCTCGTGTAACTAACTGCTTATGAATGTTTTGTACAACACAGCTTGTGTTCTCTCAAATGTTATTGAATATTATTCTCTATCGTCAAGATTGGAATTCTGAGATAAAGGATCACACATTTTTGCGAAGTGGATGGATAATGGGATAATCGTGAGCTATTGATTCCAGTTTCAAAAGGGTAATATTAACCTAATTATAAGCCATGTTAGCAATAATAAGAACACCAGAGCTTTTTTATATAATGAATGTACTTAACTAACTATAACTATTTTGAAATAACCTTAACCCCGATTGCGGTAAATGGGGACATATGAATGTAACATCACAATCAAGGAGGATTGGCTCCCAGAGTGCAACATCGATATTCTGTCCCATATATGAGCATGTCGTGATACAAAATTCCAATTCAAGCATCCGCCATTTTGTTCACTTCAACATTTGAATCGTAAATTTTGGTCTTATTTCCTCACGAAAAATTCCCAAACTCACAAGAAATGATCGAGATATTAGTTCGAATCTTTTGGACCGTTTACTTTGAATTTATAGTCGGTTATAATTTCCAAAAAATAACGACATTTCGACGTTTTCATTGTTGGAAAATATCGAGTGTCGATCCTGGGAGCCAATCCTCCTTGATCACAATTTGGATGACCATTATTCGAACGTGATCCCAATCTTGGATATTGAGCAAAGTTGAATTGGGTTAACACTTGGTCACAATATTCTGTCAAGAACTCAATTACAGTTGTTTAATTCATGTAAGACAATATGTCTCATCATAAACTGAGTCATGGCATCTTTTAAGTAATAAAGGCTCAATATATCGGCATGAAATCTTTTCTTTTGGGAACAGTAGTCGTGCTGATTTGTACCAGAGTGTACAAGAGAAAATTGTCTCAAAATAAATATTAGAGAGATTTCGCCAACTCGTGAAACGACAGCTTATGTTTCACGTAATAGCTATACGTTAGCGATTTGAAATTGGCGTTTCGCAAAAAGATGCACTAATACATATACAAGTAGAACTGTATAATTCATCAATCAATTCTAATGTTCTTTTCACCAAGAAGGATGAATTATTTTCTCATTCAAATTCCTTGTATATAAGGTGTATATTTAGGTAGTAAGTAGAGAGATTTCGCAACGCACTTAGGCGTGTTTATAAATTCCGCATGTTTATAACAACGGATGTGAATTACGTCATCATTTGTTGCGCAGCTCTATCCATTTATACGGAGCCATGACTTATAAGTGGCTCTTTGGCAAAACACCCCTTATTCACGTCACCATACTAGTCAATGGGCAAATGGGCAAACGCCTGGTTTCTTTTCTTCGAGTTATATGGATTTATGTGGCCCCATTGGCCTATCTGAGGTCCAAAAGCAATGTCTAAGCTACATTTTGACACTAAACTCAATAGGGGTCAAACATCTACTTTTTGAAATAATTGGTCAATTGTGACACTACCCCCTCTCTCTGCCGACAGAAATTGAAATTCACAAAATGAAGCCAAAATTAATACGCCATTTGACTCGAAATTTTCCTTCAGATAACCCAAATAAACGTATTTCAGAAGAAATGGCATGTTATCATTGCAAAGAGATGACAACTGTACCTACATACTAGCTTAACTGACTCGCCATGATCACAATTGTGTTGGGACTACATTCATTTTTAAAACTGCGGAAGTGACGTATTAGGGCAGTTTGGCCTTTATGAATGGATAGAGCTGCACAAAAAGTGGTGGCGTAGTACACACACTTTGTAAGTTATCGACACAAAGCATGTTGGAAAGGGAATTCATGATCAATCTTCAATGAGTATCTACCAAACCGAGCAATAATGATTAATTTACATTTTCTACAGGGAACACGCAATAAGTGCGTTGCGAAATCTCTCTGTTGTCCTAGTTTGTATACATATAGTCGCCTACCTTTTTTAAAAAGCGTTTTATAAATAAACCGAATTGGGTCATGACATGAATAAATTGTACCCCGAACAAGAATCACCGAGTCAATGACTACTTATAAACCGGTTATTTATAGCCCATCTGCGACCATTTACACAGATTTGAATAATGCAAACATGTTCTTCTGGGTTGATAAGACGACCCTATTGAACAGGCAGGTTAAAAACGTATGCAGCTCTTCGTGCATGACTTGAAATTATTTCCAAATCCAATAAGTTTAATTTAATTTCCAACTCAGCTGGTAAAGCTCCCATGGCCCCTTGTGACGTTTCGACGTGTTCTACATTGTACGAATAAATCCTATGATGATTAAATAAGCCTATAATATAATGATGGATGTGCATGTAACTAGGTTAATCGAAACATTTATAAACAGCTGGTGGGGGTTTCTGTTATGCGAGAACAAACATGTATATGGAATAAAGAAGGCAAATGTTACAAATGTTATCATTGTATCCCAATATCCCAGATGCGAGTAGAAATAATCTTGATTTACGACATTAAAAATTCACAATTCAGTCAAACTGATGTCATATTTGGAATCTACATGTAAAATTACATTTAGAAATGTGGTTTTGAAAAGAGTTTAACAACTTTGAAAATTTAATTTTCTTTGAAAATGTGACTTCTAGGTCGGGGAGATTCCCCATAGCCCCCATGTTGTTAAATCACAAAAAGTGAAATATCTTTTCTTGTGTTGGGCAGATAATATTTTCTTTTACTGGACATATTTTAATTTGTATAACATTCAGATACATAAAGGTAATATGAAAAGTGAACCACTAAAACTGATGCATATTCAAGTTTAAAGTGTGCGCCTGACCCGGCTACGTATAGCACAGAGTTTATACTGGCGGATTAGACTAGTTCATTTTTTATATGTGTGTGAAAGCTTTCTCTTATTTGCGTTTTTTCGTTTAGTACGGTTTTGTTATAATTGCCGAGGTCATATAACCGGGATAAAACAATGATTTTCGTTGACTGCCCACACACAAAACATACGTTGAGTGAACAGTGTTATTACAAACAACAGGCTTTAGAATACAAAGCGTAGTGTGATAATAAGCTGTACACTACCACTGCTGCATGTACATACATGTATTACTAATTTACTAGGGCTCCCAAAGAGTGGATAGGGAGGTTGTGTTTGTCACTTTTAAATTTTACATTTCAAAATTGTCATTTTACATGTCATAATTTGTTGGTTTCATTCGTTTAGCCAATCAAAACATTGTAAAACAATAAGTCTGTTACGTACAATCAATTTTGTTCAGTTTTTATTAGTTGTCAGAATAAAGTTACGTTCATCTGAATCCATGTATCAAAACAAAAATCCTATTTTCACTTCAAAATACTTCAGTGAGATGAAGGCTCGGAATTGTCGTATTCGTTATTTTATCTTCTCGATAGTAGCATTTAGTCGCACATTTGATGCCAGGTCACCTTGTCGCGTACCTCTTGGGGAACCCCACATTTATGTGTGTACTCATGGAAGTAAATTCCCCGGTGTAGCCGAGAGCCACAAACAGGTTTCAACAGGTTCGAAATGACCAATTTCTCTCATATATACTCTAAATATTTTATTATTTAGCACCTACAAAGTATTGCTAATAACCATATGTAATTTCAATAAGGAAACTTATCTGGCTACATATAAATTCAATATCAACACTAGCTGTTCTCTCAACACGTCCTGGCTTACCTTGTGGTGACAAACCCTGGATTTTCGCTATTTATAGTTTATCAACACCTTGACGCATGCGCATTTTATAGTTTATCGGGCACTTTAAGGGAATTTTGTAATACCCTGTCATGTTAATTCCCCCGAATCAGCCACCTGGTGGCGAAACTGGTAACTACCTACTCGCATCTGAGTAATTATGGCAGAATCGGGACATTTAAATGATGCAAGAATTAAGAGAATAATTGAATCGGTGGTCCTTTTGAAATATGAAAGGTTGTTTTATGCCATAGAATCAACTTATGACCTTATATTGAGGTATCTATTTAACAGTAAACAGAATAATGTCTGAGGCCATGTAATGGTATTGACACCGTGAAGCCTAGAAGATCAGGCATTGTTTCTTGAATAAACCTTTGTGCATTTGAAACAATTTCCAATTCATTGACAGGAGAATTTATATCTTTGAGATAAAATGATCTTGATAACAATCATGAGATAATCATGAAACACAGACGAAGTGAGGTGTTTTTCTTCTCGATTTGACTATCCGGTGACACTTAAGCATGGCCTCACAGCTGGAATATATCTTAAAACTGTAATGCTTTGGCCGTTGATTCACTTTCCGATACAATTTATCAATACGATTTCAGAAAAATATGACACAGTCCAGTTATCTTAACAAACAAAATACTATTAAAAGGTTAATCACGTTTTAATATTTCATCATTGATTATCATATTAAGACAAATCAAAGCCGTTACATTTCCCCCCGTTATGAAAAATTGTTTGTCCAGACTATATGCCGCCTTTATGTCGTGTCTGTGATCAAGCAATCATTATGTTATATAACCAACAACAAACCTATTTAGATTTGTTCATTTTACCTGTCAGAGCGCATGTACCTAGAACACTATATTTCCATAAACATGCATGTAGCAAGGGTAGAACACATTTAAGCAATTGATTTCTGATAGGACAATGAGACTAATTTGGAGTATCTACATTAAATTCATACAATGGAACATAGTTAGTATTAATCAACTCAAACTCATTTACTCCAGAGACGTATATCATTTATTTCCGACGTTTCACATTTCATTTCAAATTACAAGTCTCTGAAGTAAATGAATTTGAGTTAATTAATGTATTACTATAGAGATGAATTTCTAAAGAAATAATTATTGTTTTGAGTATCTTATCTAACTAATAGTAATAACATGTGATGTTTTTACAGATGCTGGGCTTGCGTTAACAAAAAGCGGACATTGAATGCATATATATTCATATACTTACACAAAAAGGATATCACAGTTATAAAGCTGACACATGGCCCTGTCATATTATGTTAGAACGTTTATCCCCCGAAGTCAAATGCTAACAGACTCTGTCGAGATTGAGTAGGAGGGTGAACGTGTTAAGTTATTGTTGGATGCATCGGATCGATAGAACTCTAGAACCGTCTGAAAGTTCCAAAGGCGAAATCATCTAGAAACTAACATGAATACTTTATAGTAATATCGCTTACCTCAGTCAGTCTATAGAAAAACTAATTAGAGAGTAAGATAACGTTAGAGCGCAAGTCAAGACATCTTATGCGAGCTATCAATCTAAACCCTATAATCTGAGATAATGATGGCATTGCGCGTCTTCTGCTAGCATTTAAGGATTAAAAGAAATATTTACAAAGATTGTGAAATAAATTGAGGATCAAATATTCGATATTAGGATAACCTCGTTCTCCCCAGGTCAGTAACTACTTGATTTATCGATCTATGGGTCAAGTCTGTTGATACGCCAATCAATATGTATCGACACGTAATAAGTACGGAACGGCGTCGGAGGCCTTACAAAAGGAGTGCCTCGACCCCGGAGATGGCATCGAAAAGCCTGGCTGAAGCGATGAGTCAAATCGAATGTGAACTTTTGCCTGTGACAGCAGAGCAGGATGAGACCATACTTGAGGATGATAGTAGTGAGGAGATCAATGAGTGCTCTAAGTTGTTGAAACATAACGAGCTTGTGGATAGCAAAACTATGGCGAGTGCTGCACACACAAAAAGTCCTAATGTAGCTCTGGAGACAGCAAAAAAGGAGAAACGAACTAGATTTCAACCTCATAACTCTCATGGATATATGGATATTCATAAGGAAACTGAAACAAATCTCTTGCTCAACCCCGAACACTTGGAAAATGTGGGGACGTCAAGTACGCTTCTAAACAGAGTGAAACAGAAATTAAAATACAAAGTTTTGAGGGCAAGTGAAGTAGTCATGCTCCAAACCCAGTCGGATATTACTGGAACAAGTCAAAGATTCAGCTTGGATAAAAGTGCAATTGCGATGCATGATTTGAACGCGAATAAGCGTCTACAACGGAGCAACAGTACGCTTTCACGAACCAGGTTTCAGACAGAACCTGCCACGTCATTAGATAGACGCTCGAGTTTGAAAGAACAGCGAAAAAGCAGTTTTCGCCGATATCATACAACATCCTGTCAAAGTCCAATTGAAATACTCTCTAATGATATGAAAGCAGCGTCTTTGAAACCACGTAATGATGAAGGTATAGTTTGTTCGAGCGAAGATCTTGAATCGATTTTAGTGGATTTCAAGAAAACTAGTTCAAAACGACCTCCTAACAGAGCCATGTCAATGGACACAAGTGTTGTAAAGAAGCCATCTGACAAACCACGATCAGTAGATCGCTCAATATCTTGCCCAAATTCTGCGGCTATCAGTCATGCCATGAAACTTCACAATACTACTGTAAATGAGACGTTAACAGAGATGGTGGAGCCAGTTAAAGGGAGTCCTAGTCCAGGTGACGATCATGAAAATTTGTATCCAAATGTCTTAGTGAATAAAGGGGCTAAGCCAAAGACTCCAAAAATGGGTAACGTTGATCATGGTCATGTTGACACTCACCTTAACACAAGTGAGAGTTCTCGAATTACAATTGATGGCGATGAGAAAATTACACAAGATGAAGAGACTATAAACCCTCGAAAAGCACCACCGGAAATAGTATTTGATGAGTCTGGTCAGACATGGGATGTATATGGAGCAGAACTCGATCCAGAAATGTTAGGATTGGCCATCCAACGACACCTTGAGTCAATGCTCAATAAGAAACGACTTGCTATGAATGAAATAAGTGAAAAACTTGAAAAGATTGACAATCCGGAATTCAAAAATAACAACACTTTTTCCTCGATTTTTAATTTCTTTTGCTTTTTAAAACCTGACAAAGGGAAATGCTGATACATCGCATCTGTTAAGCTGCTTCCTCAATAACGCATGGCTGGTAAATCAATAGTTTTTATAGATCTGATCATGGTTCGGAGCTGGTAAACAACAAAATTCTTTCAAACCTAGTCTCTTGAAAATAGATTCACGATAAAATACATACACTGTACGTAAGCAGACAGAAACATAAGTTCAATATTCACAGATCTCATCGCCCCGGGACTTGCATTATAATACATATGACTGTACAGTATAGATATATCCATTGAGACCTATATGATTCCACTCGGAAGTGTTATTCATTTTTGAATCGCATGTATGTGTTTGACTGCTTCACCTGTGCATTGTATGATGTTATTTAATGGTTGTGATATATTCTAACATTTCTAATATACACAAAGAAAAAACAAAATATCAATCATTTTCAATTTTCTCCTGCTGTAATGATACAGAAATTACACCTGGTTGCGTGGCTTCAGTTCAGATGATCTTGCCATTGGAGACAAACAAATAGTTCCATTACTTGGCCATTTTTAGGTTTTACAAGTTTCCAAAAAACTATACATTTAGCTGCTTGTAGAATTTCTATAAAATCTATGTTAATAATTTCATAACTTGAATTTATAACATAAAAAGAGATATTTCGACAATGGGAGAGCTGAAATATGTTTTTTCGACAATAAAAGCAGCTATTCCGAGTTATTTTATCAACATGTCTAGACATTATAGTTCATCCTTACACTGCCTGTACAATTTCAAAAAACGCCCGGAAAACGATGCAATACTTTAGATTTATAACATAATAAAACGAATGTAGCGGCCATTTTGAATCTTTGCGATACATTTGGCCGAGACTAAATAGAAAGTATTCATAATCTATTAAGTAAGGTATCTGTGCAATCTCAAGCAAATTGATGATCAAAATTAAAAGAGTTGCAAATACTATGAAGCTGATAGAGATGGACAAATGATGGACGAAAGAAAAGAATCTTTATTTCAGTATATTTTATTACTGTATTCCAGGGTCTCGGATTCATGACGCTGTTCATTGCAACGTTGCCTACGGTGTCTTAGCTCATGACTATGGCAAAAAAGATACAGAAATAGAAATTAACACTTTTCATTTGCATCAACTGTCTGCGAGAGATCTTGCTACATTACAAGATTCCCATTAGGAAATTAACTTTATCGATTTCAAATCCAAGACCTACAAGAAAAAATACAAATTTCTGAAAGGTTTATCACGATGTAGCACTGTTCTGACTTGTGAAAGGATGTATTCTAATCATTATAAATTGGACTATCTCGTGATGTTCATCTAAAAGGGGTGCTCAAACGTAAATCTAGGTTTCTCCGGCCGTAGTCAGTATTGACGAGATAATGGAACTAATGCGTTTGGATTACTATGTTTTATAAGTGATATCAGCAGCTGCTATTAATCTTAATTACGCTAATCGGTTGATCATGAAAATTAAGATTCTTAAGACAGAATTCTTAGTGTTATATCATAAAGTGAAAATAGAGGTATTTAAACCAGAATATTTTCCCCTCGAGGCGCCAAGTAATACCATATAACCCATGGGCGTAGTCAGGGGGGGGGGGTGCGATGGGTCCTATTTTTGGACTCGCTTCGCTCGCGGTGATGCAAATCCAAAAATCGCACCCCCTTGACAATTGCTGGTCACGCCCCTGGAACTTGTTTAAAATATCATACGTCAGATGTTGCTTTAAGTATGCTGTATAATACATTTACACATATTTATATAGATATGAATGGTATATGTGAAAATATAGTGGATAATATTATATAAGAACTCGAAAATTTGACACGTGTCCCTTCATCTAGTTATGCAGTTCTAAAATCTAGTATCCAGGGTACCCCGTTATTTAGTCAATGTAATGACAGAGAAAACATTTTTCATTGTACTTGTTTTCATTTCATTTCACAGAGAACAATTGGCATTTGTTTTAGACTTCGTGAGTGGGCTCTAATCTCCAAACTCTATGATAAATTAATTGATCGTTTCTATCAAATACATTATACACCGTGTTATAGGAGTGCTCAAATATTGGTTATACATGTCCCCTGGGTAATTTTACATCATGATAAAACATTATTCTACGACAGTGTATTATTTTACGTAAAAGTTAGTAAACTACTGATATAAGCATCTACTGCAATTTATTAACGACAATACTTCTAAATTATTTATAAAATTCCGGGTTATTATCCGAAATATCCGATAGTTGTTCATGGTGAAGGTCGAATTTGGCGAGGAATTCATCGAGAATCGTCGATGTCAACAGGAGATATTCCATAGTTCATGGTTGAAGTAATAACTAAATCTAAACTGATCGCCCTCGCCTTCATTTTTTCATTTCCGTCATCTATTATCTGAGTACTACTTGTCGGGTTTATCATATTTCTTTAATTGCTTAAGGATTTGAGCCATGGATCCAATGCTTTGTGTGCTGAACCATTCCATGAAGATGTTGTTTCCAAATCTTTGCATGGCCGCGCAGCGGGATTGGAGGTTCTGGATATGGGGACCTCAAAATCAGGATACGGGATATATCTTATCAACTTATCTCCCTAAAACTCTACTTAGCATAGGGTCAATAGGAATTCAGACGATTGATACAGACGGCCATGAGGCGTATGCCAAAATCCTACGTGATCGTGGGCGAAATGCTAGGTAGCTGGAATTACTTCTATAAAACATGTTCTGTAGATGCAATCTGTAGGTGAATTGGGTTGTTAAGATAATATGTATGACAATGAAATAACAGTTTGAAATATAATGTCTCTTTTATCATTCGAACACTTCGCTATGACATATCCATTTTAGCTGATTGCATCCGGTAACATATTTAACGACGCAAGCTAAATAAGGGCGTTCTGAGTCATTATAACGTAAGATGAGACGATGCCTTCAACCGTCTATCCCAAAGAGACTTCACATTCTAATCATTCATCCAAGTTTATGCTCTTTAGAACTCTTAACATTGTGGTGTAAAGGAGAAATAAAATCATTCAGAATAAGATCTATTGCGTTAACAAAATTACAAGCAACATGTACAATTGACCTACTAATTTATTTCCTACAATCTCAAATACAATATCTCCCAAAAGATTCATAATTTATTACACGTCGCACGAAACTGGGGACAATTAGCGTAACATTATGGCGTCAAAAACCAAGACAAAACAATGAGCAGAATAGGGCGCAAACAGCCTTACAACGTCAAAAACGACAAGCGTCACATTTTTGTCAAGTTTAGTCAACCTAAAAATAAAATACTTTATCCTTATCTAATCATTACAAAATTCACAGGGTAGCAAGATCTCGAGGACAATATTTCTAAAATGTTTTTGAATTTTGAAAAACGTTCAAGAAATCCACTTGGGGCGTTTGTAAAAATTGATATGTATTGAATTTGTGGTAAAAAATCGATGCGTCACATTTTCAAGTCTCGAAAACCAGTTCTTATTTAAATATTATTTGCAAAATAAACAAACTGATTATTGTTTTGTAAATTTCGCCATGACAATATTGTGCAGTTAGTTTTTCTTTCAAATCTGACTTAAATTAGAGGGTTAAATGAAGGTAAACTTATTGCTCGTCCCATTCGCCTTCAAAACCTTACAAAATTTTGAAAATTTTAAAAGCGTTCATATAAGATAATTTGAGCTGGAGCCGTTAAGCAATTGTGACGTCATAAATGAACATGTTCCATTGAATAAATTTTGAAATTTTAGTGGGATTTTGATCATTATTTCAAAAGTTATCCCAATTTCAACGAGCCCTGTAAGCGTAAAGTGTTACGTCTTACAGCGTATTTGACGATGTCGGGATATATTTAACTTTAAAAATATGTTGGATCCCTTCAAAATTTTGAAGGAAAAATAATTTCACTGAAATGCGAATATAAATACTTCAAAATGATATATAAAACACAAAGCTAGCTTTTTAAATAAGGCAGAGATTAACGCTCGAAGCTGAGATTAGCCCGTATTTCCCGAATTGTCCCCAGGTCCGTGCACGTCATAAATATGTTATGAATTGGTGAAGTTATCATGGATTCCAGGGGGGCTGATAGGCAGCAGCGTGGTTCCAACAGAACCATACCCCATACACCCAATGATGCACAATAATGGATTTGGGACCACTTCAATGACCACAGCAGTACAACAGACATTGAATGGGCACCCCATAGCCCAGATATGGCCCCATTTAATCTTTACCAGTGGGGATACCCCAAAGATAGAATGTAGGGTAATAACACCACAGCAACATCAACAAATTGAGATCACATGTCATTGACAGGTTTGGAAAATGTGTGCAGATTTGCCTACAGCACGATGTTGGCCAACTGGGGCACCTTGTTTAAAGTGCTATAACATTGCGACTATCGATCCAATGTTCATGGAATAATATAGTCTAGTACGAAATTGAATGATGTACATGTGTGCCAAATATCAGGGCGAAATTTCTAAAAATCACAAAGATATGAGGAAAAATTAGGGTTGTCGTTTTTTTACCACCATGTACACAAATATGATCTCATGAAATACAGATGAAGTTGGCCAATCATTTAGTATTCTTTTTATATATTGGTATGTGCAAAATTTGAAAGAGCCTTAGCACATTGTCATTTTTTTATATAAATTAATTGTAAATCGCTTACGAGCACATTGTCAGATACAATGGGACTTGTTTTTGGTCCATGAATTGGTCTATTGCTCAACACAAATCGAATTCTGGTACAATTTATGAGAACCTGTATGAAGTAAAATTATAAAATAATATATTCGAATGACAGATCGAGATGCTATAACTCACTAATAAAAACACGAATTCCGCGACATTTAAAAACCATCACTGCTTATATAGGTAAACATACTGAAAACAGGAACATACTGAAAACAGGTACGTTTACCAAAATCTTGATGCGATACCTTCTAGTAAGTGCCATCATCGCGCCTAACTATCGACAACGTACAGTGACAAAATATACGGATGTCCGTTTTAGCTGTACGTTGTCGTGATTGAAGCAAAAATTGAGAAGTAGGTTTTAAAAGATTTATCTAAAAATATTATGAAGTATTTCATGTTTGACTTTTAACTTTTCAATTACGCTAACAGATTCCCGAGCAATGCTCGAATTTTTTCTTTGTAATTCCACCCTCATGATTGACCGGTTGGAAAAGATTGGTAATATTCACATGGACGTAGGAAAGATCCGTGCTCTGCTTGCACGAGAGCAAGCAGTTTACACCCGTATATTTTGTCACTGTACGTTATCGATGGTAAGGCGTGATTATTTGATATAGGGGTTACTTATATAGATAGCTCAACCCATACTACAACTGCGACATCTTTTATAAACATTAGGATGATAACAAAACATCGGCAGCGTACTAGTATAGAGCATGATCAAAATGTTCAGGTGATCGTCATGTTCTGCAATTAGACACGAGTGAACGAGATCCTTAAGACGAGCTGGACGTAAATACGAACGGAACTGTCGTACTTCAGTCCCGGTACTCGGGACTTTTTTAGAACAGGTTGAAATGTCTGAGGACGAATTAAAAGCGAGGTAGAACAAGACAAATCAAGCTGGTTTAAACTGATTATAAGGACGCATTACAGAAGACTGCTATGGAGTCGACCCCGATGCAATTATGGCGGATGGTTGGTGGCAGTGTGAATTTCTAGTCTCCTGGATATGCCTTCATTGTTTATGACTTATATGGTACATGTATTAAAAAGTATTCAATCGTATTTTGGCATTCTTGTTAAAATATAGAGGTGCTTAAAGGGAAAACTTGGTACTGTTACCTAGCTTGCAATAGTATAGTTTCTAAATAGCTAAATAAAGCTGAATAAAGCTGACATAATAGATGTCACCTTTGCTCATCTTGGGCCAACCTTCCATTGAGTTCTATGCTAAAAGCTTGCAATAGTCACTTAATTTCATGATTTATCAAAGAGTGTTAGTTAAATCTGTCTGAAATTTGAATGGCATACTATTAAATGACCCTGTCAATGAACATATTGTGATTAAACATGAAAATGTTGGTTGTCATACGATTAAACCATGTTTTAGCATAACATCAATGGAGATTTGGCCCAAGTTTTTTTAAAATGTCATGGAGAATAATTTAAATGACATAAATGTGTAAATCAAAACTATTAATTGTAGAAAACATATCACTGAATTCAAATATGCTATTAAAAAGAAAGAAAAGTAAGTCATTAGAGGTAAAATGTGCAAATCTCTTAAAATCTTATGAAAAATCGAGAATTAGCGAGATTTCAAAATCATTCAGAAACTCCTCTATTGAAGGAATACAGACGACAGTTCAGTTGACTTCTGACAAGGCTACTGTGCATGTTGTAGTAGTATTTGTGCAAGATCATCCATTCTTTAGGAGCGTTTATAATTGAATCAATTCGAGTCAAAATGGATGATATTGCAAACAGCACTACTTTTTCTCACTATGATTCTAGTTCGAGCCATATTCTCTAACGTTATACAGTCAGGTTCAGTAACTGCGTCAACATTTTAAATTCGTATGTTCATCAACATTTTCTGAGAAGGGTGCCACAATTGAAGTAAACTTGTAGTATTATATATATTATAATTTAATATTAGAAAGGTTTGTTAAAATATTTCAGTTTATTTGTCAAATTGTTTTACTTGTACGTAATAAAAGCATCATGATAACGTAACACCTTCCCCAAAGAAGATACAAAATGTGGTAGATGTTGCGTTATCATGATGCTTTTGTTATGTAGAAGTAAAAAAATTTGACCAATCGACTGAAATCTTATATAACGAATATTTCCAATATTATATTTTACCAATCTTCAATATGATTAAAAGCCCACCCCTAACATTTGGTTGACAAATTAATGATCTTAAGAATTTACCAAACCCTTATAGATGTACATGTACCATGATCTTTATGTTACGGAGCAGTATGTCCAAGTTACGTTTAACGCCAGTGGTAGAACAAAGGTCCATATGAGGTATGGCAAGTGATTTTAAACAGTCACGTCTTTCACCAAGATTACCTTCTGGGTATAAATAGAGTATGGAATGGTTCTTTATTTCCTCCAATTAGGAGAGCAAAATTTTTCAAAAATGTTAAACTTATTTACTCAAAAATTGTTGACTTGGGGTTTTGTTCCATGAAAAAATCAATTTATTTATATCTCTAGTTCATCAACACTGCCGCCATCTTGTTCTGTGTGTCTTTAGTCTAGGTTGAGTTAGCAAGGTTGAGTTCAATAAAGCTGAATCAATTTCATGAACTTGTGATATTTGTTTAATTAGTGCATTCGTGTCAAAACAATGTAAGTTGACATTCTTTTAATCTGCCGATTTATTCTCGAAATCGTTGTTCCCTCTTCAAAAGAGGAGACGCGAAAATCTTTCCTTATAAGGTCAAAATATTTCCCATGATGCAGTTCGCAGAGGAACAAATTTATACTTCCTTGTTTTCCCTCATAGGTTTAACATGGGGATTTTCACACCTATTTTTCAAACGATATATTCGTTCATATTCCCGTACGAGAGTACAGAAAAAATTATTAGAAACGATTGGTCTCTTATTAGTCTTAATATAACAGCTATTTTTTCATTGTATTGATTCATACCGTGGTGAAAACGATGATTGAAAAGTGAGAAAATATTCCGGAAGAGAAGGTCACGTGATCAGTTGACTAGTCGCCATTTTGGAAAAACAATTCTATTCGACTTTCAATACTTCCTGACAATCTTACCGCCCTACAAACTGCAACATCGATGCAACAACTGAATAAAAGTATTCATCTTCAAATTACATTATAGAGTTACGTTGAAAACCCACAAACAACTGAGCAGTAGACCAAAGAAGACGCGTCGCTATTATCTAGGTCAATCTGTTCAGTGGTCCGAAAGCAAATCTATAATACTCGTTTCCGAATTTTGTTGGTCATTGTACAATCTTTTATTGATTAAACTCGGTATACTGACTATTAAAGCAATGGCAACGAAGAATACTTCCGATGGTGTCATTGTTTTATTTAGCGTGCGGGTGTAAAAACAAAATTGCGTAATTAGTTTGATTTAGAACTTTCGGGTCACGCAAATAGCTACGCGAAATGCATAGTGGGAAAATATTGACCAATCAAATGTTGTCCTTTTTGAGTGCTTTTTAAGTACATATTTGCGAACGTTCTGATTCAAAGAGCGAACCGCGAAAGGGAGAATTCTATTTATCTTTCATTTATCAGTTATTTATGTATAGTTTTATGATCTGTAGAACAATTATTAAAGTAGTTTTAAGCTAACATGACGCTGAAGAGACGATATTCGCAGTATGCGATTGTACTAGGTACGTAACATCCGTCGTATATTATGAATTTTCGGGCAATATAGTACTTTATAATCTCAAAAGTATTGTCAAAAAGAAAATTCGTAGCAACAGTGATATTTTGATATATCTGCCTTTACATCTGCTTTTACTAAAGCTAATAATTGAACTATTATTCTTTACAATATCTTAATACAGTCTAATCATGTTTTTTTTATTCCAGTTCTTTTCGGACTTGCTAGCTTCGTAAAAAACCAAGGTAAGGAGTCCACATTTTCTTGTTGACAAAATTTAGACTACGAGGCATGCGCAGATCCGACGTTTTTACGACTAAAAAATGAGAAAACGATGTCCCTTTATTTGTACTTATACTCCAAATAACAATCGAATTTTGCTTCGTTTTGTCTCACCGAATTGAATTTGCTATGCCTAGTTTCAGATCCTGTACTATTGAAGTATGACTAAAACCCGAAAAAGACCCCTGCTTACGGTTTACCTCCTCTTCAAGAATCGTATTTGCTATAAGATTTGAATTGTTTGAGACATTTTCAGAAAAACTGTTGGCTTTTTCAAATATGTGAATATCATACAATTTTTTCAGGAAAGGTTTTTAGATCATCAAATACAACACTTTTAACAATACTTGTAAAATACGTTATTTTTACACTCTTTTAGGATACATCAAGTAAAAGTACCTTTAACAATTTAAATTCATTTTTATACATACCCAACGTTTTATAGCGTTTTAAACTCTGTGAGGTCATCAGATTATGCTGTGATGTCATATTTAGTGCGTTGTTTTTTGTTAGTTCATAATTTTTCATTTTACAAATCTTTTCTTAATATTTTTAACATACAATTAATGACGAACATACATGTTAACAGCTCAACACTAAACCAAAACAAAAAATAAACAACCCATTATAAGAAATTGGGACTTTTAGCTCCATAATAACCACATGAAACTGGATTTAGTTGAGCAGCTTAAAAATCCATGCAAATATAATATGTATTATGTAAGGCCAGATATCGCCCTCAAAGCCGATTGAATCTTTACTCTGGGATTGAATTTCATTTATTTTAAAATACCAAGTCCAGAATCAAATATAATTTGTCTAGAACCGTTCAAGATCGTGTTCAGATAGGACGACCCATTATGAATTGCCAAAACTATTTTTCCTCGGGTCAGCATTGAAATTCATTGAAACCATTTAAAGGTAAACACAATCCATTATTTGTTTAATGCATCTTCGCAAATACAGGTGTGGTATGTGGTTTTGGTTCTCAAATGGGAGTGAATCGAAAACATTGGGCTATGAAGTATCCCGATTTAAATATTTAACCAATTTTGCAGCAATATCACGATGCTTCATTGGTACTGAAAACAACAGCTACTGCTTTCACTTTTCTCCATCACCGAAAACATGGTCAGACGCCCAACATTTTTGTGAAAGTACCTTTGGTGGAAATCTTGCTACCATCGATTCGCAAGATAAATTTGACTTTGTCGACAGTACAATAAAGTAGGTCATATATTTACCAATATTTTTACGACACAAATGAACAATGCAAGACAAGCTGTCTAATGCAATTACAACAAAACATTACAGAGATAACAAATTTGAAACTCACAAGCACAAAGATATCTGAATAATAGAAAAAAATAAAAACAGAATGCTTGAACGAGGCTTAAAGTGTGAGCATGAACATTTGTAAAGCCATTTCAAACTGGATTTCCCGAAACTCGTTCCTGTTTCCCTTGTTGACACATTCTAAATACTAAAACCACGCGGTACAAACTTCGTCCGTTAATTTGAATTTTTGACCTACCAGATGTTTGGAAACCAAGAATTACGACTCCATACTGCACCGTTTTTCTTCAAACTGGTTCCATTCTCTGCACTAACTGAGGAATACTTAAGGGATTTTATGTTTAATTTCGTGTGTATTCAATTTGGAAGACATTTATCTTTCTAATTCAATGAAAAGATTTTCGGGCAGTGCTCGAGTTTTTTTGTAGTAAATCTACCCACCAATAATGATCGGTTGGAAAATGTTGTTTTTTCACATTTCCTTTGATCATTTTTCCCCTGTCGCCTAAGAGTGTCGAGAATATGTTTCCCAAAGTTACAAAATTAAGGTCGATTGAATATTTAATAAATATTCACGTTTTTGCTAAAATAATAAAAATAAAAAATCATAAGTGTACATTGTCATCTCGATGTACGTTGTCCCATTGAACTTACATATCTGAATTCAAAGTTAACCCTTATGTAGACAACGTATTTTTCATTACACTAAGGGCCAGGGGGATCAGATTCATTTAAAACTGAAACGGAACAATCCAGTATTACTTATTCAACTTGATTGAACTATATTGAACCTTTGCACTTTTCAGAAAGTCATCTTCGATAAGCTATAGATCTCTCCATGAACTCCTTAAGATATTAAAATTCATAAAAGTACAACATAACGTAATGTACCGACGCCGAAGGGTCAAAGAGGTTGGAAGATAACACCCCATGGTAAAATATTTATCACCATATCAACACTTTCATAAAATAAAATAGCATTCAACTAGAGGTAAAAATCACTTTTATCTGTTTATCTGTACCAGGGATACATGAACATGTTCGTTGAACAACACTTGATTCTCATAAAACCCTTAATGTGTTTTGAAATTAAATCATTGCATTGTTTACATTTCAATTACAGGGAGAGTGTACATTGAAGATGACAATGTACAGTTTTGATTTTTTAAATTATACCAAATACATGAATATTTATAAAACCTTCAACCGTCTTAAATTGTGTCGTTTAGAGAAACATATTTACATAAAAAAATATTCGTCACTCTTAGACGACAGGGGAGAAAATGATCAAAGGAAATGTGTAAAAAACACATTTTTCCAACCGACCAATTGCATGGATAGATTAACAACGAAAAAATCGAGCACTGCTCGAAAATCTTTTAACGTAATTAGAAAGGTAAATGTCTTCCAAATCGAATACACACGAAATCAAACATGAAATCCTTTATGTACTCCTCAAATTAATTTTTGAAAACCCCAATCAAACCTACATCATAGTTTTCGCTTCAAATCAGTTAATAGTGACACCGTACACCTAAAGTGTACGACGGTATATCATGTCACTGTACTTTGTCGATGATTAGGCGTTTGAATGGAACAAGTTTGAAGAAAAACGTTGCAGCATGAGACTCGCAATCCTTGATTTTCAAACATCTGGTGGGTCAAAAATTCAAATTAACAGTCGAAGTTAGTACCGCGTGAAAACGAGATAATAAATTAAGTTTAAATCAATATATTAATTGGCTTTTTTGCCTTTTCATTTCGATTTTCACTTTAAATCATAGCCCCCCTCAAAACTACTGGTTGGGTTTGAAGAAGAATGAAAGTTTCGGCTGGATATCATTCGAATCGGTGACATTTACCAATTGGGCGACCAATGAGCCTCTTGGGGAAATGTATTCACGCTCCGTGGCAAACAGTTTTCTTGAATGGAAAGCTAGTTCGGGCAGTGAGTTACGTCCATATCTTTGCGAACAAGGTAACTCCAATATTTGTGTACACCAGGATATATTTTGTTACGTGCAATATTGTCATTCTTTCATCTTTGGATTTATATTCACAAACCGATGAGATCTTTAGTAGACCTTCTTTTATTGGGATTGCAAATTCAAAATTAACGGCAGACATTTTTGAATTTAAGCACATCAGTGTATCAGCACTAACTCAATAGGCGAAGATTTGTGTCTGCCATATATTTAGTAGTAGACCATCCTGATATTTTGTGTGAATTTAATCATTTATAACCGTAAACCCTTCAGTTGTTGAAAATAAAAAGTAGGTTTGCATGCATGAAAGTCATTTTCTTTGTAGCTGCTTCGGGACCGAACAATCAACCTTGCCCTGCTGTTGATCCAGAAAAGACTATATCAATAGATGATGCGGTAGGCATAGATTTCAATGTGGAAAACATACTTAACTACCCCGTGCGAATTAATTGGCGTGATTATAGCAGCATCGAGTCGTTCAATGTGTCGATATCTGCAGGAGGGACAGTTCCCGTGTTTACCTATGAAACACACCTATGGGTGGCTAGGAATGATACTGATGATAGACTTGAAATAAATGGACTGTGTGTATATAACTTTACAGCTGAAGACAGCATCAACCAACCGATAAATGTGGTCATTTCAGGTGACTTTTTGCATCTACCATATGAACTTCGAATGTTGAAACACATTTAACGATCGTATCGATGGAAGAAGTTCATTTTTTTTATTCCGTCACATCATTCTGTGCCATGCCTATTTTAGTAAAATCTGGCAGTTTTAGCTTTATTCAGGATTATCCTTCGATTTCTAAGGTTATCTGTTGGACCCTTTTCAATTCTAATGAAATAGGATCGTGTCTTAAATAATCACTCAATGGCCTATTTACGATCACATATTGTAAAATAAAACAAGGATTATAAGAGAAGCAATGGTGACTTTTTGAAAAAATATTTACCCTCTCTAGTCTGCTCAATTGTATTAGTTACTGAAAAGGGAAAGCAGAACATCACTATAACTTCCGCCTGTTTCTCATGACATCCTGTTTTGTTAGAGAACACTGATAGTTGTCCAGCAGGATGGTACAGCTTCCAGGATAGCTGCTACGTGTCTAGTGAATCACTCGGATTAGTGGATACTAACTGGACAGATGGTAAACAGGCATGTATTGACCTTGGTGGCCATCTAGTAACGATAACATCAAGTGAAGAGAATCAAGAAGTGGCGAGTTTACAGTGAGTCGTGACATTCCAAACGGATAAGTTTACTGACTTTTAGGGGAAAGTCACAATAGACACAATAAGTAGAAACCAGGATCCCAGAAAGCCAGAAATATGACCTGTTGAACCATAATTTTTATTACGTCTTTAGTACTGGTATTGCTCCACGTCTGATTCCTGTATTTAAGAGGAGGCACTTTTTGTAAAAAGGGGCTTGGAGGTGGCACTTATACAAAGGCAATTGCCGTTGTATAACTATAATATTGAGAGGTCTAAGAAAATGTTTTATATGCTATTTTGTTCCATTAGGTTCGGAAAGACATTTTATTTCGTTCTCAAAAATTGGTAGAAAGGTACAAAAACAATTGCACTAAAAACAAAAAGTGTTAACAAAAACAACGTTACATAAAGGATTGAGTTTTTTACAAAATGTTTTCAATAATTGGTTTAAGAGAAAAATATTGTTGAATTCAGTTCACCATATCGATAGCTATTCTTTTATATTTCAATAATTTTATTCTTATATGAAAGCATGTACTCGGGGTGGAAGGTGTGAGAATTGTGCAAAAAATGACTTTATGAGCTGGATGGAGTTTCTCTGTATATTTCACTCTATTAGGGTTTCCTGCATAAGGGATTTCGCCTGCGAAGCATATAACTCTTGCGAACATATCCAAATATTGGTCCAAAGAAGACATACCTTGAATTTTTTAGAAAAAAATTGGCTAAAAATGGAAACTACAAAAAGTCAAAATGTTCAACTCAAACAAAACTCTAGCTATTTAATATTAACACTATGTATTATTTAATGTTTTTCAGATGTTTAAGGACCTTCATTAGTGTACTAGTGTCTAGAAATAAGATAATTAAGGACAAAATTTGGCATTTTTGATCATTTTCGCTTTCAGCAGTAACATATAGTTCCTTATATCTTGAGTTTAATGTTGACTGGTTGTTGCAATTTTGATCAAATCTGTTCGTGTACATGTCTTCATCAATTTAAGGTATAGAAAATGTATATTGGACCACCAATGGTCATATTAGAGCTTTCAGATCTCCCCTACCCCATTTATTATGAAAAATTACTGAAACATATGAAAATGTAACATTACTTGAGTTTATAAACTTTAACAATGTTGTAGCTATTCTATATCAATATAATGTATTAATTTATGTTTTTCAGATATTTCAGAACCTTTATTGGTATACTAGTGCCTAGAAATGAGACATTTAAGGACAAAACTTGGCATTTTTAAAAATAATTTTAGCTTTCAGCAGTAATATATAGTTCCTCATATATTGAGTTTTATGTTTACTGGTTGTTGCAATTTTAATCAAATCTGTTTTTGTACATGTCTTCTTCCATTTAAGGTATAGAAAATGTAAATTGGACCACCAATGGTCATATTAGAGCTTTCAGATCTCCCCTATCCCATTTATAATGAAATATTATAAGAAAATTATGAAAATATAAAATAACTTGAAACTATCAACTTTAATAAAGTTGTAGCTATTCTATATCAATATTATGTGTTATTTAATGCTTTTCAGATATTTCAGAACCTTTATTGGTAAACTAGTGCCCAGAAATGAGACATTTAAGGACAAAACATGGCTTTTTTTACCATTTTCACTTTCAGCAATAACATATAGGTCCTTATATCTTGAGTTAAATGCTGACTGGTTGGTGCATTCTTAGTCAAATTTGTTCTTGCAGATGTCTTCTTTCATTTAAGATATAAAAAATGTATAGTGGATGACCAATGTTCATATTAGAGCTTTCAGATCTCCCCTACCCCATTTATTAGGAAAAATGACCGGAAAATATTAATAAAAAGTAAAATAACTTCAAATTATGAACTTTTACAAAGTTGTACCTATTTTATGTCAATACTATGTATCATTTAATCTTTTTCTGATTTTTCAGGACCCTCATTAATATTCTAATGCCTAGAAATGAGATATTTAAGGACAAAACTTGGCTTTTTTTTCATTTTCGCTTTCAGCAATAACGTATAGGTCCCTATATCTTGAGTTTTATGCTGACTGGTTGGTGCATTCTTGGTCAGATCTGTTCTTGTACATGTCTTCTTCCATTTAGGATATAAAAAATGGATATTGGACAACCAATGTTGATATTAGAGCTTTCATGTCTCCCCTGTCCCATTTATAATGTAAATGAAAAAGTAATTTCAAATCATAAACTTTAACAAAATTGTAGCTATTCTCTATCAATACTATGTATTATTTAGTGTAACCTTCATTTGATTACATGTGTCTAAAATTTGGCATTTTTAGCATTCTGCATTTAGCAGTAGCATATAATTTTCCACAATTATAATTCTTTGATGATAGATTCATATATGTTTTTTATTGAATCTGTCTTCTTTGATTTAAGTTAAAGTAAATGTATGTAAGACAGTGGATGTTTTTATTAGAGGTCTAAGATCTGCCCTCCAACATTTAATAAGAAAACCAACACAAATGTTGTTATTGCAAGTTAATTTCAAAAGTTTAGCACATTTATTGGCACACTGAAATAAAAAATGAAACATAAATGGGCAAAATGACCTATTTTTCACTTTCAGCACTAGTTGTTTATATTTTTAGTTGAATGGTGATTAGTTGACATATTTTAGATCATATTTATTCAATTATGTGTCTTGTTATCTTCAAAGCATGGAAAATGTGTTTTAAACACAAATATACATACATGTATTAGAGATAAATTACTACACTACCATTTTTTAAAAATATTACTCAAAAATAGAATAGTGCGAAATAATTTTGTAATTTCACAGTTTACTCTCATATGAATCAAAGGATATGTCTATATATAAACATGATTGTTCACAACTCTCGAACTTATCCAGCAACAGCCTGATTTTTCAAATCTCCCTGGTTCTATGTTAGAGCTGCATTTAAGTCATTTTAAAGGTCTAAGATGCTCATGACACCACAAACTATATATTCAGATATGTTAGATCTCTAAATAATTTTTATAGTTCTGGGAAACTCATCCTAAAATATTGTCCAACGATGTGCACTATGTTGTTTATTGCCACATGGACAAGTAGCAACACACCCTTGACTAGAAACTTTGTATTTGCAATTTTCGCTGCCTTTTGTCATTTTACATTTGCCAATTGCCAAGGACATATGTTTCTTGTGTTGCTATGAAGGTTTGTCTGTGAGTACTGGTACAAGACACCCATCTTTGATATATCTTCAAATAGGTATTGCACTTTGAGATTCATATAGTAATTTAGAATGCTACCTTGAAGGACATAAGAAACTTTAAAAGCTCTTTTTAACTCTCATCCTTCTTTGCAAGCAACATTCTGTATCATCAGACTAAATACAAATTCTCTCAACATTGAGCTCCTTTGTCTTGTCTGCAGCACTGTAATAGACATGGGCCATAAGGAGAGTGTCAACTTCTTCATGATCAGTATTTGATAGATTGTCTATAAGTTGCAACTATCAGTTTTGCAAAGTTCAATAGCAGCTCAGCCATAAGTGAAATTCATCCCATTTTAGAGATACAGTAACATTGCTTCACAAACCAAAGACAGCTTACCATTTTGTAATTCTTTCCAAAATCATCTTGTTGGCTGTTCTTCATTTCACAATGTTTGCATTTACCAAAATATCCCCAAGCCCAATATCCATCATGAACTTCCCACCCTTAGGTGTAATATGGAAATCACCAAGCCTATGACAACATTGCAATTGATAATGAGGGAATTCAACCAATATGGCTTGATCACTGGTTATAATTATCACAGTTATATACCCCATTACTTTTAGATATATTCCAAGTGTTGTACTATACATTGCATAGATTCATGAGCAGTTTGCAACGTATTATTACCAGAAAGCCCAATGGACAAAGATAGAGAATACCCGCCCCATTGATACAGCTCAACTTTAAATGCCTATTTTTTAGACTTGTATACTCATAAGTTCCTGACACATCTGAAAAATATCAAATAATACATATTATTATATCACTATCTAGCTAGCGACATTATGATTGGTCAAAACCGGGTCACATGTCCTGAGATATCTGGCGATATTCAATGGCAATGCTAATCAGATAAGACAACCGTGAGATATCTAGCGATATCCCACGCTCCCGGGAATTTTCAAAGAATTTGTTTTCGTTCAGTGTAAATAATTTAGTTCAGTGTAAGTCAAAATGGCAGACGGACCGAGTAGATTCAATGTATTTCAATGTTAACCTATGACTTAATAATATTAGGGATGTTTAGCTAGACAGTGATATAATAAAACAAATATTTCACTCTATTTTCGGTGAATACCTGTAGTTCTTTCACAAGGTGATATTCCACTTGCCCTTCGGGCTTCGTGGAATATCACTTGTGAAAGATGTACAGGTATTCACCTCAATAGAGTGAAATATTTGTTCAGTATTGATCTAGAATATCGACAACTTTGTTAAAATCTATACTTTGAAATTATTTGGTTTTTATATTTCTGGTTATTTTTTCAAAATAAATGGGGTAGGGGAGATATGTAAGCTCTAATATAATGGCAGGCTTTCCAATATACATTTTTAAATACCTTAAATCAAAGTAGGCAGGCAAAAGAACAGATTTGATCAAGAATCCATAAACCAATCAGCATAAAACTCAAGATATAAGGAACTATATGTTATTGCTAAAAGTGGAAATGATGAAAAATTGATGAAAAAAGCCAAATTTTGTTCTTAAATGTCTAATTTCTCGACACTAGTATACTACCCTGCGTGCAGAGTCTAGTAAAACTACACTCTGCCTAGTAGATACCATATTACAGTTTAGTAGCCCCACCCCCACGACAGGTACCGGTGACAGTTTTGGTAATAAATCACTTTTGACCTACGCGCTGACCTTTCTTCCACCAATCAGCGAGCTTGAAGAAACATACGCCAAATGCGTTCTTATTAAATAAGCGCATGCCATTGGTCAATTACGGGCTCAACGATGACGTCAGAAGGAATGACCATATATAGAACGTCGGTCAAATTTGGCCAACGAACACTGATTGGCGCGGTGAGTTCACAGGTTTATTTTAGTTTGAAAGAGTGAAGACGAAGCTCTCTTTTAAGAAGTGAAGTCAAACAAATGCAAAGGGTACTAGTATACTAATGAAGGTCCTGAAACATTAATTATAGCAATCAATAACACATAAAGAATAGCTACATCTTTGTTAAAGTGTATACTGGTAGTTTGAAGTTATTTTTTATATTTTCCAGTCATCTTCCCTAATAAATGGGGTAGGGGAGATTTGAAAGCTCTAATATGAACATTGTTTGTCCACTATACATTTTCAGTACCTTAAATGGAATAAGACATGTACAAGAACAGATTTAATCAAAAATGCATCAACCAGTCAGCATAAAACTCAAGATATGAGGATCTATATGTTACTGCTGAAAGCAGCATTGATTAAAAAATGCCAAGTTTTGTCCTTAAATGTCTCATTTCCAGCCACTTGAATACCAATAAAAGTTCTGAAAAATCTTAAAAACATTAAATAACACATAATATTGATATAGAATAGCTACAACTTTATGAAAGTCTATAATTTTAAGTTATTTTGTTTTTTCATATTTCTCGTTTATTTTCCATAATTGATGGGGTAGAGGAGATCTGAAAGCTCTAATATGAACATTGGTTGTCCACTATACATTTTCTATACCTTAAATGGAAGAAGACATGCACAAGAACAGATTTGATTGAAAATGCAACAATCAGACAGCATAAAACTCAAGATATGAGGAACTATATGTTACTGCTGAAAGCGAAAATGATAAAAAAAAGCCAAGTTTTGTCCTTAAATGTCTCATTTCTAGCCACTTGAATACCAATAAAAGTTCTGAAAAATCTTAAAAACATTAAATAACACATAATGTTGACATAGAATAGCTACAACTTTGTTAAAGTTTATAATTTCAAGTTATTTTATTTTTTCATATTTTTCGGTAACTTTCCATAATAAATGGGGTAGGGGAGATCTGAAAGCTCTCATACGAACATTGGTTGTCCACTATACATTTTCAGTACCTTGAATGGAATAAGACATGTACAAGAACAGATTTAATCAAAAATGCATCAACCAGTCAGCATAAAACTCAAGATATAAGGAACTATATGTTAATGCTGAAAGCGAAAATGATTAAAAATGCCAAATTTTGTCCTTAAATGTCACATTTATAGACACAAGTATACTAATGAAGGATTTGAAACATCTGAGAAACCTAACATAACACAAAATATTTATATAGAATAGCTACAACTTTGTTTGAGTTGAACATTTTGACTTATTGTAGTTTCCATTTTTAGCCAATTTTTCTAAAAAATTCAAGGTATGTCTTCTTCGGACCAGTATTTAGATATGTTCGCAAGAGTTATATGCTTCGCAGGCGAAATCCTTTATGCAGGACACCCTAATAGAATAAAAAATACACAGAAATTCCATCCAGCTCATAAAGTCATTTTTTCCTTAACGGAGCCTCTTAGAAAATTTTCCACCCCGAGTAATGGCCATTGGTAAACCAAAATATGTTATTCATTTTTCTTACAGATGATTGGTTAGTGTGTGACACCGTTGCTAAGCAACCCGTGTTTGTTGTCTTTTTACAACCTAGAAAATGCACCAAAATCAGTGAAAAAAGACACATTTCCAGCTTATGGTATACTTAGAAGATAATCCAAAACCATTTAATAACATTTTGATTTGTATATGGAGCATGTTGAAGAGTTCATATGTATTGTTTACTTTTTTTATTGAGGTCTTCAACATGTCCCATATACACAAAAAATTGTTATTAACTGGTTTTGAATTATCTTCTTAGTATACCATAAGCTGGAAATATGTCTTTTTCACCAATTTTGATGCATTTTCTAGGTTGTAAAAAGACAACAAACATAGGTTGCTTAGCAACCATGTCACGCATTAACCAATCATCTGTTAGGAGAATAAATGATATATTTTGGCTTCCCAATGGTCATACTTTCATATAAGAATAAAAGTTTTGAAATATAAAATTTGACTTGTGCCACCTTCCAATGGTGTCCTGCCCCCTTCTTTACAAATAGTGCCTCTCAAAGGAAATCGCTCGGAGTTTTTATTGAACTTTGAAAAAGTACTTAACAAGTACCATTAAGACTAACTTCACATTTTTACTGTGAACATTTATAAACATGTTATGAGTTCCCATACCTTTATGCCAGTATTTATTACCATATAGCATCAAATGAGTGGACTTGTAACATTTTCTAACATTTTGCATAGTTTTTGCAGTTTCAGTTATCATATTGAAATGAACATATGAAACCATGGAAAATATTATTTTTGTGACTTTTCGTTTGCCCGACGTTTGGTTTTGTAACTATAGAAACGCTTTTGTAACCACTTGCAAAAACAAAAAACCTGGTGGTGGCATTTTATCATATTCATGCCTTGTCATTGTGATTTTTCTATTTCTATTCTAAGGAGAGTTCCACACTGGTATGGTTTGCAAAGAGAGCTGTATTCTTGGAATAGTATTCCTCTTGGAGATTTCACTGCATGGGATGCTGAACCAGCTGAGACGCTTCCCGTTAGTGATAGCTGTGCCTTTGCAAATGTATTAAACTCTGGGAATTGGGAAACTGCAGCATGCTCGTCACTCAAGGGATTCCTGTGCGAGTCACGTCTTGGTAAGAAATAAGTTATATTAAAGTCCGAAAATCCTGTTTTTCACCTGTAATTATTTGCTCACACGATGAGCTGCAGTCATCACTCATTTGTCCGTCTGTCTGTCTGTCTGTCTGTCTGTCTGTCTGTTCGTCCGTCTGCCAACAATTAGTGTTTTAAAACCACCGTCTATAGGATTCCTCTTAAACGTTATTTTGGTTCATCATCAATACCGGGCCGTAGGGAGAGGGGCTTCGGAGGGTTCGTGTCCCGGTTCAAAAGCTCGCCTTTTTTCATTTTAGTCCTGAAAAATTCCCTTTTTGAGTATTCAGTAACTTTATTCAGGTTTCCTGCCTTGTGAAAAACCCAATGTCAATAGTAGTTTAATGAGATAATTTTATAATTCCGGGATATTCGTTCGTACCGTATAATGAATCATTGGATTAATAGCAATTAAACATAAACTTTGGATAGATTTATTCATGTTTGGATTACTTAAAAAAAATTCGCATTTTTATTTAAAAGAGATAGAGAAACTGTGAAAATACATTTCTGTATCGCTTTACTCTATCATATATAGAGTAATACCTGTGGATATTGAACATTTTTTGTCGGGACAAAACGTTCTCTGTTGGTAGGTGTTCACTACACTGAGACGGGGGATAATTTATATATAGAAGTTGAGTATGAGGAAGGCTGTCCACTAGAGTCTTAGAAAAAGGTGTTGTCCACGAGAGAACGATGTTCACTAGAGAAAGGTGTTCACTAAGACGGGTTTTAATGTTTATGCAATATTGATGTAACAGGAATCCTTGCTGACTTGCACAATTTGAAAGCGATCGTTTTTTGCTTAAGAACACCCATACTTTATTTCTAGATTGTTTACCGATCATCATCAAGAAGGACAATTTTGAATACTACACACAAAGATATCTTACCAATGCACACAACCGTATGGATAACTTGGCTTACAGTACACTCTCCATTGTAGGATTCTGTGAATCTTATTTGCATGTTTTACTTTGGAAGAAAGGATCCTAAATTATGATATTTGCTTTGTTAGTTAAGATTTACTATACTCTATAAGGGGTGAATGGGGAAATAAATAAATAGATCATACAAACCCCTCTACCTTTCAGATTCGTCTTTCTTCACCGATGTAAATTCATTTTCAGGGATTTTATTTCAAGCGAGATGATGTTGTTTCCTTCGAAGTTGCTGGCTTTTTTGTTTCATTTTCTGACTTTATGTGGAGAGAAGCAGACTCTTTGAAATATTACATCACAGATCGAGGAGGATGTGTTCAAATTGATACGATAAAGGTATGTCCCCGGGGCCAAGGTCAATGTGAATATGGTTATCCTAAAATGTAAGAAACACGTTAGGGGCAACGTAAAACTACCTTTCATTATCATCAATTTGTCATAAATATTCAAAACGAACTCACTTCCAATCAATTGTGGAATGTGTGATACCACAATATGTTATGCCCAATGTAAAATTTAGATTCTTGCCATTGAAATATTATCAGTTCTTAGGAGGGCCATCTTCACATGCTTCGTCTTCAGAGGTTTTAATGTAAGGAACCAAGAGAATGAGAACTAGAAGTTGTTTAAATGTTAGTCAATGGTACAGACTCGATAATGTGAAGAAACATTAACACAATATAGCGCAGCAACATTTGAACCAATAATTAAGGAGGTCCATATGGCTTGGTTCTTTTAAAAAACCGTTTGCTGGAAAAACTTCGGGATTTTGGGTCCAAATATGTCTCTCTTCACAAGGGGTCAAAAAACGTAAATATTTTCATTTGGGATTTCTACACTTTTTAGAAGACTCAAGACGTTAATACAAGAGACATATGCAATCAAACGCCTTACATGTCTCTTTCGACATTACTGCTGCATACCGTCACATTTTCCAATGACTTTATTTCTCATTACTGCTGGTTATCTTCACATTTTTGGTGAATATCAAAACCATTTTTTCTCAAAGCTTCATGCATTCGACCAGGTCCTGGTGTATGATGTAAAAAATCTATCAAAATGATGTTATACCTAAGTGATATATCTAACACATAGAATTTAGCATAGAGTTTAGCATAATATTAGTACATACACAATCCGTGTGATACACGGTTTGTTCGAGTTTGCACATTCTGTGTTAGTAAAATCACACTTGTCCATGTGTATTTGTGAATGTATTTTCTAAAAGTACCATCGAACAGAGTACAAAGTCATACAGATTTCATTAATCATAAATAATCGTGAAATTCAGTAAAAATTGTCAACATTCGTACCTACCTCAAAGGGATTATGTAATATCTTGATGGATCAAGAAGTCTTTTATTCATTTGTCGCATATATTAAACATTTTATAAAAATGATTACCTTGTAACCATATACATCTGTTAGTCACCGATCTACCCTAAAGTATATATTTTATGAAGGCTTTGTCTTTTTACCAAGTTTTCATAATACTTGAAAAAGGCCATTCACTATTCTCAAAATTGAACTATATCAAACTGATAGGGCGACATGTTTTGTATGCATTTTTCTAATTTGATCGTCCAGGCTGCCTTTTTCAACGACTGGTGTTTTTATGATGCTTTTGAGAAAACCATGGAAGCCATCAAAGACTACATTGACCAAATGAAACTGGCGGGCGAAGAGGCAAAATCATTAGGAGACCAGGCGGTAAGTTAACAATTACAATGTATCAAAATACCGTGAATTCAAAAACAGGGTGACACAAATAAAGGGTGCAATACAATGAGGATAGAAGTATATGAGAATAACAAAGGTGAAATTGAATCTACGTGAAATGACGAGAAAATCTTATTTATTTTTCCTCCCTCGCGTTGTACCTTGGACGACCGCTGAGGTACCACGCGAAATTGGAGGGGGCACCACTTCAAACACGATAACATTATTTAATGAAACAGAACATTTATAAAAGGGAACACTCTTGATCTTAAACTTAAATTGAAAATGCTGAATAAATTATTGTGTCATGGTTAACTTTCCAGACAGTGGAGTTCGTCAAGAAGATGACATCACGCCATGAGGAGATTTTGAAACAATTCAGTGTTTACTTGGACAACGCCCGCGTTGCTGAACGAACCGAGTCGGAAGCTTGGCTCTTTAGCAAGCTAAACAAATGGTTGACGTTTGACGACTTCTGATGATGATATGACCATCGAGACAATCTAATGTGTATCGAGTGTACTAAATTGTGGTGGCCTTGGTGAAATTGTGGTGGAAGGTTGGTGGCAGTGTGGATTTCTGGTTTCCTGCTGTGTTATGTCTTTGCTAATTATGACTTAAATATTACATGTATTAAAAAGTATTCAATCTGATGTATTGTGGTATTCTTGAAAATATGAAGAGGTACTTAGAGGGAAACTTAGTCGTGTTTCCTAATTTGGAATTAAAGAAATTCAGAAGACAGTACAGTGGGTTTCTGACGTGGCTGTTTTTGTACGAGTACTTGCGCAAGATTGACCCCTGTTACACAGGCCAGTTGAAATGCTTCGTTACGAAGCAATTTGACAAAAAGCTTCGTAACGAAGCAATTTTGGGCCAGTGTAACACCTCCGCCTTCGTTGGAAAAGCTTAGTTGATAACGAAGCAATTGAGTAGAAAATTCAACGAAGGTTAGCTCCCAACGAAGCTTTTTTGGCCTGTGTAACAGGTAGCTTCGTTAGAAAATGCTTAGTTGGCGGTTTGCGCATGCGCGTAATAAAGAGCACATTCATCATTTTGTATTAAATGAGAGGAATCGCGAGGAAAGAACATGTTTTTAAGTACGTATTATTATAATGCTACGTTTTGATTAAAATAATTACCTATTTGCGTCACTGATTGACGCTAACTCAACCCCTAAACGCCACGTACAAATGTGATTTACCGTCTTTCGTAGCATTTCATTCGATTCCCTGCCTTTGCTCGCATTGATATGACAAAAAGTATTAAATCTAAAAAACACAGGTTTTAACGTATGTACTCCGTCTCAAGTGTGGAAGGGTAAACTTTTGAAATTACATAAGATATGCTTACTAAATAGAAAGTTGTGGCATACATGTTTAATATTAATTTTTTCTTGCGCCTCGAATAATTATACCTTGAACCGTGGGCTCTATCTATCTGATAGAGCCCATGCTTGAATGTAATTCTATAGGTGTTAATACCATGATACTGATACAAGTGCTTCCCGGTGAATCACATCAGGGAATATAGCCGATTCGATTGATTCGAAAATGTCTCTCTTCAAAAATCGTATTCAACTGGCTATCGCCCCATTGCAATACATGTACTTGTACTAGTCGTTCCATTATTTTATTCTTCGACGATTTTAAATTGTAATTGAATTTAAACTTCATGTTTGAATATATTGAATTAATTACGTTTCAAAACTTCCGTATACAAATACGGTAAAACCTGCGGACAAGGAACTGTGGCCAAAATTGTTTCTTGTCGACAGATATTTGCCACAGAGAGGCTGCATGTCGTAGGCCAGCCCCAAACACTATTGATGTGTCGTAAGACGATGCTTACAACTGATATTCAAGTTTCTTCCTATTTACACGCGGTCCGAACTTCGACCGTTAATTTGAATTTTTGACCTACCGGATGTTTGAAAATCAAGGATTACGAGTCTCATACTGCACCGTTTTCTTCAAACTTGTTCCATTCAAAGCATAACAAATATCCCTTTCTGATGGTACATTATTCTCTTAAACAGAGTCCCTACTTCCAGCGGCATTTTGGCCCTTAGCTGTAAGAAGGCCTTCTAACAGCTTGGGACCAAAACGCTGCTAGAACGAGGGACTCTTTATAGTAAAGTAATGCACCGACAGAAAGGCAATTTTGTTTTGCTTTTAATGGTATAAGTTCGAAGAAAAAACGGTGCAGTATGAGACTCGCAATCCTTGATTTTCAAGCATCTGGTAGGTCGAAAATTCAAATTAACGGTCGAAGTTAGGACCGCGTGTAACTACTATTTCATGACCAATTCATTTTAATATGAATATTACCCGTCTCGCCAATACTCGAAGTTAGGACCGCGTGAGTTAAACCACCAGCCGAACACCGAGATATTTTAGTAATGGCTACACTATTTGAAATATATATACTGAGAAGTCCATTTGGAAATTGAACGTTTTTATACGATAGCACATACTAGTTCTCTGTATAAACCCCAAATCCAATTCCTCCTAGTAATTAACATAGGCCTATTTTTATTCCATATGTTTTCCAAAGGAAATGATAGAAAATGAAAACAATACTTGTAATCGTATTGACAGCTGAAATATATAAAAATCGAAATGATAGGAAAAATGTATGGACATGTGTACGGAATGATCACATTCATCATTATTTTCCCGAGAATTTTGAACTAGTCTTTTTCTGTGCTGATTTGTAAAAATAAAGATTAAAAATTAGATTTTTGAGTTTGATCAATGGTTTATATCAAAAGAATAAAAATATTAATCATAATAAGTGGGTGGGGCAGATTAGTAATGCGCACGCGCAACGAAGCATTTTAAGTGCAGTGTAACACCACATAATTGCTTCGTTAGGGTTGGATAAAGCCAGTGTGGACACAATTTTTTCGCTAACCTTCGTTACAAAAATGCTTCGTTAGACTCAACCCAGCAGTGTAACAGGTACCATTATCCATTAAAAATAATTTGCCACACTTTGTGGTTTTGTAAAATGGGGTCCCGAACTAGACGTCACATTTTCAAAGAAAATTAAATTTTCAAAGTTGGTAAATACTTTTTTAAACAACATTTCTAGATGCAATTTTACAAGTAGATTTCAAATATATCCTTTTCACTAAACTTTGAATTAAATGAAGCTAGATTATTTCTATTTGCATCTTGTGTATTGCATATGTATGAATGATAGCTTGGTGGGGACAGTGTCACACCGGAATAGCCTGACAACGGTAAAGTCAGATACCGTTGTCACAAATGGCGGACATAACCGTCGCTTCAATTAGATTTTCATGAACTGTATGTTTAATAGAGCAACTAAACTAAATTCTTTTGGAACAACAATCCACCAGAGTGTCGTTATACTCATTGTACAGTTAATAATGTTCTACCATCGAAATGGTCTTTAATTTAACCGATCAAAATGAGATACGGGACAACGGACACTGTATTACCATATGCCGTTGTCTTTCTAAATTATTTCAAATTCAGATTCTGTTGTCATTGACGATATCGAAGACGCTATGTTGTGGCAATCCCAATTTGATCAAAATTGGGATTTCATATGATACATCATCACAAAAGCTTAATTCATGCACAGAATTAGCGACGATAAAGTCCTATAAAATGAGGACCAAGTGATTGAAGAGTCGAAGCGATGGTTATGTCCGCCATTGGTGACAACGGTATCTGACTTTGCTTTTGTCAGGCTATTCCAGCGTGAGAGTATGGAACTGGTTGTGATAAAAAGTAGACTATATTGCATATAATGATTATGAAACAATATCTTTATTATTAAATTATAATGGCATCTACATGTAGACTTCATTCATAACAAACATCTTACAACATGCACCTCAAATAAAACTTTTTAAATGATTAAAATTGTTCAAAACATCTGTTACTTTTGTTTTAGATTATTTCAAACTTAATACCAACAAGTAAAATTTTATAAAAGTTGTAAAACAAAACTATGTCCTCTGTTATATAAACATGGTGACAATATATGGATGAAAACATTGGTGCAAACATTTAATTCCTACAAATAAAAGTGCAAAGTTAAAAATCTTCACAGATGTGTCATGGATTAACAATGTGACAATGGCAATATTTCCAATATTAAAGGCAGAATCTGATCTATAGGTGGTGACAAAATTGCAAGCAACATGTACAGTATAATTATACATGTATGTATAATTGACCTACCAACCTATTCCTTACAATATCAAATACAATATCTCCCAAAAGATTCACAATATGTTATAAATTGGTGAAGTTATTAATGATTTAAAGTGCAAAAATGAGTGAAAAATGTTTAAATTCTCCCAAATAATAAGGGTAACCATTCTTATAGAAAAATAATACATTATTGTAAAAATCTTTAGGTTTCCTGGAATCGACAAGGAATGACATGAGACAAAAATATTCTAAAATTGAAACAATTTTTTGTTTAGCCTGCTCACTATATCTGATTCTCTCTTTAACTAGAAAATAACAACTTCGCAAATCCCACTGAACAAAACATATTTGATTAAATCCCTAGTCATTTTGGATATTATATGATAAAAATATCCAGGAAGTAGAGGAGCAGTATTGGCTTCTACTTTCTTTTGGCAAAATCCACACCCATGATGAGACGATGCCATATATCAAATTCTTCCTTAAGCAGTGGTCTTATGAAATATTAGCATGCTAATAAGGCATTGGAACATAAACTCTGAACCAAACCTGACAATTGGTTTTCATATATTTTTGTGAAATAAAGCGGCCATTTTGAATTCAGCAGATATTTTGATATTTTCTTATTGAATAATTTCTATGTGCATGACATTTGAACCAAATCCATCAAGGCGTTAACTAGTATATGGGTTATCAAAGATTACATTTTGCCCATAGCCTACAAAATGTGAAAAATGGTGTCCATTTTGAACTGAGCAGCCATCTTGAAAATTCCTATGTAAAGTCCTATGTTCCTTAAGCATCGGCATATAAAATTTGAACCAAATCTGTCTACTGGTATTCGCCTCCTTGATATGTCGTTTGCCCATAAAACATTGGCCTGTAAAATTTGGACAGAATTCTATAAATGGTATTTAAATTATCAAAAATTACAATTTCTATAAAAATGGTGGCCATTTTGAAATTCAGTTGGCATCTTGTAAATGTCTTCTTGAGCAGAGGTTCAATGTCCAAAAGGAGTCAGCATAAAAACTGGTAACTGGTATTTGAGTTATCAAAGATAATACTTTTTAAGATAAATGTCAACCATTTTGAATAGAGCAACGATATTGGAAATCCTTTTTGAGCAGAGGCATACATTTGAACCAAATCCATCAACCAGTATTTGAGTTATGGCCATCACACACACATGAAAGGAAGGGTAAGTGGACAGCTGCTCTATATTCCAACTGGAATTCGTTCTGTGGGATAACAATCTGCAATATCCAATGGCCACCTGGTATAATCTTTACAAGCCAAGATAATATATGTGCCTGTTACAACATATAAAACAAGGCATTACATGACAAATGTCACCACCTGCCATTTGTTACAGATGCAGAATGCGGAACACCAACTGCCAAACTATGAACTTGAAAATGTTAATATTGATATCTGTGCATTTAACATTCCTTATTGTTATTAACTCAGAAGAAAAACTAGATTTGATTGGTTGAGGGGCAGTCAATAATTTAAACAGTTGATAGCGCAGTCAATAGTAATATTAACTGATGTCAAGATAACTAATCAGAGGGAAAAAATGATGGAATTTGATGTTCTTCTGATTATTAAAACAAATACAACTATAAACTTCTAATTTGGTTGACTTAAAGTTATGCTGTTGTACTCAACCTGCATTCTCAGTTTATAGTTTATAGGAATTTGATTTAACAGTAAACGTATGGAGGTCAATTCTGGTACAATGTTCTCTGGTATAATCACCAGATACCTTGGCAATAGGCTAATAACAATATCAGTGTATGTCTTGTTACTTCTAAATGAGAAACCTATGTCTAGACTTAATAAAAGCATTCATGTCAAATGCAGCTGACATCCAGTGCTATTCTTTAAAACACATTTTTAAACCAATTTGATTAGACCATTCTAGTAAATTGTGCCACCTTACAGTTTCAGGGCAAATATTAACTCATTCGTTATTTTCAAATAATTCTAAGAATTTTGTTGACAAACATTACTTCCTGCAAAGTATGCCAATATGAATCTTAGAAATATACTCGTTTCTGTGGATCACGAAAAGGCATCATTGGAAATGTCTATTACAAAATTTTGTGAATGTACAAATTGTACTAATTTGTAACTAATTTTATACATAGAATTAGAAACATAAATATAATGCTAGACAAGCATCACTATGTCCCCTTAGCATCTTTTAACTCTGCATTAATCTTTGGAAAAGATGAGTTCACACAAGCCTTTAGCATAGGGTTGAATCAAAACAGTGGAGTGGGAACATCTTGTACAGCCCTATACATGTTCAAAAACAAATTTTTCACTTGGATTTTCAGTTTGTCAAAAAACAATAATTATCACAACATTTTCAAAATCTGCCCTGAGTTTGTTTCATTATGCGACCTATTTAGACATTCATCATGTCAACAGTCTACATCACAAGGCACCTATAGTATATATAAAATATATGTTTATGCCTCGAGTAATGTACATAAATTATAATCCTTCACTAAATCTGTACATGATTGTTCTAGATAAACATGAGATCTTTCATTTGCAACAATTAATATAACTTCAGGATGTAAAATATATATACTTTAAATGTATTAAAAATGTTGTTCAAAATACATATTGAACCTTTTAAAAACTTTTTAAGAGACAACATCCAGTTTTACCTTTAGGTACTAGCAGTGTATACTTTAAGAGACTAGTTCATTATTTCAATGTTGTCCCAAAACATAATACAGGGTGACACAAAAAATGCCTCTAACATAATGTTGCATGAATTCTGACTTTTGTCACCCTGTACAATACAAATTGACATATATTGACCCAATTTTCTCCCTTATAAAAAAGTTAATTCCCTTTCCAGTTTAAAAAGCAATAATTAACTTTTTCATTCTCTCAAAAATCTAATTCATGAATTTTACGCACATCAAAATACTGACAATGTCTCTTATTTAGGTTAAATAGGGCATTTTTGACCTACCGATATATAGAAAAAAGTAAAGTTAATAAGGCAGATTACTCATCCGGCTCATACTACCTTAGGTCAAGTGTTGATCGATATAACTGTTTGTTATCATTACATCCTGTCTCTGAATGAAATAGAATATATTGGTTCATATATTTGACAAAGAACTAATGTGCTCACCTCATACACTACGAAAGAACGAAATGATCCCATACATTTAGAAGGGAACTATGAATTCAATACAATTTACAACTGCATCTAGCAAAATATACTCACTATATACTACTATACAGTTTAGTTCTATACATTACAGGGTGTCAAATAAGTCCCGTCCCCCCTGCTATAGCTAAAACCTTAACAGACGGTACCTAGTGTGATATACCATTGGAAAGATCATCCAAAGTTATGTTGACTCACCAACTCTCAAGTATTTTGGATGAAATTTACCTACATTTTTATGATGCTTTTACAATTAACGTGCCCTCCTTTAAGTAGCTTTTTTGCATCAAAATGACAAGGATATGACCTCAGAAATACGTCAAAAAGTTAATATTTTTCGCATTCCACTTATTACAAAAAGATTTTCACCACTTTCCTTGCACCTCTATTTTCCACACATCTAACCCTATCCAGAAATGGGTTAAATTCATGGCCATAAACATATTTAGTCATCTTTTGGTCCCTTGACCTTTCTTATACCCGATTCTTAAAATCCTGCCAAATACGCCAAATTGCAATGTTTCTAGGCATATGGTCACCTCGATTGATACAATGTAAAAATTTGTGAGATTGATTGACATGTGTCAGATATATGCCAATCAACGTAACTTTGGAAGACCTTTCCAATGATATATCACACTTGGTACCAAATATCTTAGTTTTGGCTGTAGAGGGGGGGGGATGGGACTTATTTGACACCCTGTATAGTACTATAAGGCCTATAGTATTTGTACACTTGTATATTTTAATAAATATTATAATATATATTACCAGTTATATAAACATTTGGACAATAATATCATCAGCAGGTCAAATTGAATTAACTTTTACGACATACATATTATCAGCGTTAATCACAGACATTAGCAAACAAATAAGCCATGCTGTCTAATAACCTCCAACACTCTTCCACCTGTGGTCTTTACTAATAAAGATATTTGATCAAATGAGATAAGATCTCTCACGATGAACTTAAGATGTGTTCTACAGGAGGCAATTAAATAGAATGTCATGATAAAGAGTCAATAAAAATTACCCCTATGTCAGACAGACTGAAGTAAAAGATATATCTATAATGACTTAAATTTCCTGTTTAGGTTTCTATGAACCAACACACATTCTAAAAACATGCTTTGATGTTTCAGCTAATGCTTAATTAAATAAAAATAGGACCCATGGTCCTGTGCTCACACAGTTTGGAACCTTCAGAGGAATGTATATCCTGACTTTCAAACAAAAACATTGATTTGGATTTGTAGTCTCGAACTTTGAGAAACTTAGATAGCACAGTTGTGTGACCTAGTTTGATGACCTTTGACCTCGAAAATTTTACTTATTCAGAACTCAGTAAGGTCTTTTGTGATTAAGCTGACCAAAATTTACATCCAAAAATCAATGTGAAAAATCAAACCTTTCGAAGGTCACTGAAGGTCAAGTAAAGGTCAAATCCTAACACTTATGTCAGATTTGAACACCTGGCAACTTGTAGATGATTTTCAAAAAAAATTGGTCAAATTGAAGCAAGTTAAAAAATAACTTATTTTTACTGTTTTTTGACGTCAAATATCTCAAAAACGGTAAAAATTTGATGCTGACATATATTGAGCAATATGTAGGGAATGCTTAAATCTAGTAATGATGTAATTTGTAAGAAATGATCAAGTATAAGGCAACTTTTCAATCACAAAACCTGCCATTGACTTTATACATGAGAAAGTTTCCTGAAAATGACTAAGTCCTACTTTTTGTCAAATTTTATGGAGTAAACGCCAAAAACTGTAATAACAAGAGCTTTGAAATCTTCAGAGGACATCAGTTGCATACACAGCAACTACTTAAAGTTATTTGAAAGTTCTACTTCAACAAAGTGTCTAGTATTTACAGAAAATTTGACTTTTTGACGTCAAAATCCGCAATTTCTCGGAAACCGGGCAAACTTGGGAAATGGCGATGATAGGTCAAATAGGCATTATGGATATGCATAAAATGAATGTGGATATGACTCAATCTGAATAGCAGTTTTAATTTGTGCGGCTAATGTTGACGGACGGACCAACGGACGGACGGACGGACCAACGGACGGACGCCTGGTCAATCGCATAGGCTCACTGTGTGAGCCAAAAACAACAGAAAAATTGTTGTCATAACAATGAGACAGATTTGAGATTATCTCTGACATTGGACCTGAAACACCATTTGTATGTTGCTAGTGTCTGTTGCCATAGTGAAGAGAAGTGGCTACAAATTCCTGTCTGGGTTTCTACGAACTCAACATATACATGATATATTGTATAAACATGCATTGATGTTTCAGCTGAGGCTTAATAAGAAACAACATTAAAGTTGTCATTACAAGAATCTAATCTGTTGTCATAACAATGAAACAGATTTGAGATTATCTCTGACTATGGTATCCATGACAACCTGGAATACTACTTGTATGTTGCTAGTGTCTGTTGCCGTAGTGAAGTGAGGATAGAGAACTTTGGCACGATTCACCAATTGAGAATGAAACAATTGCTGTATAAAGAGGGCAGCACTGTCTACATCATAATCTTCACCTGAAAATAGAATATTGGACACTGAGAAAATTTAAATGGGAAGTGAAAATGCTTTATTCGTTATACAAAGGAAATCACCATTCTCATTCTGCTTTAATTCTTGCATCGATATCATTGTCTTCTCAAGTTATTGGGAAGAAGTCAGGTATACATGTATTTGATATTTTAGCATGATTCATGATGTCACAGTAACTAATATATTTGATGTTTAACTGTACTATAATGGGGGTATACTAACTGACTTGTTTATTTCATTATAAACCAATAAATGTAATGCCTAGATGGCTGTCATGATGACAATATTTGGCTTTAATCATATCAGATTTCTAACCAAGACCTCTAAGATTTATGCCAAATAGCAAATAGGCTGTATTACCTCATTTTTTAATTGCAAAGGGCCTCAATTACTACTCGATTTGAGCCTTTCAATAATAAACAGAACAAAATATTCTGTCATATATCATAAAACATAGAATCTAAATCTTTATTCCAATAATTTATTGAATCAAAATCTTTTGTGATAAAAAAAAGTAAATTGGTCAACATCATTCCGCATAGTTGCCATGCTTACCTTTAAAGTCTGGGTAATAGAACCGCAAATGTCTCCCAGCATATAACAGTTTCTTCCTGAACAAATCAAGTTTGTTTAAAAATAAAATCTGAAAATAAAGTTTAGAGAAACTTAAACAAGTGAGTGATTGCAAAAGCTCACACACAAAGTCCCCTATTTCAGTAGAAGTATCGTTTTACAATACTGGAGGTTGATAGCATAGAATAAAACTAGACAACAGCAACGCCAAAGCGTAGCAAATCCTAACAAACAGCCATGGCTGGCATTTTTATAAACGAAGTGTATAACAAAATTTATATTTTCAAATTGGCCGCCTACTAGCCAAAATGTCATAAGACAGTGTGCCATGCTTATTACTATTCACATATCAATTATGAACTAAATCGTTCTATTATTTTTGAGTTATAGTAAAAAACATAAAATAACACACGTAATAATGGGGCCATTTTGTAATTGCCGCTAATACTACTTTTTGAGTTGTAGTCAAGAAAAACATAAATAACACAAGTAAAAATGGTGGCCATTTATCAAAATGGTTGCCATTTTTTAAAATGCTTGCCGTTATTCAAAATGGCCGCTTACTACCCAAATTGTCATTAGACAGTGTGCCATGCTTATAATATTCACATATCAAATATGAACAAAATAGCTCCACTATTTTTCAAGTTATAGTATAAATTGTAAAATAACACAGATAAAAAATGGCGGCCATTTTTCAAAATGGCTGCCTTCTACCCAAAGTATCATTAAACAGTGAGCCATGCTTATTATAGTATTCACATACCAAATATGAACAAAATACTCTTCAAGTTACAGGAAAAATCGTAAAATAGAGTGTAAAGGCTGCCATTTTTCAAGATGGCTGCTATGTGGTTCTTAAATATCTACATTTCTACATTAGCTTCACTTATGTCCTACATGATTTTTTTACATTTAAAACATATTGCTATTACAGTTTTATATTTGTACCTAAATTACTGTAAAATCATCACTAAAATGGCAGCCAATTTGAGCCATAGGGTATATGTGTACAAAATATGAGCAAGATCAGGCAAATGGTATTTGAATTATTGCCTGGACTTCTGAGGTGTAATCATATTTCAAAACCAGAAGCACTACGCATACCCTTTGCATTCGTTTGACTTCACTTCTTAAAAGAGAGCTTCGTCTTCACTCTTTCAAACTTAAATAAACCTGTGAACTCACCGCGCCAATCAGTGTTCGTCGGCCAAATTTGACCGACATTCTATATATGGTCATTCCTTCTGACGTCATCGTTGAGCCGGGAATTGACCAATGACACGCGCATATTTAATTAGAACGCATTTAGCGTATGTTTCTTCAAGCTCGTGGGGGCGGGGCTACTAAACTGTAATATGGTCTCTACTAGGCAGAGTGTAGTTTAACTAGACTCTGCATGCAGGGTACACTACGCACTACATATGAGCCAAATATTGAGTTGAATGAAGAATAAGGGTGATTAAATCAAGAAATCAAAAATTCATAACACATCTTCCACCAGATGTTTGCCCATGCTGAATAGTTGATTCTCAGTGATTTTGTTAGTGATGTCAAAGATATATTCACTCACCAAAGATGTGTCTGCAAAAAATCTGTTGTTGACTATTGAGCGAAATAGTGTGAGACTTTCTTCCATACGGTTCTGGAATGGATGATATAAGAAGGATTTAAGCCCAGGGATTTGGAACTGGGTGTATGTCCTATGAACCAAGGAATCAGATATTACCATTGTATTCATTGTCAAAAACTTATTTTCAATGTTTCAACTGCTATACAAGTCTTGTGCTGTACAGATACCTTTACATGTTTACAGCACCATTCGTACAAGCATACTATGAACTATGGGTTATATCTCTTCCTCGTATTGAAAGATTTGTACGATCTCGTTATATTGTTAATATAAATAAACAATACAGATACTTACAACAGAAGAATCCTCGAATAATGTCATATCAAAGCCACTTAAGGCAACGACAAACAGTATGGCACGTACATCATCAAAACATTGAATCCACTTCTTGCGCTCTGACCTTTGACCCCCAACATCAAATAACCTACATGTATAAAGAGTTATATAAGAGTCAAAGTACATTTTCATTAATCTTTGGTACATTTCTTATTATTTATTTTTACAATTTTGACATTGTAATGTTGTAAACAAAATCTCCTGATCATGGACATTCAATATCTATTGAATGCCCATGGCCTGATTAAATATATGAAATATCCAATGCACATTGCCCCTCTTAAATATTTCATTTTTCCTCAAGATATTTTCAAAAAGAAAGTTTTAAAAGAAAAGCATAAGGGTTAATTTGGACAAAAAAGAGACGCTCAGATATGACTTGTTAAAAGAGACACTTTAACAGTTAATAAAATCATCTGGTTACTAGTTTGTACCTGAAGATGTATTCGTGTATTTTGAAACATGTTTCGATGATACCCTGAGTCCTGACCCTCGCTCTTAGCACATCTTTAGAGTTTGGGATATAATCTTTGCTGCAAATTCGGCTCATGTTTTCAAAGTAGCTGAAATATAAAGAACATGTGGGAGTAACATTCTGGATTTGAAGTAAATGCAAAACACATAGAAGTCAGAAACTTCTAAGGGCAGAAACTTCTAAGGGCAGAATTCCATGCTTCTATACATCTAACCATATACAAGTATGCGGATAACACAATGGTTTTATGTCTCTTTGCACTCGCGAATATGCCAATTTAATATCTCTGAATGTTAAGAATTTTATAGCCAGTTGAGGAGATTTTGCAATATAATATGCACTTACTATGTTGCAGAGTCATTGAGTTCAAACTCATACCCTCGACTAGCAGCTAGTTTAATTCCTCTGTCCAGCCAGAGACACTGGATGGCATGTGAGATATAGGGGAACACCTGGTGGTCCGAGTCCGTACACTTGTTACAAGCTAACACAGTCTCTGCATGCACCTGTAAGAATGTATGAAGCAGCATTACTTCAAGTGGTAGACACTACAGGGTCAAGCAAAAATACATGCACTTTTGAAATATCAAAAATCGGATACTACACCTTTCTATATTTAAAGGCTCCATGCAAAATTTAAAAGTTTATGTTCATGTTTAACTTTACCTTATTTGATGAGTTTCTTTATTAAGTGTACCTAAGATGAGTTTCTATGTTTAATTTTGGTTTCTATTTGAAACTTAATATTATTTGTTGTGTTTCTATATTTAATACCTTATTTATTGCGTTTCTATATTTAAATTTACCTTATTTGTTGAGTTTACCATACGTGTATTTACATCTATATGTAAATTTACCTTATTTTGTGGGTTTTCAAGGTTAATTCTCAGCAGTCCCATGCCAGTGAGCACATACTTCATTGACTGTAGCAGATTGTCCAGCACCGTGGGCTGCAACATATAGGTATAGAATATCATCTTAAAGCGTGGATAAGAAATAACATTTTATCATATTGTATGTCATCCTGTGTCAGGTAAGAAAATCAGGCTTACTGAATTCAAATCCCACTTCTTTTATGAGACTATTCATTCTTTGAATTTGCATTTGGTTAGGAGTCAGTCAATTTCAATGTTTCAGGTTCAAAAGCCCCATTCCTCATATACAGCCAAAGGCAAAAAGGAACATGAGATGTTAAGTAAATAGGCCTCATGTAACACTATGACTTTTGCGCAAACTAAATAGGTTGAAGTTAATTCAGAACCTGACTTAGAACACACATCATAACAAAATGACTCACCTTAAAACTAATGAGTTCTTCATCTGTGAAACCATCATTATGTATTATCTTCATCTGCTTGACTAGAGTGCTCTTCCCACTCTCCCCTGCACCTGTACAACACAAAGATATATATACCATAACCATTGTACCAAGAGATCATCATTGTACCATATCAAACAGATAATACAATTATGATACAGAGATTTATAGAAGAGTATAAAAAACCATTCATGGATCCCTTCCTCCGAAAAGTACGGTACTGTTATACATCCATATCTGCATACATAATTTAGAAACAGAAAATAACATGGCAAGGATTTGAATTTTTCAAAAATATGGCCATGAACTTACTCCTTAACCTCTTGACTACCCATAGTGATGAGATTTCTCACCTCAGAAACGACCTTGAAACCCAGAGTGACGAGAAAATCAGTCACAACATTTTTCACTGAAATTGCTCTACTTTTGACAATTTTCATCCAATTTGCAACAAAAATGTTTTAAAATGTGTAGAAGTGATCTCTGCCGACTAATCTCACTAAATTGAGCATCACCTTTTGTATATGCATGTAGTAAAATGCCAAAGGCTGGCAAAAATGAAAAATTCCCTGGTTTCAACCCAATTTTAGAACCTGGGATTCAAGACTTACAAGAGGTTAAAAGAAATAAGTTGTAATGTTGAATGAGTTTAATAATGGTTATACATGCACTTGCCACTCATTTAAAATCAAATTTTTAAACTCAAATAGGCATGTTTTGTTTAGTTGTGTTATAGCTATTATAACCTATACCAATAAAATGAAATGTTAGCTGTATGCAACGAATTAAATAATTTTAATAAAGTATCAACAACAGAGGAGCAAAATTTTAAAAAATGAAAAAACAAACAATAAACGACTCTGAGAACAAAATAATGGCATAAACAATTGTATTTCTTGTCAACTTGTTGATACAAGCTGTAATGGAATATGTCATAAATCATAAGTCATCTTCTGGGAGAGTTTTTAAGCCTTACTTAGTTTGCTAAATTTAATGTAAAATATTATGATGAATAATATTTGAGGCAAATATAGGCAGACTTTCAGAAAATAACAAAAACTCAACAGATTGTAGATTTAATAACTATAAAGTGATTACTGATTGAATTACAAATAATTACCCCATAATTACTAAAAGTTAATTGTACCTCTATTGTTACATTCTGACATTAAGGACATTATTAGGCTATAAAACAAATGAACAATATGTTTAATAGTTACAGTAGCTTACTTTTTCATCCTAAAACTTCACCGGACAAATTGATTTTCAGTTGCCAAATAGGACTTGGAAACTGGCAAAAAGAATGACCCCCAGTTTTTTCAATTCCTCTTGCCATTTTTGCCACTACCTCCCTCCGAAAAAGATCCCCAAGTGATTTTAATGTTTTATTTACAATAATACATGTAGAGTAAAAGGGAAATCCTAGTCACCTTGCAAACTTTAAAAAAATTAATTCATGCTAATACAGACAATTTCATACGAGGGCCTAAAGGCTTTGATGAATTCATATTCAACATTGAACACAATCACATGACCATCACTCTTTAATTGATATGAAGCAAAACACAGTAAATGTTAAAACTGTACTACAATATGTGCTACAATATGTAAAATGAAAGGCCCACTTTTCACATCCTTCACATTCCCTAGAATTATGTGGTGGAAAATGCACATATTGTAATGGCACAAATTCAACAAAATTCCATATTTCAATTGAATAGAAGCTTTCTAAAATGCTATTTTTAAATTTTTGTTAAGTTTAGACATTATTTACCTATTAACTATTAGATGATGAAGCAGGGCGATTTCCTTTGACAAAAATGTAAATTATGCAAAAATTATGTTTTGATGAATGAACTAAGTGGCCTTTCTAAAAATTTAAAATTATGCAAAATTAAAACACGCCAAGGAGACATGTAATTCTAGGAACTGTGATCTTGAAATAAAATGCAAGGATATAACATTTCTTTCGACGAGCTGCAATAGCACCAAATTTTAAAAGGATGTACTTTTCCGAGCAGAAACCTACATCATCAATCGAAGAAAATTTTCATTTGAATAATCTTTAAATCTTACCTAATAATAAAATCTTGATTATCTTATCATCTTCTTTTGCCAAATTGAATAACTGTCTGTCGATTGAATCACTCCTCGCTCGTGCCAATCGCTCATCTTCATCGACACTAAGGCACGCACCCATTGTCTCTAACCCATAACCAAGTTGTTGATGAGTGTCTGCATTCATTCATTTGGCAGTATCATAGTTGAGTACATTGTTACTAAAAGCTTTACCCCATACGTGTTTGTTAGTGACACATCATAATCTACAAAATACATGTAATTTGCATATACATGTATGTTTGGCTCACTAAATAGTTTATAGATATCTAATTTAGGAAGTTTTGGCTATGTTGATTTTTTGAAAATTACATATCAAAGCATCAAAATTCAAAAGGCCACTCATTTTATTAATAAACTAAAATGAATCCAAGATGTACAAAGATATGCATGTAAATGTGAATGTTCAATGTATAAATATTGCACTCGACTATGGTCTTTTTTGCATGTATGGGTGTAGCCAAGGCTCATCCTTATGAATATGATTATTAGCTCAGACAGAAAGTGTGACTGATACTGATACTGAGTGTCACTGTCAGATTAGAATATAGTCCGGAGTAGGGATACTAGCGGTTACCGTTGGTTATTTGGTTTTCTGTATAAAAAAGCTTTTCTCCTTTTCTGTCCCGTCGCAGCGCCATCTAGTGTTTGATAAATGAATCAAGGTTTATTTTCGATAGGGTAAGTACTAATCTATCAGGAAACATTTACAAGTTTGGTTAGAAACAGAATTTTTATAGATGGCGGAGTGATTTTTGAGACTATATAGAGCAGAATAATTTTCTGAAACAGGTAGCTTTACGGTGGTAGCTCTCTCCAGATTCAGTTATCTCAAAAACGGTGTGGTCACCGTATGCTTATTTTGTAACGGCAAGCTAGACAAGACTCCAATGAACACTGGGCACTGTTTCGCTGAGCTAGATCTGTGCCCATGAATATATTATGAAATGAAACGTTATAATGGTCGTCAATGGGATTTTTTACTGCAATCTTGACCCTATTAGCAACAGGGTGGTGACAGTACTAGGGTGGGAAATAGCGTTATTTTTGTAAAAATTACACTTTCTTAGCAATGTGTACCTTGCATCTCTAAGAAAAATCAAATCATCCGAAGAATTAGCAATTTAGATTTTCGCTGATTCAGCATTTTTCATTTTTTACCTAAAAATCCCAGGTTTTGACCATTTTTGGCCTGTATTTTTTTGCAGGATAGCACAAGAGGGCTGTTAGTGCTGGTTTTAAGAGGTTGTTGACAGGCTTTTATCAAATTATTACCGAATTTAAGGATTCAGCCATTATCATAGCATGTAATACAGCTTTTTCCTTTGTGTCTGAATTTTTCTTGAAAATATATGACAAAATTGACACATTTAACCCCATAGACTGACCAAATATGGCTGAAAACAGTTACTAACATGCATGTAATTAAAACAAGAACATTGCTTTTCAAAACTGATATGATAATTTAATATAGAAGCTCATTTACTGAAAATTAATCACTAAATAATGGCTAATTTGGGGTAACCTCTGACCGAAAATGACTAGATTTGACCATTTTTTGTTTCATGGTTCAGTGATTTTGGCAATAAACATTATGGAAGTACGAATAAACGTTTTGACATGCTAAATATTGTGAATTTTTGTTAAGCCATAGCGAGTAGCAGTATTTCTATTGCAAAAATGGTCAGTTATGTATAAAACTGCATGGCCTAAAATAAATGACCCCGGGGTTAACAAAGCAGCTATAAAAGCTTTTCTATTGGTGCGATTGGGCTTAAATTGCACAAAAAGTCTTGAAACACAGTAATGTTTAAGAAAAACAAGATTTCTGGCACAAAATCATTCAACCGTGTCACTATTAGAATATAGTCCGGAGTACGGATACTAGCGGTTACCGTTGGTTATTTGGTTTTCTGTATAAAAAAGCTTTTCTCCTTTTCTGTCCCGTCGCAGCGCCATCTAGTGTTTGATAAATGAATCAAGGTTTATTTTCGATAGGGTAAGTACTAATCTATCAGGAAACATTTACAAGTTTGGTTAGAAACAGAATTTTTATAGATGGCGGAGTGATTTTTGAGACTATATAGAGCAGAATAATTTTCTGAAACAGGTAGCTTTACGGTGGTAGCTCTCTCCAGATTCAGTTATCTCAAAAACGGTGTGGTCACCGTATGCTTATTTTGTAACGGCAAGCTAGACAAGACTCCAATGAACACTGGGCACTGTTTCGCTGAGCTAGATCTGTGCCCATGAATATATTATGAAATGAAACGTTATAATGGTCGTCAATGGGATTTTTTACTGCAATCTTGACCCTTAGATTTAGAAGCAACTTCAAACTTGGCTTGGCAAGGCAAATATTTTTTACAATTTAGGTGTAGAAGAACAACATCAAATCTTACCTCCTGAATGCATCCACTTTATGTTACTATCAATTTCTGAATAATACTGGCCTTTATTTGTCAGCCAATATCATCGCTAGGTGTCCTAATCCTTTAAATCAATAAAAAGCACAAAAAGTTTTGATTTTTGTAGTTTTTCCAAAACGAGGCTATGACCCAAATAATTATTCTCACCTCCAAACAGGAGATTTGTTTACATTGGAGATATTGATTTTAATTCCCCGCTGAATAAGGCTCCCATCTCAAGCAATGCCCATGGCTGTATACAGCAAGCAGAGCTCTCTTTGTTAGAACAATTAATCTTTCTTCCAATAGTCAACGTGCATGTTCATTTGAAGTGTTGTTGTTTGAGTAAAAACCCATGGTAAAAATAAGCTCTGGAACAGTGAGCTGTAATTACCCCCCCCCCCCCCCAATAACATGTTATCATAAGTGTATATAATCATATAAACATACAGTATACCAGGGAGTATACAGAACTTTCCACTATCCTCAGGCTCTTGGCTAGGATCTAGGCTAACAGAAGACGAGCAACACAACTGCAAATCGTCTTATCTGGGCTTAGGGTCCCAGCACAATCAACTCTTGAAGCACAATTAGTGTCAACAAAACACATTCATTCATGAACAATCAAAACCAAAACAACCAGTGAGCCAATCACTATATTGATTTCTGATAAAACAAGTTACAAACTTTGCAATCAATGAATGTACAACAATCAGTAGCTGACTCTTCTCAACCATTTATCAGCACAGTGGTCTATTTCAAGTCACAATCAGTAGTTATTGATGGCAAAATGTATGAGGGGTCACTTGATGTCAAAAACGAATATGGCAGAATCAATTTATAGCGTTTGCTGCCAGTATACACGATCAATGTTCAAGCTAGAAGATTCATTGATATTACAATGTTTTTCAGTTCCATCATTGCCATCATTGTCACATAACAATACCAATACCATGTATTTTACTGTTGTCAGTGTCACACACCACTCAGTGGAAGGTCACTTTCATTTAGTCATATGAATGTTTTATAGCAATGTGATGACAATTCTTGTTGACATAAACGGATGTTCAAGCATTGTACATTTGATGTATCAGAGACAAACCCGAATGTTATGTGCTGTCAAGACTCATCCATCTCAGTCATGTTCAGCAGCTGCTTTTTCTGAAGCCTATATTTTGACTTCTATGATGATATATATTATATAGCCTAAGCTTGATCTTTATAAAAGTGATGTGGAGTTGGGTTTTGGAGAATAATGTGAACAAAATTGATCCATTGGTACCTGCCTAAATGGATTGATTGACCAACAATCAGACAATTAAGATTTTTGGACCAAAACTAAAGATAATTGGAAGGATTAATCATACATCAGATTGTATCAAATTTAAAAATCACATTGCCTAGATTTTTTTTTCTTCCAATCTCAACTAACAACTAAGTCAAGGGTATTACTGATCAATATTGGGATCCCTACTCAGTTTAGGTTACTTACACACAAACCAAAATACTTTTACATTCATTTCATGTTTTATTTATTTACAATAAAATATATATGTACATGTACATAAAAATATCATTCAATACATTCAACTACCTTATTTGTCAGGTGAAAGACTGCATTACAAGGAGTGTGGGAGGAATAAGTGTCCTAGAGTTAAATGTCCCCTTTCTCTTTGTGCATGTATAGTAACCGAGTAAAGTCCACATAGAGGGTGATGTTATCACCAGTGACCCTAGTAGTCAAACAGTGTCCTTTAAATTGCCGAGCTGATCATATTGTATTTAAACTAATCAATGGGAACAATTAGAACAAGGGACACTTATCACTACCCAACACCATACATAGACATACAAGGAATTGAAAACATACTACATATTTCTGAGTATATAACCTGTTTGAATGATAAAATACAGTCAGAGACTATGGATCTGTACAAATGTAGGCTTATTATTTATATTTCATTTGATATTTACAATGGTTATATCAGTTTTTGGACGGATTAAAGAAAATAAATAAAGTGAAATGTAGGAATACCCCTTATTACAAATACAAATGGTACATCTTTAACCAGGGATTACCATATGTGCCACTGGTTTATGTACATATACAAAAGTAGAACAAATATAATAGACTTTGTTGAGTATCAAATTCAGAGGTGATACAATAATTACTGTCATTAATGTCATTATTTTGTTATTCTTTAATTTGTTTTTCAGATTCGCACAGGGTGGGAAAGACAAGTAGAGGTCTTTTTTATTAGGGAAATCGATGGCGAATTGCTGAATAAAATTGCTTACCAAATTAAATGCAAATACAATTTGTTGTACAATGTAGAACCTTGATAAAATACATCATATCTCATGTACTTTAGTATCATAGTAAAACCTGCAGAGGAACAACTCCATAACCTATTAACTTATTGCTAAATGAACCTCTTTAAGTGGAACACTTTTCAGAGATACCAAAGGTGTTCCACTTACACAGGCTTTATTGTTCAGTAATAACAACAATAAAGGAACTAACCAAATGAGTCTCAGTCCAAATTTTTGAACTTCCATGAAGAATAAAAGGTACAATGCAAAATGGTCAAAGGGAAAACAATATTTCTGACAAACAGTCCATTCAGTTGCTCTATGGTAATGGGACTCGATTCTCTTTAGCCCATTTGCGCATGGTCCTTAATATGAATTCTACTTGTGGGGTTCCTGTACTACGCAACATCTGGATCACATCACGCAATGTCTCCCTGCAACCAAATAATTAACACAATAAATCATTTTTATCATGGCCATTAAAACCATTTTTTCTGTGTATGATGGGCTTACACTCTAGTTGTTAGCAAAATATTTATTTTGATGTATTATCATAAAAACCCAACAGTACAAGTTAGATGTTCTGTTATAACCCCATTTAAAGTCTTACATTTAACAAATAGGCCCTAAATGTGATTTATTTGAAAAACATAAAATTGTCAAGATTCACATACTAGAGAAAGATTCAATCACATGCAATAGAGAGAATGTAATGCAGAAAATTACATCACTTTTAAATGTTTATGAATGGTAGTCCTTCAGCTTAGAAAGCAGCTATATAGTCCAATGAACTTTAAAGATGTGTAAAGTTTTCTGGGAAAATAAAAAATTGGCAATTCCACAGGGTAACTTTGGACTTGATCCACAAATCCCAATGAACAAAATATGTTTATAATATAAATTATTTTGTTATTTAGGCAGCAATTTGGGATATTAAGAAAAACTGATCAGAAAAACTAGTAAACAATACTTCCATTCTTCTCCAAAATTTCTTTTATTAAGTGTAAAAAGTCATAGTTCAGAGATATCTCAAAATTACTGAAAATTCAAGTTTTCACCATGAGTCCAGCTTATTTGTGAAAAATTCTAACCATGTACATCTTTCCACCAAAATATGAAGAAAATTAATCCACACTAGTATGTGTGTTATTCTCTGTACAGATAAACTGGCAGATAGACAGAGGGCTTATTTATATCTTTATTGACATTTGTTCATTGGGATAAAATATTCTAATTCTGAAAATGCATTAGTGTAAAATTAATGGAAAAAACAAAGAATCTAACAAAATAACAACCATAAAACTAGGCATTCACTTGCACATTGTCACCACTTGCCATTTGCTACATTTGTTACAGATGCCGATGCCGAACTCTGACCGCCACCACAAAAAAGAGAGACTATTACAATATGTCACCACTTGTGGTGACATAATGAAGAATAAGCTAAAAAGATCAAGTGAAGATACAGCAGAACAACATCTAGCCTAAGAAGAGAGCATGCAGCCTAAAACAGCAAGAAATGAAGCATATTGTTGGGTTAGTAGGTCTTCACACCTCTATACTGAGACTTTATTCTCCTTGCCCCATTTCTTCATTGTACGTATGATGAATTCAACCTGGGGATTACTAGTACCGCGTAGTATACTAATGACCTCCTTTAACAAATCCCTAAAACAAACCATTTTAAGTGTATCAAATAACAGTAAATAGTGCATTGTGTAATTTTGTTTACTGTTAGCAAAGTGCAGATCACAATATTGGTTAAAATGCACATAACTATACAAATATTGTTATCAGGATCAAATCAACAATTATTTCAACATACAAACCAATGTATTTTGTTTCTTACTCAGTTAGTGATAAGACAACCACATGAACACATGTCAGACCATACCTCACAAAATGAATTCAAACCATGGGTTGAGTAATTGCTTCAGTCACATATGATCTATGAAAACCATAAGGTGGCCCTAGATAAATATACAGCTTAAAATATATAGGAATAAAAATCACTATGCAGATTTTCTATATTGCTTTTGTAAAGCCACGGCCACCGTACAATTGCCGTTGAGTAAATGTGACTGAGGCTTTAATAGTATGGTAATTACACTAAAACTACACATTGATCAGTACATGATGATATACCTTGGTTCCTGGCCAGCTATGATGGACTGGAAAACCCCAACACAGGCACCTCTTTTACCTTCCCAGTACTCAGGATTGGGATCCAGACGCTCTAGCACATCAAATGCCTTTGCTGCATAGTAAAACTGACCCATCTAAAAATGCAATAATCAAACAATTTTTAGTATACTGTATTCACAACCAATATCTTTTAATTTACACCACAACAAGTCAAATACAACATTGAAACAATATTCAGTACTATTTTTCAATTTTCACAGATGACAAGTTTTAAGGTAATGCTTTTAGACTTTTAATGAAACATTTTAAAAGGTTTCAATATTGAAATTAATTTTACATGTTAATTCATTAGATTCACTAGTTCAGGTAAGACATTGAAATGAAAAAGCATATGACTGTGAAGCAGTCCTGTAAATATATAACCAGAATTTTTGTTATGAAGCCAACTCATCAGACAGCACACAAGACATTATTGCATTAAATATATGTATTACATCAATATGTGTGTTCAACAAGACAACATCTAAAAATCTGAACCTATTTTGTACAGCTGTATACTGCTATTTTGTTAATAATAACAACTTTTCCTTTGAAAACATTTTTTCCATGTTCATTTGAAATTAATTAAGATGTAAACTAATAGTTATAAAATGCTAAAACCATTGCATCTGAAATATGGGCCAGATTTAATTCTCATGAAGATCCAATTCATAGGCAAAAGAAGCCTGATATAAAAATAACAGTTTCTTCCCAAATTCATTAAACCTTGACTGTTCTCGAAAAGGCAATAAGCTGACATATATTACTTTTTAAATTTTCATACAACTGACCAGATAATAAATATTTAATATAAAGTTGACGTAGTTATAAATGTTTTTTAAGCGTAAAATCAAAGCCAACAATATAATTAGAAAAAAAGTAAGAAATCAGGCCGGGATTCGAACCCGAGACATCCGCAGGCTAGGCGAGCATTCTACCAGTGTACTACCCCGACATCATTAATTGGTGTGAGTAATTTAACGGATCTTATGTAAACTTCTAATTAGCTAATTAGACATTGACATTCTAAATTTAGAAATCTTCGAAAAATCAAATGGCCGGCCGATCATCCGAGCAGTTGAAGGACCAATCATCATAACACCTTTATCGTGAGTATTTTTGCACAGCATTTTCCCCATTTCCCCATTTGTTTACCTTGTAACAGTCATTTGCGATTAGCTGAAGCAGACTAAAAGACTCCCCTGAGGTTTCCATCTTCAAGTAAAGTTCCCATGCTAGCCTTGCTTTCCTGTTCATGATATCTGGAAACAATGGTTGGACATTAATGACATTTTACAAGCCATTAATGTGACAAAATGTCAAGACACAATTGCGTTTTACAATGTAACAAAGTTGGTGGACATACATGACAACACAAGATGACACCTCTTTTTGAGGTGTAAAAACGTTACTAAAATAAATCTATTTCAGAAAGCTAAAAAGTTTAAAACCATTCTGATTTGTCATAATTATTAGCTATTTCTGATGTGTAGGAGAGAAGTATGTATTATATATATATGATTAAGCTACAATGATGAGCATGTGCAGTCAACCTGTACTTTTAATTAATAAGTTATCATTATTCGAGAAATGGGATAAATGTAATCTATATAATACAGGTCTAAAGAAATGACAGCTGTACTGTATCTGTACAAAAAGCTAATATAAAGAAAATAAAACTGTATAAGTGGTATTTAATCCGAGGTTTTAATTTACCGAATTTTATCTTTTTCCTAATTCTAATTTTTAAAATAACAAGAAACTTCACATTGGATAACATGAAGATAATATTTCTGAAAAAAATGAGGCAAAAGACAAATTAAATGATTAGGCAAAATTACCACTTATACAGGATGCAGAACAATACATGTAATTACTAGTGCCAGGAGTAGAAATAACCTATAAACTAATTAGTAGACACATATAAGCACAAATATGGATGGCACATATTAGCAAGGTTGACAAAGATACATAAGAGAACATAAGCAAGGACTGCAGAAATGAAAAGAGAGGCAGGATAAGGTTTTTTCAATCTACAATTATGTCTAATCAAAATGTTAATAATATTATTAGAGTTGTTTCAAACTCGCCGACTCCGACACCCGACACTCGATATAGACTAACAGCTACTGTAAATCATCATAGCATTGATATTTGCAATATTTATTTTCAAATAATTTGGATGTTATAAGTAATGATAACAAATACAGCAATTTATGATACTATCAATCAATCAATAAGCATTCAGATATAAATGTATATATACATTGCCACTTACATTTATTTTGATAACTAATGAAAACCTATACATGTAAGCTACAAGTTCAAATATCTAGTTCATGAAATAAACTGATTTTTCGAACACTGAGCCCTGCACAAAGTTCAATTATTCTTGCTAAATTTTTCCTGGGGTGTCTGAATAGAGTACCCATCACCCTGAAAGCCTTAAGATTACCAATGACATGTTCAACATACACACGATTGGACCCGATAATCTTATTTAGTCGCTTGCATTTTCTCTTCAAATGCCCTGGCTTTCGTCTTAATTCAGATGATTTATATTTTCTAATTATAGGATATTTACACGCATAAATTTTATCTGCCAAAATTCTACAATCAGCTGGGAAAACTAAATGTTCATTTGGGCCAATCGAATCCATCATTGCAAATGTTTGGGCATCGTTCATATGTCCAAGAAACCCACTATGAATGTGTCGGATAACCTTGTTGTTATCAATGATAACTTGAGTATGCATGCAGTGAAAGCCTCTGTTTCCAGAATAGAATTCTTCTTGATTTTCTACCTTGGGCCGATAAACTTCATGTGAAGTGCCATCAATTGCACCTAGTGCAAATGGGAGATCATTCCATTGACCACGCATACCATTCCACTCGTCCAAGTTAGGCCATCGGACCTTTGGGGCATATAATTGATGAAGAATTGGCCATGTGTCATTTATCACCTTGCAAATGGTCGTCCTATGGACATCAAACATAAGTGACAGGAGACTGTAGCACCGATATGATCTTAACCATAGGAGTGTCAGTAGGAGTCGACTTCGTGGGGATAGACTCTGCGGTTCCTGATGTCTAATTTGTGGAAGAAATGCAAGGTACATACTTTGGAAAGTTTCAAGTGTCTCTCCAATGGACTGAAAAAGTTCAAATTCATGCGACCGTTCCAAACATTTTCCTCATGTGGAAATAAATGTTGCCGTATTCCCGGTAGGGGAGCCAAGGGTGTGATGGCCATTAGCAACAAAGGGATAATATTGGCATCCATGATCGGTGGTAGTGGTATTGGTTGGAGTACAAACATAAGTATCGTGATGAGAAGTTGTTTCTGAACCATTGTTAGATGTACCTGGAGATAATTCAAAATATTTTCAGCAAAATAAATCGATTTACAATATGCCTGGGTCACATTTGCTCCGATCCATCGGCCGGCGCCCGGCCGATTGAGTATTTTTTTCAAAAGTGTATTCAATTGTGAACAAAATACTCAATCGGCCGCGCCCGTAGTGAAAATCGGAGCAAATGTGACCAAGGCATTATTTATGGATCATTTCACACACAGCTTTGAGTAGTGCTACTTTTAGAGCCGCTTGAATCACTTGTTTTATTGATCAGTGTGTAACTTGAATTTGGTACACGTGGACATGGCCTCAAAAGAGCAACATGCAGGTAAGTTATTTTGCTATGCACAACTTATGTAAACATGATATAAATGAACTTACGGGCATCTTGGAACGGTTTATTTCACCAACGTACGTATAGATTGTTTCCTAAATGCAAACACCGATATAACTGATCAAATGCGTTCACCAAAATTGATGAGAACAAGTAAACACTCATGCCTGGATCACATTTGCCCCGATTCATCAGCTGGCGCCCGGCCAATTGAGTATTTTGTTCAATACTGAATACAATTTTGAACAAATTATTCAATCGGCCGGGCGCCGGCCGATGAATCGGAGCAATCTTTCTAGATCTAGCTAATTTTTAGGATTAAAATCTTGCTCGCATGTACAAAAATGTAATTTGCACTGCGGGGTTTATTGTTCTTTTAAAAAACATTTTATTTTTGAATACATGCTACTTTATCCTATAATTATTTTAAACTGCTTTTTCAGAGACCACACTTCTCACAAAACGAAAGCGAACAGTATTATTTTCTAAGGAGGAGATACTACTCTTGCTTCGTAGCTACTTGGTACATCCCTGTCGGTGGATTGAAGTGATCGAGACTATGAAAGAAAATCTACATTTAATGCCTCACGATGCTGCTGTATATTACAAGGAAACAAAATACGAGCAGCTTCACTCCCGGCTATCAACAAAACTAGGAAAACTAATAACGGGAAAGGAAACAGTAAAAGATACTGAAATACAGTAAGCTAAGTGTTGTGTTGTCAAATTCATTAATCTGATTTGTTCAAAAAGACAAAGGCACATCTTCTTGATACTTTGATCTAAAATTAAAAAATAAGGCCCCAAAAAGGTCCTAAATTTTTTCATAAGGGGAATTCCCAGATCCGCAAGCGGTACAATATTTATTTCTACTTAATTCATTAATACAGTAAGCTCAGGTGTTGTGATACTAAATTCATTAAAATGCATTTATAAGTCATAATTGTGGCTACACACCGCCAGAAAATAACTATTTAATAAATTTCTCTCTGATATTTGTTTCAGAATGGCTATTGATGACATTAAAAAAATGGAGATGCGTTACGCTGAAAAAGCCCGTCCCCAGCCTACATCGATATCGAATGCCCCACGTCCCAGTGTTGCTACCGCATTTAAAGTAAGAGCTTCACCTCCCCAGGTTGCTACAACGTCGAAACAAATTGAAAATGAAAACATCCCCAATGATACGGATGATGATGATGATGATGATTTGAAATTTAGGGATAGTGTAGCAAATAAATTATCCAGTGATGAGGAAACTGTACAACAACCGAAGAGAAAGAAGAAGAAATCAGAAACAATTGGGGAACTTCATAAAAGAGTTCTGAGGTCGCAGGAAAAGTTCCTTTTAAAGAAGATGCCAAAAATCATTAAAGGACTTGGTATAAATTTAACATCGTCCGATTCTTCAGATTAGAAGTTTGTATACAAAAAGTATCATAAATAAATCACAAACATCAGCTGATTGATATTATCATATATTGCTGTTTTTGTTATAACATTATAACTTATAACATCCAAATTATTTGAAAATAAATATTGCAAATATCAATGCTATGATGATTTACAGTAGCTGTTAGTCTATATCGAGTGTCGGGTGTCGGAGTCGGCGAGTTTGAAACAACTCTATTACAAGTACATGTTATGAAAAGGATATGTGGACAGAAATATAGATTTAAAACAGCATTAATATGTGGTCGTTTCCTTTGTTTTAAACTGCAAATCAGATGTATGAAAAGCTGTTAAAATGTATTAAGCCTCAGTCACATTTGCTCTAAGGCAGCCATATAGTGGCCGTACCTTCAAAAAGTCAATATAGAAAATGTACATCGTACTGTCATGACTGTGCATATTTCTCTCGATTTTGGGAAGCTACGGCCACCGTACAGTTGCCATATTAGATCAAATATGACCTAGGCATTGAGAATGTATAAATCTATAAAAGAACTATGCACTATAAAGAACTACTGTAAGACAATTGTGAATGTGCAGAATACACATGTACTACACACTTGGGACAATTACACACATGACAATTTTAGTAACACTTGTGAATACAACACAATTGTGAATACAACACACTTGAAAAGAGAGAACTTACAAATCCTTGCAAGCCAACTTAAGTAGACATAATCCTCCTTCAGTCTGTCGCTCTGGATCAATGAAAATATCTACAAGCAAATAGAGATTAGAAGCATATTTCAAACAATAAACACTAACAATAACACTTGTAACTTAAACGCCTTTTGTGCACTTTCTGCACAATGCACTAGCATGGTCAATATACTTCCAGGCTTTGCAGAGAGGTCTCTTGATGACCCATCCTAAGATCACAATGTCATTAATATTCTGATTAAAAGTAAAATACAAAAATGCCACCATTCATTGGGCTCATATGTTGACAAAAAAGCTGATTTCTATAAAACAAGGCAAAAGTAAGAGCCTCCAGGACCAGTGGTGTAAATAGCGTACAAGCATATATACACATAAAATGGATATCAGCATTGATTTAGACAAATGGTGGATTTCATTTGTTCCAAAATTGTTGATGGATGGACAGATAGACAAGTGGGTGATTCCATAGAACTTTTCAAAATCTGAGTGCAACAAATGGTAGCCTAAATATTACCATGGAAATACTGCATTTGCTATTAATTTGGTACTACTGACCGGTAATTCCAATTATTGTCATTTTTGGAATTCTAGTAATGACTGAGAGTGAGACAAAGAGTGAGATTGGTACTCAAAAGGTATTATAACTATATCATTACGATCACATATTTCTTATTTCCAAAAGACTGACAGAGATTTAATTTGGTACATTCTTCTGGGATCCTCGAAAATTGTCAAACATAAAACAAGCGCCAAATAAAGAACAAATACAGTAAATCTTCAACAATTATTCAACAGTATAACTCATCAACTTTCAAACCATCTTATCTAAATAATAAAGAGTAATCCTTAGATCTCGCTGCAAAACTTACAACATCTGGCCAACCAGCTAAGGTATGTGATGTCATTACTCTTAATCTTAGTCTTTTGTACAAGTTGAAATACCTGGAATAGAAATAAACACAAGGGAACCATTGAGTTATTTAAAAGAAGCCCCCTTTCCTTTCTGTTCACCAAAACCTCTGAAAATGAAGATTGTAAAAAGTTTGTAAATATACGTAAACCGACTGGTTTATTTTCATCTTCCTAAAACGTAAGGGAACACTAGCCCGACTTAAAGGGAATGCGAAGTTTCATGTTCTAATTTACACGCTGGCTACTTATAACCATCATCTATCACTTCAGCTCATTCATTGGACATATCGTGTTTGAACTAACATATAATTCAAGTTCAAAATACCCATATCTGGATCGCTGCGGATGCCGCCATTGTTATGTATCAATGACGTCATTGATGCCTTAAAATTGATGCCTGGGAAATGTCGCTATATAATCACGTCATACTCGGATCGCAGAAATAGAACACATTTCACTGATATTTTATAACTATTTCTGTCCGCTTAACATCGTTGCTGCATGTTCATGTCCATATCATATCATATATTTGGAAAAGTTGTTTCAATATATTCTTCATAGAAATTGAATTGTTGCAATGTATTTTTTCAAATGTTTGTATTTATTTTCTCCGATGTGATATAGTATAGGCTAGGTCGAAAAATCACTAAACTTATCGGCTGTGCGATTCGGAAGTCATCGCAATATTCCACTTGAAAAATATCCACTAGAAATATTTTATATAATGATAACACTGGGTCAAAAAGGATAAATCTGTTCAAATCCTGTAAATGCTTTCTTGTATATTTAACCAATAAATGAGGTAAATGCATTAAAATATACAGAATGGCATTTACACATAAATGCATTTGTGCATCAATGGGGATTTATTTAACTACGATTAACGTGGCTAATGTGTTGGCGTATTTGTGGTGAAAATAAGTAAGTTATATCATCGGCTGAACGCATCTAACAAATAGTTGCATTTACCATATTTATGTAAATACACGACATACCATTTCAAATATCAAAATCTATGCTAATGTTCATTAATGCGCTGATGAGCAGTTACGGCACATCATCATTAACCTTAAGGTATACGTCGGCAAATAGGCATACTGCCGAAATTGCTTTCTTACCTAATTATAAATGGTAGATTTCTTCAATCTGTAGTATTCTATTCAAGTATGTATAGGTGCATGAATAGGTGCATATTGGAGAATGAAAGAAATAAAACAAAAAGTAGTAATCCAATGAAACAGTAACTCCCTAAAGTGTTTCGCCATTTAAATTCTGATGAAAAAAGCAAACAAATAACGAAAAATCGATGTCGTCTAAATGATACGTATGTAAATGTCAATCTCCTAAATGTTAAGATTGGCATGCGCAATAACTTTAAAAGGACATGCCACTGTCATATTTTCAAAGAATAATACGTAATGTCTAATTTTTCTCAGTTGTTAAACGACCAATTTCAATCATCATATCACCGTAGCGACATTCGATATGACAAAAAAAGCTTTTCAAAATTCAATGCAGTTGGATCATGACAAGAGAAGGCTCATAACATTCAGTAATGCGGGGAGACGATGGGGTCGATTGTAGTATGATATTTCATTTCAACGACGATAAGGGCAATTGCCGTATTGATAACTTTTTGTTAAAAACAATTCCTGCTTTTGAGCTCGAATTTAATTATATAACAAACGTGGTAAGTACAGTTCTACAGTATTTTCAAAATAATGGTTTTCAATTTAATGGCATACAACCCTTCGTTTTTCTATATCGGAAAATAAGTTGAACTTCAAAATCTTCAGTCACATTTGTTTAATGCGACCACACGTCGATCGTATTTCCCTGAAATCAGTAAATTTCTGCGGCAAACATAGGAAAACTACAGTCGACTTAAGGTCACCTTGCTGTCTACGTACACAACATATCCAGTTTTTACAAAACGTTTTTCTTTCCTGTGGTCACCATAGATATCAACAAGCAGCTGCTAAACCGTAGGTCTCACGACGACCGTACGTCGGGTTCACGGTCGACTTGCGGTTGCGCTAGTTGGATTTCATAGGTTACAATTGACCTTTCCGAACCATAGAACCCCTTCTGGATGCCTTCAAGAAAAGCTACGCACGTCGTAGGGCCGCCCTGCGCTGAACGTGCGTCATCATTTATCAGCCGTACGGGAATCGTAGTTTTTCCTCATAATCAAGATACGCCGTACGGCTATCTTAGCAAATGTGAATGCTAAATTATCTGACTGCAGAAATACTTAGGCAACCGTAAAAATCCCACTTACCACAGAAATGATAGACCGTACGGTGACGTGAGGCTAAGGATCCATGATGTAGCCTAATTGAATACGGTTTTAAAATTTAATTTTAAAATTTTAATTTCTTTGAATACCTGTGTTAAAAATAAACGTAAATGCAATGAATATTAAAGTACGAACACGTATTTTTGTAATGAGACTAGCAAATTAAACCATCGCATGCTTGGAAATTCAAGATGGGTTGGTTGAATTAATTTTATTATGTTTTATTCAAATAGTTTGCCTTCGCCTGATAGAATTAGCATTCTCTGTTCGCATTAAGCGCTAGACCTAATAAAAGTTAAAAAGTCACGAATCCCAGATTGTGAGATATAACTATAATCGCAAGTGTAGAACTCATTCTGGACTAGTTTAAAAGCCTACAACACCATAATCATTCACAGTATAGTCAGAAAGAAAATGAATGAGACTCGAGTAGTTTAGATATCTTTATATTCTATTGCCTTTTCACAATAACATTTAAATAAGGTATCTAAATACCAGTTTGTTTAAAAAACTACAGATATAAAATCATTTGAAAAAATAATTAAATTTTCTGTATGATAACACAAATGTTGGTCATATCACGGCCTTACTCTGAGTTCAAAATTTCTTGAAGACATTAGTTTGTATGAAACACATTGAAATAAAACTGTTGTCATAGAATTTGTGCCTTACCTCCTCTGCTTCTTTGAAGTTACCAACTGATGCCTTTGCTTGGGCGTAGTTGTAGTTGAAGGAATCATCATTGTAGAAGTAACTCTGAAACAGTAAACACATCAAATTGAACAAAATTGAAGTCCTTAATGATTATATATGCTACTCTTCTAAAATCTCATTTAAAGGTACATTCAAAAGCTATATAGGAAAGCATTTTATGAAAATTAGGAAAGATCATTTAATTATCAATCTTGAAGTGAAAATGGGGATTATCGTGAATCTCCAAAAATATACAGATGAGAACAGAGGAGGAGCACTAATAAGATCTCCCAATTATTATGAAATCAACTTCTCGACTATCTTTATTACTTTAGTTGATACTGATTCTGAACCAGGGTGTTATCAAGTAATAGTGATAGGGAAAATGGGATCTACAGACAGAAGAGTTTTACCTTTATGGAGTTCAGATACACCAAGACATCTTCAAACTGTTTGAGCAAGAAGAAACACGAAGCCATACACTGCCTTCCGGGAATGGTATCTAAAACATTAACATTTCAATTAGGAATTCAAGTTGAAGGAATAGTATCTGAGTTTCAATGAGAAACTCAAGTTCAGGTCAAACTTTGAAAGTACCCTTTTCTTATTTAGCTTTGAAGTTAGCTTTGAATTTGCCACATCTCATATAATATAGTAGTGAAGAAGAACTCAATCATAAATCTATTTGGTAACAGAAGCGCTGTGCACCTCAAGTGAGAATAATACCTGCTCTGACAGACCTTATTGATATAATAGCCAAAGACTTACCACACTCGCTAGCAGAGCCCCCTACCAACTGGAAATACTGCTGCGCCATCTTTAGGTGGTCCCTCTGAAACACACAACATAAATATGGATATGCACATACAATTATATAGAGGCTTGTGGGATAGACTTCAGTTGAACTAGATTCTGCAAAAATATGGACTCAAAAAACACATAAAAGACAGAAGCAACACTGATCTCCACAGGATGTTTTCCCAAGTGGTTGCACAATTTTCATTTTCACAATTCAGACCAAAATTGGTAAAATTTTTCTCATTTTCAAGTGGGTGCAAATTGATGTTCAGGTGGGTGCAAGCCTATTTTCAAAATTCCAGGTGGGTGCTGCGCCCACTTGCTTTAATGCTGGGGAGATCACTGAGCAATGCAGTGATGATCTCAGGAGGACAATAGTTCTGGGTTGTGCTATAAATAAGCATTGGTCTGTTTTGAATCTTAAGTATAAGTAAAGTTAAACCTGTGAACCGGAACACCTCTGTAAGTGGAACACCTCTGTAAGTGGAACATCTCTTAAGTGGAACATTTCAGAGTCCTGTGACTAATCAATTTGATATCAAATGATAATACAAGTAGAACACCTTTTAGAGGTATTAAAGGTGTTCTACTTATACAGGTTTTCTCTACAAGACCTTGACTGGTGTACAAAACCTCACAACAGATTTTTGTAAACATTTTTGTGTACATGTTTAGAGTGTTTCACAGTCAATGACATCAAATAATTATAAACTACAGGGTGTTCAAAAAAAACGCAACCCAAAGAAATCGCTATATCTTGGAAAATACTTATCCAATTGCACTCATTTTTTCAGGAAAGAAAGAAGAGACTGTGCATGTATAGCTCCTGTTATTATTTAGTTGTAAAACATGAAGCCTTGGACGCCTGCTCAAAAGACATTAGAATGAGAAAGATACGAAAAATGCAGTCAAAGGTGACTGTCACAGCAATAAAACTGAATAACTTTCTAACCATAGTGTTCTGGCACTTCAGATTTGGCACAAATTATCCTCATTCAATGTGTGGTGAATTTGTGGAGTTTCATCAAAATCACTCCAGGGACTTTACAGTCATGGTCAAAATAACTTCTTATGTCTGCCTGAACCAGGGTGTTTGACTGCGTTTTGAACGCATTTCGACCATAACTGTGAAGTCCCTGGAGTGATTTTGATTTCACTCTACAGATTTACCATACTTTGAATGAAGATGATTTGTGCCAAATTTGAAGAGCTAAAACGCTATGATTATAAAGTTATTCAGTTTTATTGCTCTGGCAGTCACCCCTGACTGCGTTTTTCGTATCTTTCCAATACTAATGTCTTTTGAGCAGGTGTCTAAGGCATCAAGTTTTATAACTTTCCAACTACAGGAGCTACAGTCTCTTCTTTCTTTCCTGAAAAAATGAACATAATTGCATTAGTATTTCCCAAGATATAGCGATTTCTTTGGGTTGCGTTTTTTTTTGAACACCCTGTACATGTAAATACTTTTATCATCAAAATTTCAAAGCTTTTAGTTATCAAATTAAGCAAATCCAACACCATAGTATGACCAGCCTGACCACAGGAAAGAAAGCAAACTTGGATTATTTTATTTACATTGCAGCTATTCTTGTTAATTGAAAATGATTCATTTCACTTAAATGAAGGATCATATCTATACAGTATATAATATAAAATGTACGAAAATCAATGAATTAGTTTTAAAATAAAATACAAATCGATGAAGTGAATACATATCAATTCCAATATTATATTACAATTTACAATATAATAATATATTATTGGACAGGGTTTTACAAATCTATAAAACATTTCAAGAATTCCACTCCCATGAATCATTATTTTAGAGGCAAACATTGACAATGTCGGAAATGCTACAAAAGGAACAGGAAAGCAAAGGGTAGAGGTCTTCTTTGCCAGGCATGCATAGGGACCTAAAGGGTAAATTATGTGAGAAATTTTAAAATAACTAACCAAAATATTTTCATCCTCAAACACAGATGTCAAGAAATCATCTACAAGATTGACTTGTGAATGAGTTTGGGACATTTGCATTCTGAGGATGAATTATTTTAGAAAATACTACTTGAAATTGAAGCTTGGTTGAAATTACGAAAAAAGATTTTGCACAGGATTATGCAAGATTCCGCATGAAAGACTCTAAGGTGTTTGTATGTTGCAGGCAGAGTTTAATTGATAAAGTCATAATTACCGATCCACCAGTTGACTTGTCCTTTAGCAGAAATAAAGATGAACAATGTTACAAAATAGTTAGCGGATCTTATCTCAACATACAGGGGTTTCACTAGCAGCAGGCAACTTGCGATTTCCAATGTTTTTTCCAAAATAGATTGTTATTTTGAGGAATCTAGCGACTATTTCCATGTAAAAATTCATATTTCCAATACTTTTGCCTGTTATTTTCATTTACTTATGCCTGTTGTTGGAAATTCTAATGAAACCCCTGCCTGATATAATATATATTGTGTCCAAACTATTCTTATAAAAAAATGAGAACAATACTGAAAATCTGAACTAATTTTACACAAAAAGTCTAGTCATTGTATTAACTTACTGAACCAGTATCTTGTCCTAGGGCTGCATTAACAACACCTTTCAGTATATATTCCTGTGGCGTTGTAGGGTCAAGGTCTTTAATAAGGTTATAGGCCTCATTTATATCATCTAGAAAGAACAGATTAATGAACTTGTAGTTGAATGATCAATTTGTATGAAGCTATTTGGAAGTATTCTCTCTTATCTAATATCTATATTTGATTTTATCAGGAATAGATGCGATGTTGTTTAACTTAACTTAAAATTGTTAGTCTTACCAATCTCATGTAAAAAAGTCATAAATAACATACCCTTAATTGTATTGATTGAAGATAGACATATAAAGCATTAATACTTTGGAAATGTCAGTTAACAATGCAATAAAAGGTAAATGGAAATTTACGAGGCATCTTTACCTTGTTTCAAATAGTATATGACAAGGTTAAGTCTGGCCTCGGGAATCACATCAACCAGTGCAGGCAGGACCTGTAGCGCCCCCTCTCCACCACGGAATACAACCTACACATAACGAATATCGCTTTTTAAATTACTCAGACTCTCTGGATGATATCAATAATATTGTATTTTATAATTTTTATTCCTTCATATATTACATTGCAACCATAAACAGGTTGCTCTGTTCCTCACTAGGTTTACATATCAAAATCAGGAAGATATGAAAAAAACATGTTGTTTTATCATGAGAAGGGCCTTTACTTTATATTACAACAATGTTTCATTTGAGTGCAGCTACTTACCAAATTATGTTTGATGAGATCTTTAGCAAACAGGAATGATGGAGAGGTCATCTCTTGAAGACTCTTCAACTCAGCCTAGAACAAACCAAATGTATGGAATGTAAAATCTCTTCACATACAAATAATAGCATTTCTAAATCTCCTGAAGTATCAAGATCAGGCAGCAAAATCATTTATTTGGGAAAAAAATATTTTACATCATTTACTTTAAAAGATATGCAAAAGAGTGGATGGGTTGAAAAAATAATGGTAGGATAATTCTTTGATTCTTTAACTCTCATTCATCTGTTGTCCAGTAAATTCAAAAATTGCCATTTCCTTGGTGTCTGCTGGTGCATCCTATACTCATCTTATTGCAATATAGCAGACCATAGGTGCAATTTCAGTGATATGGTCCAGACTGCTAACAGTTGGAAGAATGACTTACCTCTGCAGCTTTGCCATTGTAGTCTGGAATGGATAAATGAATGACTTACCTATGCAGCCTTGCCATTGTAGAGTCTGGAATGGTTAAATGAATGACTTACCTCTGCAGCCTTGCCATTGTAGAGTCTGGAATGGTTAAATGAATGACTTACCTCTGCAGCCTTGCCATTGTAGAGTCTGGAATGGTTAAATGAATGACTTACCTCTGCAGCCTTGCCATTGTAGAGTCTGGAATGGTTAAATGAATGACTCACCTCTGCAGCCTTGCCATTGTAGAGTCTGGAATGGTAAAATGAATGACTCATCTCTGCAGCCTTGCCATTGTAGAGTCTGGAATGGTAAAATGAATGACTCACCTCTGCAGCCTTGCCATTGTAGAGTCTGGAATGGTAAAATGAATGACTCACCTCTGCAGCCTTGCCATTGTAGAGTCTGGAATGGTTAAACAAATGACTTACCTCTGCAGCCTTGCCATTGTAGAGTCTGGAATGGTTAAATGAATGACTTACCTCTGCAGCCTTGCCATTGTAGAGTCTGGAATGGTTAAATGAATGACTTACCTCTGCAGCCTTGCCATTGTAGAGTCTGGAATGGTTAAATGAATGACTTACCTCTGCAGCCTTGCCATTGTAGAGTCTGGAATGGTTAAACAAATGACTTACCTCTGCAGCCTTGCCATTGTAGAGTCTGGAATGGTTAAATGAATGACTTACCTCTGCAGCCTTGCCATTGTAGAGTCTGGAATGGTTAAATAAATGACTCACCTCTGCAGCCTTGCCATTGTAGAGTCTGGAATGGTTAAATGAATGATTTACCTCTGCAGCCCTGCCATTGTAGAGTCTGGAATAGTTAGATGAATGACTTACCTCTGCAGCCTTGCCATTGTAGAGTATGGAATGATTAAATGAATGACTTACCTCTGCAGCCTTGCCATTGTAGAGTCTGGAATGGTTAAATGAATGACTTACCTCTGCAGCCTTGCCATTGTAGAGTCTGGAATGGTTAAATGAATGACTTACCTCTGCAGCTTTGCCATTGTAGAGTCTGAAGTGGTTAAATGAATGACTTACCTCTGCAGCCTTGCCATTGTAGAGTCTGGAATGGTTAAATGAATGACTTACCTCTGCAGCTTTGCCATTGTAGAGTCTGAAGTGGTTAAATGAATGACTTACCTCTGCAGCCTTGCCATTGTAGAGTCTGAAGTGGTTGCAAGCTTTGAGATTCAGAGCAACAGCACTGTCTGCATGATGTTGTAGGTAAACCAATAGCACCTCCTAGTTTCATAGAAACAAATATTTGTCAATGTCATATAATAAGACAACACATATAAGTTGACATTTTGTGAATATCTATGCACACATACATGTATGATGATGTTTGGTCCTTTTTTAAACAATCATTATTAAATGAAAAGAACCTGGCACCAATACAAGTCTCATGAACTGTTTGAAATAGTACAATCTTAATCAAATTTCAATCAAATACCTTATTTTTGCAATAGAAAGACAATTAAATTGCAGTAGTATCTTTAAAGGGAAATTAAAATATCTCACCTGAGATACGTCATAGTAATCTAGTTTGTAATAGCACAATGCAACATATACATTCAGGGCCACATAGTCTCTGAAACGCAGAAATAATACATGATTAGGTCTTGGAAACTGTCTATTCAGCTCACACTGTATACTTCAATTCATTATAGTAAACCTGAGTATTTTGCAACATTTCGATGGAATGTGCTTGGGTCAAAATCATTATTTTTAAAATAATGGCCATTCTGAAAATTAATAACCCTTTTCAAAGAGAGTCAGAGAGGATAGGGGGTCTTTTTTCAGCAATTAACAGACAGACAGAGAAGTGAGTAATTGCAATAACTCACCAAATTGTGAGTTAAAAACTTTCAATGAAAATGAACAGTAACGTCATATAAATACTTCAACAGGCAAGTTTTTGTCAGGTCAAAAGAACAAAACTTCAAGTCAATAACGTAAGAATGACAAACCTTCATATCCCTCCCTAATATCCTATACAAACTACTTTTGTTTTGACCTAACAAACAACTATTCATTAAATATTTAAATAATTATCTACATCAATGTACTTGTTAAGCTCTAACTGACTGAATCCTCCTCTCCTGTAGGCCTTGTTCACTTCAGGAATATTACTATCAGTTCTATATTAAAGTTAAACCAACTAATAAAGAAGGTACATTCATGTGCAATATGAATATATTTTTCTATATATTATTGCATAATATTATTTAGATTTCTTATTTTTCAGGTTCAACTGCTTGCCTTTGAAGCAGTGTAACAGACTGTAGCTTTACTTGCTGGCAGATTGGGTAGATTAATATATAAAATATCATTCACATTTTAAAAATATAAATTGGAAAAAAATATTACATTATAAATAAAACGTTGTGGGGAAAAATTGAAAAGTACATTGTATGCCAACTACAAGCAGAATCGACTAGAATAGGGAAAAACATCATGTTTATCTGTAAGATCAAGAAATCAGTGCTCATGCATAAATCCTGAACAATTTCCTCTGGAGATAAGTATAAGATTGGTGCTGCGACTCCGTGTGACATCACAAGGAGGTCATCGTAGAACAAGCAAATTTACTATAAGAAGCTTGTCTTTATTTTATCAGATACATAAATCATTTACCTATTGTCCAGCAAGATTCTTTTATATATATCAATTGCCTCTTGATAATGACTTCGCAAATAATGGATTGAAGCCAAACTAAGTTGGTCTTCAACAATATCTTGTAAGCTTTGATGGTGCCCCATTAGTTTCTTTTCATCGTTGAATTTGTGTGATAGATGGAACTCCAGACGATTAGCGAGCCTTGACTCAGGCCCTGTAATGCACAAAACAACAAAGAACATGAACATCTTTACAACACTGCATGTAAGTCTATGCAACTATGGGCAAAATGATGATATATCTCCATATATGGGCAACATGATGATATATCTCCATATATGCGCAACATGATAATATATCTCCATATATGGGCAATATGATACTCTATGGGCAACATCATGCTATGTTGACATGCTGTAAAATACATAAGTGCAACATCACTGGATAACACTGTACTTGGTCACAAACTACATCTATGCTGTATGCCACTAAAGGTTAAATTGCAATACAAGAGAAACACCACAGACATCTTGCATTCACAAATACAGCACTATCCAGTAATGACAACATTTTGCGAACTCTTATAGAATTTCATGGTGATAGATTTAAAATAGTGCAATTTCTTTTAAGAAAACAAACTTAACCCAGAATATACCCATATTTAACCCTTAATACCTTTCAGAAGAATTACCAGGCACTTGAGTTCTAAAATACCTTTAAAATGGGATGGCAACTTTATGATCTTGACTGAATAGTATAGGTAAATTCTCCTGACCACCATGTAATTCTATATAAGGTTTTGATCCAGTATCCTGGGGTGGATACAACACAGCTTATATCACCAACCTTTTTTCAAGTAAGATTTTCTTATATATATCAATAGCCTCTTGGTAATGGCCCCTGAAATAATGAATAGCTGCGAGAGAGAGGTGGTCCTCTGTGACGTCAAGGAGATTCTGATGATGTGTCATTAGCTGTGACTCATTATTGAACTTACAAGCCAGATGCAACAAGACTCGATTCTGTTCACGAGACTTTGGTCCTAGAATACAGGCCTAATATATTAGTTTGTCGTATAGACAAGATGATTTCTCGGGTAACTGCTATCATTAACAATTATGCTTGTTTATTTCCTAAAGGGCTGCCGTGTGTGAATGTTTGTCTGTGTACCAATGCAAAATAAAGGTAGCCTGAGTAAAGTTGTTACCATTCGAACATGACTGTATTCACGCCCTCTATAAACTGTGAACAAAGTCAATATGCCTAGCCCTGCAGGGTGTATTTGACAATATTACCCCTACTCTTCGGTCTATATTTCTTAATTATTGTATGAAATGCTACCGTCTCAAAAAGAAATAAAAATGTAACATGTTAGTGACATTACATACATTTATATTTAAGAAAAATATGTACATTTTAAAGAATATAATACAGGATGTCTATATAATGGCTCTTTACAAATACATTACAAAGTCTGTATAACATGTAAGGTAGACATAAAGAGACACTCTGTATATCAATCAATATTATGCTCAAAACAGTAAAATTTTATTTTCAAATTCCTCTATTATCTGAACATTTATTCATGTTAACAGTTTTTCATTCTCATTTTTTATCTGCCATATGCTTCCTTTGTTAAAAACCTTGAAATGTGAACACTTGCCAATTTGTTCACTTACCTAGTCCCAGTGGTGTTCAGAGTAGACAGGTTTTACTGTATACTTTGTGACCATGTGTGAAGATTCATTCATTTGCATGCCATAAAATTAATGGGAACATATTTTGAACATGATGCTATAAATTAGCAATCACGATTGAGAGTATTAAGAATTTCCAATTTCACTGAACAATGTTTTAATACACAACAGTTTGTGAATAAATGATTTTAATCACTCAGGAAAAGCATATCATCCATTATACTTGTAGCCCAAAGGTATATAATATTTTAAGTAAATTAACAATATGATTGAAAGTACATATTCCCAAAGGTTATCATTGGCATCAATGATATTAATGTGACTGACCAATAGCCAGGTTTTGCCTTGAGTGTGTTCAGTTTTCAAAAAATCCAGTTCATGGTTCAAATTTGAAAATTAGGCACAACATCACTTGAAAAATGTTAAAAATGGTGAAAAACAGCATGTTTTGTAAGAATTTGGGGTTACAGGCCTTTGTGAAGGGTTGCTATTGTGTAATATGAAGCATCACCTTTTTTGGATGCAGTTTCTGCCTCAGGATACATCCCTAGGAAAAAGTAACAACACGCCAGGTTGATCCAAACATCAGGGTGACATGTGTCCTTCTTTGTCATTCTCTCATACTCCTGAAAATAAAAAAACAGCATAAATCATTAATGTTATATACCATGTTTAATTTAGTATCATACATTTAAGGCATTACTTTGTAGTTGTTTACAATCAGAACTTTATTACTTTGCATGACAAAATATGACAAAATTCATATTTTTCCTGGTTGAGCTGATATCAAAGGTTTATTGATATCAAACAAATTTTGTTTACCATCTTGTACTAACTGGAGTTAGATTTTTCTGAAAACTGCACACACATGAGAAACCTACCTCCATAGCCCGTTTATATTCCCCTAGATGGAAGGCACAGTAAGCGATCCATAGATCTGTCTCTTCAGACCCTCGGCCACTGTTTCTGCTGAACTGTAAACAAGAGGACATTTATCAATTAAACCAGGCTGAGCATAAGTAATCTTTAACTATTACCCTTTTATGTTGTTTCTGCTGTAATTTGGGGCATTCCTTTGGTATAGTTTTTATATACATATGTAGATGTAATGTAATTAACATATAATTTGGTATTTATATCAATTGTACATTTAAGTAAATTCTCCTTACCAACGTATGATCCATTAATGGGGGATGCAAATTATGAGTAAGAAATATTGCACAGTAACATAATACTGGTATGTGTACATATTTACCTCTAATAATGTGATAGCTCCTGTGTAGTCTCGCACATTCAAGAAATCATCTAACTTTGGCATCTTCTTTTTCTTCTTCTGTTCTTTAGGAGGGGCTGCCGAACCAGACTGAGTGGCTGGCTTTGTCCTTGAGAGCATCTGGCAGAAAAATTAATTCATAAATAAATCCAAGTGCATGTTGCATCATATGACATGGTGACTTGTGTGGAAAATGCCCAGAATTTAACATCATTCAAAAATTATAGCTGGATTGCATAATTGAGTTCAGACCCCAATGATTTAAATGTCTATTTTGCAGTAACTGTTTCAAAACCTCCCTGGTCAAAAAAACCAAGTCATTTTTTGCCTTTTTCAGGACATATTTAAGATTTTTTTCATTCTGATAAGTTTTTTTGCCATTTAAAGGGTCCATGAAAAGCCTGGTGGCCTTGGGTATTTTCAACAAACCTCTTAATAGACAATTTACCTATATTGGCCAAATACAGTCTTGTTTGACAATTCAATATCATAAGATTTTAATATAGATTTGATCTAATGATAATACTATACTATATATGTCATGATTTAAGAGATTGAAACATGTTATCACGGGGTACCATCGAATAATTTTGGCAACGTACCGGAGAACGACATTTTACTAAGAAATGGCAATGATTTAGCACAATATATTTTTTAACTAGACTTCTATTTTGATTTTGACAAAAGTAAGTATTCCATGCAATATCTATTTCATTCATGAGTTTGTAGGAATTCTGTTGGAACCCAGTTCTGATCAAGTACGAAGTTATTGAAATCGGCGCAGACGGACTTTACTCCGAAAGATGGTTTTTCTATTATAACTTTTCACAACATTTAAGTATAGACTTTTGAAAAAAGTACAGAATAGTCCTTATACTTTTGAATAATTCTGTTATTTCTGATTCACACGACTCTGATTTGTTTAATTCAAAAAAAAGTTTTAAAAATATTACTTAGGAACGTAACCGGAGCTGGGAACGTAACCGGAGCAGATCAGTTGAATTATTTAATCAAAAAAATTAAAACATATGATTTAAAGCACATATACTAATTTAAAAACATACGGGATTTTTCGAATGCGTATTTATTAATATATATGCTTTAAATCATATATTTTATTTTTTTAAATTATATAATTCAACTGATCTGCTCCGGTTACGTTCCCAGCTCCGGTTACGTTCCTAAGTAATATTTTTAAAACTTTTTTTTAAATTAAACAAATCAGAGTCGTGTGAATCAGAAATAACAGAATTATTCAATAGTATAAGGACTATTCTATACTTTTTTCAAAAGTCTATACATAAATGTTGTAAAAAGTTATAATCGAAAAACCATCTTTCGGAGTAAAGTCCGACTGCGCCGATTTCAATAACTTCGTACTTGATCAGAACTGGGTTCCAACAGAATTCCTACAAACTCATGAATGAAATAGCCATTGCATGGAATACTTACTTTTGTCAAAATCAAAGTAGAACTCTAGTTAAAAAATGTATTGTGCTAAATCATTGCCATTTCTTAGTAAAATGTCGTTCTCCGGTACGTTGCCAAAATTATTCGATGGTACCCCGTGGTTATACCCTTGACAGTAATACATGTAACATGGTACCAGGCCAACGATTTATCAGGGTTCTGGTATCAAGCACATGTATCAAGATTCTACCTACTCGATTGAATGTTTGTGCCAATGACAAATTGACACTCAATCTAAAGAATCTATCATGGACTTTCGAATCTCCGTCGAATCGAGAATAACATTACATACATGCAGATTACTTTTATCCTCTAATTCTACTATTGTGTCTACTAAAGACCATGTAACCTTTGACAATAACAAGTAAAGGCCAGTAAAACTACCCTAAGACAAGAGTATATTACACATCGAAAAAGGTTAGAGTCCAAGAAAGTTACGAAAAACGGCCAAAGTTACGCTTTTTGAAATGCCTACCTAAAATTTTTCAACGATCACGATGTGGAAGATACGCTTTTAAGGCAAAGTAACGTGTTTTGAAAATACCTACATAAAAATTCATCCATTCTTCGTGGAAAAAAGTTAGAGTCCAATAAAGTTACGTTTTTAGGGCAAAGTAACGTGTTTTGAAAATGGCTTGATAAAAATTCATCAGTCGTTCGTGTAGAAATGTCCAAGTCCCATAAAGTTACGCTTTTAAGGCAAAGTTACGTGTTTTGAAAATACCTACATAAAAATTCATCCATTCTTCGTGGAAAAAAGTTAAAGTCCAATAAAGTTACGTTTTTAAGGCAAAGTAACGTGTTTTGAAAATGGCTAGATAAAAATTCATCAATCGTTCGTGTTGAAATGTCAAAGTCCAATAAAGTACCTAGAAAAGTTGAAAAATGGTCAGAGAATCCATATTTTCTTTCCCCCAGAATAAATTGTCTTCGAATTGTGTGTTGTAAAAGAGACGAAAAAAAGGTAACTTTCAAAATGCCAATATTTTCTGTCCCTATATCTTGACACTGTTGTACTATACTGCACATTTCTTACCAGAAGCAATAATCTTAGTTCACTGGTGATCCGCTCGATTACGCTGGAAACGTTTGGGTAACAAAAGGACCTTTGACGTTCCGACATTTTGTTACTGAAACGAACTGTTTCGGTAACCAGCTTATTCGAGTGGATCACCAGTGTTAGTTGATAACTGAAACCTTCAGCACATAATAACAAAACTAAAGTTCTGAGACCAGCATTTTAAGCTCATGTCCAAAGTTTATACAGTTCATTTTACGAGAGCTTTAAATAAAATGCCAACATCCGAGCATCGAACAAACATTCCATTTTCACACATGTTCGGTAATATAATCTATCATAACTTCCGGAAATGACAAGCCAGTAGGAACATTTTTGGGAATTTTTACAGTTCATTTACATTTCTTGTATAACTGTACTTATTGTTATTGAACGGAATGATAAGCTGATGTAGTTACATTTGGAAGGCACGTGAGGGTCCCATTCTAGACTATATCCTCTAGTCTGAAATTTTTTTGAAATTTGGAATGAAAATATTCAGACTGAATTCTCAGGAAATTCAGTCTATTGGATATAGACTAGTCCCATTCATCAGGTAACACTCATATGTCGAAGTTAAGTTCTTACCTTTTTAAACACGGAACAACACTGGCGGATTAGGGGGGGTCCTTGGGGCCCGCCCCCCCCCTTGGGTGGGCCCAGAAAAAAAAAATTGGGGCCAAAAAAGGCCTTCAGGCCCCAAAAAGTGGGCCTCTTTGGTCATTACTGGGCCTTTTAAGGCCTTATTTTTTAATTTCAGGCCAAATTTTGAAGAAAATGGGCCTCAAAATTTCAAAATTTGGGCCCACTTTTGAGTTTTAGGGGCCCAAAAATTTTTTCCGCGCAAATGCCGATGTTTTTTTCTCTGACCTGAAATTTGGGCCCCCCCCTTGTTGGTTCCCAGATCCGCCCCTGTAACAAGGAATAGTCTGAATACTAAATAGGATATAGTCTAGGGAAGCAGGTACCATATTGTATGAGGAACGTTTTGAAACTGAAAGGTGATCACCTTTGTTTGAAATTTTCAAATTTAGTGACGCATCTTCTGAATTATTATTTGAGCCTATGAGATCCTACTACAAAACGATCTTGCCAATTCTAGTAGAACAGTTAGGCCTAATTTTTCATTGAGTGATTGATTGATTTTAGAGGCTAGGCTAGCTAGAGTCAATACGTCCAAATCCAAACAGGGGGGTAAACACGAACGGGTTCCAAATAATGGCAAGCAGATCATTGAATTGAATAATAGTACCTCTACTACCTCTACATAATATTTATAGCTTGAAAGAATACAATATAATGATGTATACCAACAATCTTACAATAAAATAATCAATTATGATGATTTAGGTGTTCAGAATTACCCCTATGCTAGTGTTTGGAATTACCCCCACAAACTCTGTGCGTTTAAATAAATAGATGTCAGTAATAAATGATTTAAATTTGGGTTTCTTGATATGCAGGGGTGACAGGATCCAGTATCATAAGTTAAGGGTATCATATTATCATATAATGATATACCATCAATCTAATAATTAAAACAATTAAGTTTAAGTTAAGTGTTTGGAATTACCCCCATGCAAGTGTTCGGATTTACCCCCCCAAAAAACACCTGTTCGGAATTACCCCCCTGAAATACCTTGTAGTAAAAATGGAATAACCCAGATATTTTTTACAATTTTTCGTAATTTTTTCTGCAAATGTATTCTACCGTGGATAATACACATAATATATATAGAATCATAGCATAGATGTGCAGTACAGCCAAGCTAACTACATTTTTTGATGGGGGTGTTTGGAAATAGACGTAGACTACTGACTCTAGTCTAGAATATTTTTCAAAAAATCATAGACTAGACTAGATCTAGACTAGATCTATCAAATTTATACTCACCATCTTGAAGATTAAACCTAAAGCCCTGTAGGCTAGCCGTAAATGTTAGGTAGTCTAATCTCTCTGATCAAATGATTTTGTTATTTAGCCTTACAAATGCACTGGTTGTACATTATTTTAAATAAATAACGTAAAATCACTCCAAAATCGAAAAAGTTTTTTGTTGCCCTGGAATTTGCCTCGTTTTGAATTTGAAGTAGAGTTTTAAAATCCGAAATCATTAAAATATGGATAATCATTTGTAGATTAAACTGATTAATGATACAATTTAATAAATGGTAAAAATATTTACTGTATTTTTGAAAATAACATTTGGGGTAAAATTACAGAATTGAATCAGATAAACTGTAATTTCGTTTTATTTAATTCCTAAAAAGGTTTGACATCCAGAGTAAAATTTTAACCTTTTCGCGTAGACTGTCCAGAGTCCGCGAATATTGGGCAGTTTCTGTATATATATGTACATAGATTTCAATAAGGTAAGTCATATTGCATCATGAATGTATGAGTTAATATTTGACCAATTTTAGTGTATTATATATGAATACTTACCCTGAAAATTACTGTTGATAAGCATAAATGTTGAAAATTTATTTCATTTCCTGGTTCGCCCCACTTCCGTGTTTGGGCAGTCTTCTAACAAATGATGAAGTCAGCCTTGTCGACCTTATTTCTAAGTTGTCTTCTTAGCTGTTAATGTTAATATCCACATAAAATCTGAAAAATATTACGCATTTTATTAATTATTAGTAGATCCATGGTAGGTCTAGGCCTAGAGTCCATTTCACTGCTTCATTTCGTCAGTAGAACGGCAAAAATAAGAAATTGGGAAACCATTGTGCAATAATATATGGAAAAGTATATTCATAATGTACATAAATGACATTTGTATATCTTGGATTGCTTCTAGTTTGGCTTATAAAGTGTGTGGCCTCTTATTATCCCACTGAACGAAGTTTTGATGTATATCTTAACAAATTGATCAGTGTAATTCACACATCAGCAAATATGGTTTTACCTATGAAACGATACAGGAAATACCAGAAACCATTTTGGGCTCATTTTCTAACCATACTCGTAAGAGAGCGCAACAGATCATGGCACAAGTGGCGGAACGCAGGCAAGCCACGCGATGGTATTTTATATAACCAATACAAGTACGATAAAAAGGTATTCTTCAAAGAGTACTACAAGGCACAGATAGACTACGAAAGAGAAGAGATGAAGAAACTCTACGAAGCTGAAAGTATTGACCAACGGTTTTATTGGCACCTCGTACAAAAGAGCAGAGGCAGTAGGAAGAGATCCAACATTTCAATTCGAAATAAAGATGGCGTGATTGTAACAGAACCGAATGAGGTTCGCCGGGTCTGGCGGGAACATTTTGAATCTCTAGCCACCCCTCTTGAAAGCCCATATTTCGACAACGATTTTAAAGCTCATGTGGACAGTGAAATTGAATTAATGCAGAGAAAATCTTTTGACAATCCAAACGAATTTCTGGAAATTCCAATTACTGCTGATGAAATCAGTTCAGCCCTTAAGAAAATGAAACGGGGCAAAGCTAGTGGATCGGACAATATAACAGTCCAACACATCGCCAATGCTGGTTCTGCCCTTTTAAAAGCGTTGCTGTTTATATTCCAAAACATTATCGATAATGAGTACACGCCAGTTAACTTCAGAATAGGCATACTCATCCCCTTACTGAAGGGTGGAGTTCGTGATCCCCTCAACACCACTCATCACAGGGGCATTACTCTTATGTCAGTGATTAGGAAACTCTATGACAATGTTTTGCTATCTCGTTACAAAGCTAGGTTGCAGGGAGCCATTCCCCAACTTCAAGGGGCGGCTTTAGATGGATGTTCATCTTTACATACTTCCTTATTACTCCACGAGACAATAGCCTACAACACCGCAAGAGGCGCCACCGTTCATATTGCCCTACTGGACATAAAAACCGCCTTCGACACTTGCTATATTAATGGACTGTTCTTCAAGCTTTACAATGTGGGGATCAACGGGAAACTGTGGCGAATACTGTACGACTCTTACAAAGACTATCATTGTTCCGTTTCTGTTGCGAATGGTCTTTCAGAGCCATTCCTCGTCCGCCAGGGAGTATTTCAAGGGGCTGTGAACAGTATGCTGATGTACCAGTTTTATATATGTGACCTGTTAGAACAACTGGAGAGCAGCGGCTTGGGGGCCAACGTCATGGGCATTAATGCATGCAGCCCAGCCTATGCCGATGACATTGCACTCATATCACTTTTCCCGAACGCTATGAATACGCTTATTGACATAGCGTTTATGCACAGTAATAGATGGCGATATATACTACATCCAGATAAGTGCGTTGCTTTAACATATGGTGGAGACACATCAAACTCCAAGTTTAATTTTAAACTGGGTGAAGAGAACATTAAGAACGTAATTAGTGCATTACACGTTGGTATACCTTTATCAACCTCGGGAAATGTTAAAGACCACATAGCTCGAGCAAGCTCCAATGGGAAAAGGAAAATGTACTCCTTATTTGGTTTGGGTAGTAAATCTGGAGGGCTGACACCTATTGTTAGTGCCAAATTGTACAATAGTTTTAGCATCCCAACTATGTTATATGGGGATCAAATAATTGACTATAAGAGAGGAGAAATTGAGCAGCTAGAGGTAACACAACGCCAAATTTGCAGGCGCATACAATTTTTGCCCAAGAATAGTAGTAACCCAACTTCAATTATGCCCCTCGGGATTATGCCGATACATCAATATATATATCAAGAATGTGGCAATGTGTACAGCGGTTCAACCTAGAAGAGGCAGTCATAGAAATGCTTACCTCTGCCATTTCCCCAACAAAACCTGCTTGGAAGCTCAAGATTAGAGACTTAATAGGCTGCGAGATAAGACGAGACTTTAGGACAACAAGCTCAATGTACAATAGGCACGAAATATGTCAGAACATTTGCGATATCAGTGAGACGTCAGCAGGTCTGATGAAGCCAACTGCCTGGTGGACGTTATCAAGACTAAAACCAGAACTTCTCATACCATGTAAAAACATAATGCGCCTCGCCACGGACTGTCATGATCTTCGCGTTAAAAATTCTGGTATTAACTGTATATGTGTGCTATGTGATTTATTTGAAATAGAAACAATTGACCACTTTCTGAATTCTTGCAACGCGTACTCAGATGAGCATGCCAAACTGACATTAATCACAAGGAAATACATTAATGCTCATTCAAGAACATCTGTTCTATTTGCATTCAACGAAGTTAACGTTGACACAGAGGACATGATAGAGATATCTAAAATCATCTTAAGTATGACAAACAAAAGGTCACGCATGATGAGAGCCTATGTAGGTAACACAGGTTGCTCTTAGTTATTGACTATATTTAAACAATCGGGTAATACCGCAAGTTTGTGTTTCAAACAAAATAACAAAGACATGTACATAATATAGATTGGTTTATTTTTATGTTCTATTTCACAATACATAGATTGTAAGTTATAATGTGTTAAACTACTCTGTTTAAATACAGGCAAATAAATGATAATAATAATAATAATATAGAGAAGCCGTCCGTCCGTTTGTCCGTCCATCCGTTTGTCCGTCCGTCCGTCCGTGTGTCCGGGCGATAACTCCGATACCAGTTGATGGATTTGGTTCAAATTTTATAGGCTTATGCCTTATGAGTGTAGGACCTCTGCTTGAGAAGGAATTTTTGATATGGCCGCTCAATTTAAAATGGCCGCCATTTTTCGTAAAAAATGTAATCGTTGATAACTCAAATACAAGTTGACGGATTTGGCTCAAATTTTATATGCTGATGCCTAGGGACAAAGGAGTTTCGCACATAAAGAGATTTTCAAGATGGCCGCTTAATTTTAAAATGGCGGCCATTTTTCGTAAAAATATGTAATCTTTGATAACTCAAATACCAGTGAACGGATTTGGTTCAAATTTTATATGATGATGCTTAGGGACACAGTAGCTATGTTCGACAAAAAATTTTCAAGATGGCCACTTAATTTCAAAATGGCTGCAATTTTTCGTAAAAAACGTAATCTTTGATAACTCAAATACCAGTGAACAGATTTGGTTGAAATTTTATATGATTATGCCTAGGGACACAGTAGCTCTGTTCAAGAAATAATTTTCAAGATGGCAGCTGAATTTCAAGATGGCGGACGATTTTCGTAAAAAACGTAATCTTTGATAACTCATATACCAGTGAACGATTTGGTTCAAATTTTATATGATGATGCCTAGTTCACAATGGTATAAACTAACTTTGTGCCAAATTTTATGCTTCTATCTCAAAGTGCACAATCATTTCAACATTTACACTAGCTATAATAATCATAATATGTTTTGTTCGGTGGGATTTGCTACTCCGTGGAGTTGCTGTTTTTCTAGTATTTTTATGTTTCTCTGCCATGTTATTTTCAATAAGATTAACATGGCTGAAATTCTTCAAATTACAAGACGGCACAGGCTTATTGCACAAAAAACTAAAAAATCTGAAATATACAAATGTCATTCATGTACATTATGAATATTCTTTTCCATATATTATTGCACAATGGTCTCCCAATTTCTTATTTTTGCCGTTCTACTGACGAAATGAAGCAGTGAAATGGACTCTAGTATGTATCCAACAGACTGACTTCCAGAAGTCAGTCTGAATATAATTCAGACTAAATAGGATATAGTCTAGGTCTAGGCCTAGGCGGAGCTCCCGTCCCCTAATGACTTTGACTATCGGAGTTACAATAGTGTCACTAGGGGATCGTCCCATATAAGAATTCATGAACTAAAGAAAAAAATTAAATTTTGAACCCAGCCCTACTTTGGAGTTGATTTATCTCGTGCCAGGACTTTAGTCCTGAGAACGTCTCAATCTTTTGCCTGTACGATTACAACATGGGAGAATTTTCTACGCCTCTTACACTTAAGATACCTACTTCAATAGATTCCTAGGTGTTTTGATGGAAATATTATTATTTACCCCAGCAAATCAAGTGCCATTTTGAAGCCAAGCAAATCTCAGATTATAAATAAAGCCCCGAGATGCATTAATGTACCTAGTCTAGGCCTAGATCTAGTGAAGTCTATATCCAATAGACTGAATATCTTGAGAATTCAGTCTCTTGATCGTCATATCCCTCCTGTGGGAAAAAACAGGAAATTTCCTGCACAAAATTAACAAATCCAGGAAGCTCCACTTCCAAAAAATAAACATTATAACAATTCAATTAAGTAGTAAGGTACAATCAAATGCTATAAAAAGTAACACAGCCTATTGTCAAATGAAAATAAAGCTAGGGGAAGTAACAAATATGCAAATTAGTTAACTCAATCGGCCATTTTGAATGGCACTTCCTATGTAAACAAATAATTTTCAATCCCAAATTTTAACATATGTGTGCTAATAGTCTTAATATTTTCATTCCAAATTTCAAAAAACTTTCAGACTAGAGAATAGAGGCTAGGCCAAGATCAGGCATTAACGACGTGCCACGAAGTAAGAAGGACAAAATGGGTGGAGTGGGAGAGGAGTTGGTTTTAAGTGCATCAATGCACCTCTGGGTCTTAATTCATATTTCTGATATTTGTAACTGTCAGAGGTGCATTTGCTGCCATCTAACTCTAAATCTGGAGTTACTTTTTCTCCAAGCTCCTTACCTTATAAGTCGATCTGTTTTCTGTAAATTCGCAATTTTTGTGCAGTCCACATCGGAATTTAAAAAATCAAAAATCACCATGGTCTGGGAATGGGGATAGAAAATCAAGGTGACATCATAAGACACTGATCTTATGCAGATTTCAAGACATTGCTTGAATTTTTGAGTTTATTCAGATGTAGTTCATTGTTAAAAAAGTCATATTCTCATAAAGATTTGCTTAACAATGTGAAATACATAAATATGAAATAATTTAAATTGCAGGAAAACAGGAAACAGAAGAAATTCAAAGACAGAATCATCACAATTTGACTAATTGAAATCTGAATTGAAGATGGCTGTTGCTCATAGCTTTGGTACAGATCCAATCACCTGTCATGCTTGGAACAAAGACAGATCACGTAAGAAACATGATAATAATGTAGACTTCATGTAGATTGTGTACACATACACCACAGATTGGCATAATTTTATAACATTGTGTTTTTAGATTCAGCTGTAAATGGCACTTCCTTTTTTCAAAAGAATTGAGAAATGAAATCATACCTAAATCACTTAATGAAACATGTTTTTGTTATTTTATTTTAGAGATTGCTGTTTGCCCAAATAGTAGCAATGTGATTATCTACACACTGCGTGCTGGTCGCTGGGAGGAGACTGCAGTGTTGAAGGAACACACACAGCGGGTTACTGGAATAGACTGGGCTGTCAATAGCAACCTCATTGTAACATGCAGTGCTGTAAGTAGGGACTCTAATTATTAAGATATGGCATCAGTGTTAGGTGTCTAAAACAAATTGTTTCACATTTATAACCAGATGGTGACATTTTGTCATGTTAATAACTTGTTTCAAAATGCTTAACCTTAACCAACCATTTTGTTTTAGAATAATAATTGCTCACTTGTTTTCTGTTACAAATATATTAAAGGCCCAGTCTCTTTAATACTTGTTTCGTTTACTCCAAAATGTTTTCGCTTCATAACCTTCAGCAATTTGAATCTTCTTCTTCATAATAAAATAAACTCAGAAAAATGAGAGCATCTTATTCAATTTGGAATTTTCCATGTTGCTATATCACTCTAGATGAGGATTTCTTTCATCATGATTTTCTGCCATTAATGATTGATGTCATAGCTGGGTGAAATATTAATTACTGTCTGTTATGTAGGATCGAAATGCGTATGTGTGGAACCTGCGTGATGGAGAGTGGAAGCCTACACTTGTTATCTTGCGTATCAATCGTGCTGCCACCTGTGTTAAGTGGTCTCCAAAAGGTAAACACAAAAAGCACATTTGTGTATTCTTAAAACTTGATTTTCAAAATGACAAACATGATTTTTTGTATTTTTGAAATTGGTACATCGTCAGTATTACAGAATTGTCATAAGAACAATATGTTATGATAAGTCAAACTGGTTAGAGTTACACATCGGGCTTAATTGCCTCGTTACAGAGCATTTTGAAGGATTTTTAAAGTGTTACACAGACCCAAACCCCTTAATACTGGAGAATTTTTGTCAACTCTTCTGTGTAAAAGGTACCGCTGTTGTTCTGAAAATGTATAGTGTGGTTATGACTATTATTTCTACTTCTGTAGAGAACAAGTTTGCCGTTGGTAGTGGAGCACGTCTTATATCTGTGTGTTACTTTGAGAAAGAAAATGATTGGTGGGTAAGCAAGCACATCAAGAAGCCAATCAGATCAACTGTTACAAGGTATGAACAAGGAAGTGATCAGTTCTCATCTGTTTTGAAAAGATATTTGGATAATTTGAAATTTTGAAATTTTTCAACACACTTCAACGTGATTACATGATGAATAGACCTGTTGGTGTTGTTACAAAAAGCTCCAGTTTAAACTGTCCTTATGTTTTTCATTTTTGTAGCATTGACTGGCATCCAAACAACATTCTAATCGGATGTGGATCGACTGACTTCAAAGCAAGGTATCGCAAAACACAATAATATGCTTATTGATTAATCTAATATGAAATCCTACCACCCTCTCTTATTTGGCAAATTTGGTACACTTTTGGTCAGGGTGTCTATTTGATTTGGTAAATTTGTGTCAAGTTAAGGATGATTCCAGTGCTGAATGTCTAACTCATATAGTGTTCAAGATATAAGTTACCTAGCATTGTTCGAGACTTTCATTTCATTGAATGCCTGTATATAACAAAACATAAGTTTCAACCTTAATATTGAATTTCCTTGATATGAGTCATCTAATGACCATTATTTCCTTCCAGAGTTTTCTCGGCCTACATCAAAGATATTGAAGATAAACCAACTGCCACTGTCTGGGGAAAGAAAATGACATTTGGCAATTTGATGGCAGAGTTCTCCAATGGCGGAGGTAAGAAAGTTCAGATGTTATTCATCTGATTTCAAATTAAACTTTAACAGTTTTTTATCGTATCTAAAAAAGGTATGATATGGTCGCCAGCTTGACGGGTGGTGGGCAGTGTCTCACTTTCTTGTCACCACGATTCCAGTGATAGAGCTGATTAACTTTTGGATGGCCATCTTGCATTCTGGTGGCCATCTTGGAAGTTTTTAGATAAATCTTGTCATCAAGATTCCAGGAAAACCACTTGATTTACTTCAAATTTTCACACATGTTGGTATGAAGTTCTAGAGCTGATGAACTTTTCAGCAGGCATTTTGCTTTCTGGCAGCCATCTTGAAAGATTTACTTCAAATTTTCGCACATGTTACATAGTAAGAAGTTCTAGAGCTGATTAACATTTTGGCAGCCATCTTGCATTCTGGCAGCCATCTTGGAAGTTTTTAGATAAATTTCATCATCACGATTCAAGGAAAACCACTTAACAGATTTATTTCAAATTTTCACACATGTGAGTTACATGCGAAACTAGCTTTCAAAATCTGTTGCGCTTATCCCCGGGTCAATGAATTACTACAATTCATTCATAATTTATATCAACACGTGACTTTCGGGTCCATATATGGCAAAGAGGGTTGGCATTCGTCTGGTTGATTGACATGGGCAGCTATGCATAAGGAACATGAACGACTTACTTGTTTGTAAATAAACGCACTGTAACACAGATATTGAGTATCCTTTCCATAACGATAAATTTGTAGATTATGATTTATTTAGCTATTACCAGTGATTTATGATACAATCAATTCTCAAAATAAAATATGAATGCAAACACTTAATTGTTCATAGTTTTCATGTATCAAAACATCGATGGCAGAATTTAAAGAAAATATAGTTTTTGAGGTTTATTCTGATTTTATTGCATATATCCATGAATTTAAATAAAAATATTATACAGCATTTGATGCAAATATGTTCAATTGATTGAAACCATATTCAACGCCAGAAAGTACAATATTTCGTGTTTTGAAGAGACAGTTCCGGGAACGGTCAGATGAGTCCCCTAAGAAAAATCTTTTCAACTTAAACTCTGATTGAACAATCTTCAATTTTGCATCAATACATGTTCCTGGGCCTATCATTTCACTGATATAATATTTTGCTGTGCTCATCTAAAATAGATTGGATTCACCAACTGTGGAATCGATTTGGATTCACTAGACAGGCCCATAGCCAGGGGGGTTATTTTTGGCAACTTTGGTACATTACGAGGGGAACATACTTTTTGGCGGCCATTTTGCATTCTGGTGGCCATCTTGGAAATTTTTCTTTCTGGCTCATCAAGCCCACACTGCTATGTTTTAGGTACGATATTGTTCACCCTGTGCCTTGTTTATTAAAAGCCTGAGTACATCAGACTTCTATTCTTCATTTCTTTGGTTTTTTTAGTCATTATTTTAGCAAAAGTGGTCCATATACGAGAAAATTCGACTCTTGATTTTGATACATTATATTGTACATTATATGTGATTTGATTGCAGGAGGCTGGGTACATTATGTGGCCTTCTCTGCAAGTGGAGACAAATTAGCTTGGGTAGGACATGATGCTAGTGTCTCGGTTGTTGACAGCAATAAGGAAATGCTGTAAGTAAACAGAGTGCTCAAAGTTCTAGTGTCCAAAACAAAATCTTAGTTATTTTCATTGAATTATCTAAGATATCACAAGGGATGGTTCCCAAATGTTGATATTTTTCAGTATTTTTGATCTTTAAAGAAGTCAAGTGAACAAAATAGCAATGCTTCAAATGAAAGTTTGTTTTATGAAGATAAGGTTAAATCTAAAATTGTTGATATTTTGTAGCCATCCCTTTTAGGTTTATTGGTGCAAATGTGTGTTAAAATGTTTGACAATTCTGAATGTTATTTTGCATCTCACTTTTAATCTCCATCTCAATTATATGTGCAGTAGTTGTTTCATCTATCATAACTATGACACAATCTGTCCCTAATGAGCTTCCTCTTGACTCATTGGTGTTGTAGCAATCTATTACGCCAGAATCACTCTTCTGATTCTACTTTTGCATTGAATCTGAATTCCCAATGTCAATTGTCTGCCTCTGAATCTTTACTCTGTGAATGTATATCCTTGAGATCTGCATGCCCTGAAACATGATATAAATATAAATGTATTGTAAGCAAATGAAGTCAGTTACAAAGCCCTGGTTATAGGCCATACAGGATGTCAATAGAGAAGTTTCGCAACTCACTAATAGCATGTTTATTATTCCCGTATAACTTTTGAAGCATTTGATTACCCCTCATTTATTTAGTGTTTCTTCGTAGAGATGACGATTTATAAGAATATCACACTTATGGATCTACTAAGAGCCACGCAATAAATTATGACGTAAGCAAAGGCTTCATAAGTTATGCGGGATTCAAACATGACCATGCTCTCAACCAATCAGAATGTAGCATAGCCTATAATGAACATTCTCTATTTCCCCATATATGCATGACTATGCCATATTCGATTTGCTACCAGGAATCGATGTACATGTATTGTTTTGTATTAAGACGTCACACCTTGGAATGGCGAGCAAGTTTGGTTATTTCATTGACCTAAATCACCAATGCTCTGAACAATCTTCATTTTCTCTGTTTGAATCGGAATGAATTTCGGTCCGGGCTTTGTAGGACATTATGAACAACTCGTGCTGAATTTCACCATATTGAATGGTCTATCATTATTTATTCCTTAAATAATAAACATGCTATAAGTAAGTCTCTATTAAAACGATTAACTCGCCTTTCATTCTTCTGTTTGACTTTTTGCTAGCTCTGTCATTATCATTGGCGCCATCTTTTGTTCTTTTGTCTTTTGTGGCATCAGCAAGTGAGGGGAAGAGCTAAAAGTCATATGTGTATAAATGTATCACTCAAACAACCATCCATCAATAATATTTGAACATATGAAATCTGACTCTTGTCTGAGCCAATGGTAAAAGTGATTCAAAATGATTCTATTCATATGTGTATAAATGTATCACTCAAACAACCATCCATCAATAATATTTGAACACATGAAAACTGATTCTTGTCTGAGCCAATGCTAAAAGTGATTCAAAATGATTCTGTTCATATGTGTATAAATGTATCACTCAAACAACCATCCATCAATAATATTTGAACACATGAAATCTGACTCTTGTCTGAGCCAATGCTAAAAGTGATTCATAATGATTCTATTCATATGTGTATAAATGTTTCACTCAAACAACCATCCATCAATAATATTTGAACATATGAAAACTGACTCTTGTCTGAGCTAATGCTAAAAGTGATTCATAATGATTCTATTCATATGTGTATAAATGTATCACTCAAACAACCATCCATCAATAATATTTGAACATATGAAATCTGACTCTTGTCTGAGCCAATGGTAAAAGTGATTCAAAATGATTCTATTCATATGTGTATAAATGTATCACTCAAACAACCATCCATCAATAATATTTGAACATATGAAAACTGACTCTTGTCTGAGCCAATGCTAAAAGTGATTCATAATGATTCTATTCATATGTGTATAAATGTTTCACTCAAACAACCATCCATCAATAATATTTGAACATATGAAAACTGACTCTTGTCTGAGCTAATGCTAAAAGTGATTCATAATGATTCTATTCATATGTGTATAAATGTATCACTCAAACAACCATCCATCAATAATATTTGAACACATGAAAACCGACTCTTGTCTGAGCCAATGCTAAAAGTGATTCAAAATGATTCTGTTCATATGTGTATAAATGTATCACTCAAACAACCATCCATCAATAATATTTGAACACATGAAAACTGTGTCTTGTCTTAGCTAATGCTCATATTCATTTTATGGGAGTCAATACTGGCATTTTTCAACATATACAACGTTTAAGTTTTGTGTAACTTAGGGGAGCCATCAAAAGATTGGTGTCTGTTAAGAAACTTAAATAAACAAGTTTTGGGTGGGGGTTTCAATACTGGAAAGTTTTCTCTCCTACAAAATGAATGTTTCGAAAATTTCATAAAATCTGACATTTACTGCCTTCTAAGATATAGTTAAGTGTTACAAACTATTGGAATGACCAATTTAGATGCTAACTATCATTCTTGAAAAATTGTTGCTGAAACATACCGATTTCAGTCATATATTGGGCAAGTTTTACTTCTTTTTTTGTCATTTCAATTTTTGCCCCAATTTTAAATATTTTAAGAATTTATTTTTAATTAGGGGGAGATCAAAAGTAAAACTTGATTAGTTAAGTTTTTAAAGACATTGAGGTTTTGATGCCTCCCCTTACCTTGTTAAATTTATGAAAAAGATCAATCTCCTCGTTTGATGCCTCTAACTCTGACATTGTTAACTATGTCTGCTTTGATGGTTTCTGTTTTACTTGCTGCTTTATTGTTGTCAACGACTGAGATTCTATACTCCTGGGAAATAAATGTAAAAACTATTCAGTTAAGGTATTTCATATTTTTTGGTGTCTCAGAGTTTTTTCCTGAGTGGATACAAAATCTTCAAAGGAGCACGTAGGTTATCGCAAACAATTTCAAACGATTCTAACTTGAATTATGAATATTTTCTGATCATGAACATGGGTGTATCTTTTAGATCCATTCATTATCTTCAACTATTTGATACATCAAAATAAAGAATAGTAATGCATTGTAAAAAATGATTGCATTTTTGGTGCAAATGGGGTCGACATCTTAGAAAAAGTGTGTTGATGGGTTAATTGCTAGTTAAATATCTCCGAGTTTGTTTGAATTTATTATTACTGTGCATAATTTTCTGAGATAATGAATTGATCTAAAAGATAAACTTGTCTTCATTGTCAGAAAATAGTCATAATCCAAGATACAACCTTCTGAATTTGTTTGCAATAACCCACGTGCTCCTTTATAATTTAGGCTAAAGTGATGCAAATCAATTTTTAGCAAGCTGACCAACATTATAAAATTTGTATTATTAGGAATCAGAATACATGTAAATATACAGTGAAACCTGAATAAATATCACCCCTCCTTTTAAGCTCCTTTCAATATGAACACTTTTTCTCTTTCCCAAATTTTTTATCTCCATTGGCTCTCAGTCTCATGTATAAAAACCTTAAAATGTGAACACCTGCTTATCCAAGTGGTGTTCAGAATATACAGGTTTTACTGTACAAACATGAATCGTATCTTTTCTTAAGCATTTACCTTTACTTCATCCTGTGAGTTCTGATGGATAAGTGCTATCGCCCCCACTACAGCACCAAGGATGATGAACAGTACCAACGATGTTATCACCCCCGCTAACACATACTTGCACCGCCTTTCTGACTTTTTATCATAATAGCAAACCTGCAAGAGATAAAATATCTAAAAGATACAATTTGAAGGTAGAATCAGATATAAGAGAGCAACCTTCCTCATCTTCTTATTATCCCACCACACAAATTTTGAGGGGAATATAGAGAAGCCATCGTTCGTCCATCCATCCGACTGTTCATCAGTGTGTCTGTGTGAACCTCTGCTCAAGAAGGAATTTTCAGTATGACCACTCAATTAAAAAGGGCTACCATTTTTATAAAATTTTAATCTTTGATAACTCAAATACTAGTTGACAGATTCGGTTCAAATTTTAAATGCTGATGCCTAGGGATAAAGGAGTTTTGCTCAAGAAGACATTTTCAAGATGGTGACTAAATTTCAAAATAGCCACCATTTTCTTTACAAAACTATAATCTTTGATAACTCAAATACCAGTGAATGGATTAAGTTCAAAATTTATATGCTGATGCCTTTGGACACAGTAGCTCTGTTTGAGAATGAATAATATCTCAAATATCAATGGATGGATTTTGTTCAAATTTTATATACTATGCCTAGGGATACAAGAGCTCTGGCATGGGAACTGACATGGCAACTGAATTTCAGAATGGCCACCATTTTTCGGAAAAATCATCCTTAATATAATAACTCATACCGGTGGATGGATTTCATTCAAATTGTATATGCTGATATGCTCTGTTTAATCAGAATAATTGTTTTGTTCGGTGGTATTTGCTTTTCCATGGAATTGCTCTTTCTCTAGTTCAAATTGGCCACCAAGTTGTTTACCCAACATGGCCAAACCTTTATCATATCTTAGCGCTTGTTTGTTCGTGAGTCAGGGCACTGACAACATCACTTTGAAAAAGTATGATAAAAACTAATGATAACTTTATTCAAGGAAAATACAGATATTATTTTTTTTTTTCACATGAAAATAAATGTAGATATCCACATTTATTAGTTTAACCCAATTGCTTATAGTAACCACTTGATATTTCTTACTCGGGACTTCCATTTAATCTTAATCCGGATTCTGCTGAATGTCTAGAACATAAACTGATATAAAACCCATAAATCACAATAATCATTAAAACCATAAACCAGTCCAGGTGTCAGTTTTTCTTATGGAAACATGCATAGACACCTAATTGTAAAATGATGAAAGGCGATTTTCACGGGATGTTTTCACAAAATCGCCTGTTGCTTTTAGGGACTTTTCAACTTTTCCATGTTTTTACGATTTCCATTAATTTAGCCTGTTGTGAGAAATTCAAGTGAAACCCCTTGGGTCACCCAGTTCAGACAAACTTAGTTTTCTTAGACCTTGCATACCTGCCAACCTACCGTATTTTTACGGGAATCTACCGTAAATTTTTCGTTTTTCCGTAAAAAAATGACAAACTACCGTAAAAAAATACCATTTTTTTCCCGTAAAAACGCCCGTAAAAAAATATACCGTATTTTTTTCGTAATCTACCGTAAATTTTCTTTTTAAAAAACTCGTTTATTCCATGAGAACGGCCGTAAAATTTACCGTAAATTTTTGAAAATCTACCGTAAATTTTCGAAAATCTACCGTAAATTTTTGAAAATCTACCGTAAATTTTCGAAAATCTACCGTATTTCTGCTAAAATCGATGCAGCGATGGAGGCTTGTAATGGGAGTCCTTGCGCAGAATATGGGGGAGAGTGATAGAAGAACTGGCGAGATATCAAGGATTGTGGTTGAAATCTCTGAGTATTTGCAACTTCTCACATCTGGGGACCAAAACGCCGCTAAAACGAGGGACTTTGTAAACAAAAGCAATGTCTCGACTGAAAGGTATTTCTGTGAAGGTTTTAATGGAACAAGTTTGAAGAAAAACGGTGTAGTGTGATACTCACAATCATTGATTTTCCAAAGACAGGGTAGATTTGAAATTCAAATTAACGGTTTTGCGGGGCGTTTTGGTTTCGATACGCCCCGGTGAGTTAGTACCTCGTGATTATATCAGTAACAAATACATAATTAAAAAATAAAGCATTGAGTTCTGGTTTATTATAAAAGTATTGTGATATTTGAATCTGAACGATGTCTCAGGGGAAAGGTTTCAGCAAATGCTCATAACAGATTATTTTTGAAAGACAATTGATTTGTACTTATTTTCTATTTGTGCCAGACAAACACATTGATATCATTAGAGACTTGCGAGTGAACAAATCAATATTTAATACCATATGATTCCAATGTTATATGAACATTATGTCTGTCATTTCAATTCGTTAAAGTGATAGATCATCTAAGATGGTGAGTAAAAACGTGTAAAATCCATATTTTGTATTTCAGTAAATGTTTCATTCATGGTATTTCCAAACATCCTGATATCTAAAAAAAACTGGTTAGAAGGTGAATAAAAGTGGAGATATGAATATTGTGTTCGTATTTTGAATCAATATAGATTTATTGTAAAAGAGTTGTAAAAGAGTTGTATTCATATACATGTACATTTTGCTGAAACATTAAAATCCAAAGTTGCTGTCAGTCCATTGTAGGCATGGTAAATGAAGAATAAAAAGTGTTTAGTCTCTATTTATTCTTGAAAATAGTACATGTATATCTATTTTTTCTTGAAAATAATAGTTTCGTATAATTCTTAGGTGGTAGTTCTGCTTTACAAACTGTAATTATCAAAAGCACTCTTGCAGTAAAATATGTATTCACAATAACAACAACAATATGACCACGTAAACATTGTATTAATATATAGAAAACCGCATTGTATAAAGGTTTAACTACCGCATTTTTCAAAATCTACCGAAAAATACCGCATTTTGGCAAAAGTACCCGTTTTTCAAAAAATTACCGTAAAACTACTGCAATTTTCAAAATCTACCGTAAAACTACCGCATTTTTTCAAAATCTTCCGCAAAAGTACCGGTTTTTCAAAAAAGTACAGTAAAAACTACCGCAATTTTCAAAATCTACCGTTAAACTACCGCATTTTTCAAAATTTTCCGCAAAACTACCGGTTTTTCAAAAAACTACCGTAAAAACTACCGCATTTTTTCAAAATCTACCGTAAAACTACCGCATTTTTTCAGAATCTTTCGCAAAACTACCGGTTTTTCAAAAAACTACCGTAAAAACTACCGCATTTTTTAAATATACCGTGAAACTACCGCATTTTTTCCAAATCTTCCGCAAAACTACCGCTTTTTTCAAATTTCTACCGCAAAATTACACTTTTTTCAAAAATCTACCCCAAACCTCTGCAACTACAGCATTTTTTTAAAAACTACCGCAAAAACTACCATATTTTTTTAATCTACCGCAAAAACTACAGTTTTTTAAAAAATCTACCGCAAAAACTACATTTTTTTTCTAAAATCTACCGCAAAAACTACCGCAATTTTGTTGAAAAATACCGCAAAAACTTCCGTATTCTGAAAAAATCTACCGCAAAAATACAGCAATTTTAAAAAAATCTACCGCAAAATTTTGGTCTTAGGTTGGCAGGTATGCCTTGTATCAGCCATGAAGATAATGATTCTTTTGAAAAGTAGATGTTTCATCAAGGGCCATAGATAGATAAAAGACATACTATGAGTATTTGCTGAAATATGAGAAAAAAGCAGATATTAAAAGTACAGTAAAATCTACTAAGTGGAACATCTACGAAGTGGAACATCTCTGAAAGTGGAACACCTCACAGGTGGAATGCTTTTTCAAAAGTCCCCTTTTCAAACATATTAACTTAATGAGATAGAATTGAACCTTTGCAAGTGGTACACTTTCAAACTGATTATTTTGATGCGAAAGTGGTCTACAATGGTAGGAGAGCATACTTTCAGTGATATACCAAGACAACAATATGACTAAATATGTTTTAGTCCATGTGAAACCATTACCTCTGTAAATGAAACACAATTGCAAGTGAAATATGTTTAGCAGAACCAAGGGTGTTCCACTTACACAAGTTAGACTGTACTTTAAGTGGCCTAATCTGAAAATAAGAGATAATACAAAGAACTTTTATGTTCTTTGCAAGGTATTTCTGTTCCCTATGAAATATATGGAATGGTTTCATAAACACTAGATAAAATACACTTTTTACAAAAAAACAAATCAATGCAATACATACTTTCACCAGATTGAACCAATATTCAAATAAGTTTTTACATATAATTGTAAGGATTAGACATATTGTCTATCAGCTCACATAACACATGTTATTACCTGAATGTATGGTTCTTGGTAACTTATTGAAAGCATTGAGATCTAAAGATTTATGATAAAAAATTCAGGGTGCAAAAAAATTCAGTAAGTACATGTAATATTTTTGTTAAAATAGTTTCGTCCAGAATGAGCCCAAAAAAATCAAATTATGTTTCTTGCTTTCCTCATCTATCTAGTTTTTGAAATTTCAAGAATAACTTAATTATTATTTAATGTACCTAAAATTTTAGTTTGGTAAACCAAAAGTGTAAATACATTCGTGCTGAACCTAAAAATTCTGTTATTATTTTCTAGTATAATTATAAATATTAAATACCTGAATTCTCACCCTTGGATGTTGTTCATGAAACATACTTGATTTTCTCCCAGAATTAACTGAGAGTAAGACTCTCTAAAAGTTGTAATATTTGCACGCAATGCTGTATTTACGTAGTTAGATACTAACTGTTATTTATCTTGGCTTTAAAGTGCTGCATACTGCTTAACCTCTGAAGCTCTGAGGTTAACACGATTTAGAGAAAGATTGAGACTTGTAGCCCTTAACAATTATTCTGTACAACTCATCTTGAACTGTCACTTTTGATTTTAATGCATTATCGCTTAGCTTATTTTTAGCTATATTCTTGTAAAATATTCAAATCTTGAAATTGTGAGCGTCCTAGCTTTGATTGCCTACGAGACAAGTTTGTTTCCACTTTGAAGAAATGAAATAGTTGTTATGGTGATGAGATATGTTTTTCATTTGACCTTGAACTCGAAATATGACTCATGTCATGTGACCTTCAGCTATTGTCGATATGCTGACCCTAATAGCTTTTCATCATTATTATCATATTAGTACTTTCATTTTACATTTTATTTTCGTTTGTTGTTGTTTTGTAGGATGGCAACTGCTAAAACAGCGTTCCTGCCTTTCATGTGCTGTGAGTGGGTGTCGGAAAACAGCCTTGTAGTAGCTGGGCACTCCTGCAATCCAATGCTGTTTCTTCATGATGACCGCGGACAAATGCAGTTCTTGCATAAACTGGATGTTGAGAAACAGTCTGAGGGTGGAAAGATCAAGTAAGTTCAAAAGGAGTTATCCATATCTTGCAGTGGATAACACTGATGATTCAAGTCTCATATATATATATATATATATATACCTTCTGTATCTGACTTAGCATACTGTAGATACACTTAATTTGGCAGATTTGCTCAATTTCACAGATTTGCTCAATATTGGCGGCTATTTAATGTGATGGATTCAGGACTGAATTTTAATTATTAATGTCACTTCAATGTGTATTTACCAAGATATTGTAAAGTTCTAATGTAGAATTTACATTTTGACCATTTTTGGGGGGAAAAATGAGGCACTGAAGCTTAATTCTGAAATTGCACTGCATGAAATGGATACTTGGAATTTTCCAAAATACAACTGAAAATTGGCAATCTGTCAAATTAAAACCATAGCCAAATTAAGTGTATATACGTTTTACACACAAAAGAATATGTTGCAATTGTATAATATTAGTATGTGTCACTGTCAATAAAAAGAATATGCATTCTTGAATTGTCATCCTTTATTGAAAGATATTAAGTCCCAAATTTTGTCTCAATATTTTGACCCCAGTATGACTTATATTCCATTCGCTTTCATTTTTGCAGCGCCATGAAGAGGTTCCAGATGATGGACAAGCAGGCGGATGAATCTGTTGACAAGAAGCTTGGTACAGTACATCAGAACAGTATCACAGGGATCTCTATTCATTCAGGCTCTAAGGCGTCCACGCAGAAGTTTGCTACTGTTGGCGTTGATGGTCAAATGTGTCTCTGGGACTTCAAGGTGAGAATATACATCATTTTATGTCACCACCAAAAGTGCACACCATGTTTCAAGTGAACTTTTAATGGCAGTTCATGTTTTCAGCACCAGATGTGCTGCAGTAGCAATTACTCTTCTTCACAGGCATAAGACTTAATTAATCCCTGTGCAGAGAGGCTATGTCTAGCCAGTAGTCAGTAATAAGATACTATGCAGTGATTATTTTAAGGCCAGTTACTATCACTATCAAAGTAATTAGCCTCTTCTCCACTGTCAAATGTGTGCACATCTTAAAGCTTTTAACTATACTAAATTGTTTTAAAACAGGCCAGAATTATTATTTTAAACATGTTAGTCTGGGATTAGTATGGTATTGCTATAAACCCTTTGATTTTATCATGAATGATGGACTTTTCCACATGCACATGTAATGATATTTACTTCATTTAGCATGCAGCATGGGCAAAATGTATTAATCTTTCTAAATAATGGCAAAGTACTGTTGTTCCTAATCTCTTGTTCTTATATCAAGTAATTATCATTGAGTTACAAAGTAGCAGCCTAGGTAACAAAAGGTTCAGAAATTAGTATTTCTCGGGGTACAAAGCACTTGTTAGATACACCTGACAGAATTCAAGCTATGAAGTATCAATTTTATTAGATGGAAAGTCTTTTGTATCTATGTTTAATTTGATGAAAATTACTTAAAACAGAATTTTAAACAGTCTTCATATGACTTTAACATTGTATGTTAAAATTTGAGAGAACATTACAGATTAAGTTTAAGAAACATCAAATTAAACACATATACAGCATATAAAACATATTTTGACTTACCAAACAGAAGTTATTCTAATAATTTCTTCACACAGCGGGGTGTTCTTTTATTTATTATTGGAGTAGCAGTTGTTATCTCAGGCTGGCAGGACAATAGGTGTTCTGAGAGAGTTGAAGCGAGTCTATTTACCTCATGCCGTATTCCACACATTCGACGATCCAGATGATTGAAGACTTTATGGACAGCTTCAACACCCTGTTCTCCCCCAAGGCCCATGCCACATTTGTAAGTTTTTATCCATGGGACAATATGGTCCTCTAACAAATGCTGTTTGGGGATAACTTTTATGTCCGGGAACTCTTTCCTATATATAGCCAGGTAATTGTCAATACTCAGCTGTATTGATTGAATTTGGGCTTCTTCGATGCGCTCACAATGTCCAATGTAATTATGCACAATGGCAAAAGCTTCATTGATTTTGATCACTTTATTTTTTAATACATGGGCTTTGTCTAAAAGTTTGTCTTCACAACTCAAGGTGCTCGATAGTGAATGGGTTTTTCTGACAACCTCATTGGCCACATCCTCAATGACATCTCTTTTTAAATAACGACTCGCATGGTTGCCCTCAAACGCTCCACCAAAATAGGCCGCACGCTTGATATGATGTCTTTTGAGTACAACGTCCATTTCGGCTCCAATTGGTCCCTTGGTCGATTTTAGTTCCAATTCACTTTTTTCTTCTTTGATTTTTTCCTTAATTTCATTTTTTAATGTTTTGGAATTTGCACATTTCAGTTTTTTTTTGAGACAATGTATTTTTTCCCACTTTTCTACATATTCACCAAAGGGTGTATCCCTCTTATTATCTGGCAATCTATTGTCCTTGGCAATAGCACGACCCAAGGCACGGTCAATTTGATTACAGCCTTTTAGAAGGATATTGTGATGCTTTAAAACAATTCCCAACAAAATATGTAAGTATGGAGGGCAAATCCGACTGATTTCTATGTCAAATAAAGGTTCGTTGATTACATTCATATAGTGTTTTGCCTTGGAAATATTACTTTCAGCTTCATCGATAAATTTATCATAATCACTTTTTAAAGTCATTTGTGATCTCTCTGTGATCCCGAGTGATTCTCTTTCTTTTCTAGGAATACTATATTGTGTATGACGAATATGACAATATAGACACGAGTAGGAACCAGATGGCCCAGATAAGCCCATTGCCTTCGTCAAGAAGTCATAGTCGCCACACATGAACAGCTTGATTTTTTTACCCCGCCATGTCATATTGTTAATCTGATCTATGTCTGGCTTAAATCTCTTAAGAACTGTATCCAAATTATCCCTAGTATCCTTTGCTCTAAACATGGCAAAAACTAAGCAATTGTTTGTGTTATTGGGTGATGCAGTGTTTATCACTTGTAGTGTCGTTTTGAAACTATTTCCTCCATGGTCTGCACCTAATTTTACCCATATTTCGTTTCTTGGAATAACTGGATGATCCAGACACTATGTTCTGAATTCCGACATCATGCTGAGGTGGTCTCCAAGGTACTTTGGCAGATTACTAATATAGGCCATTGGCAGTTTTTTATAAACCATTCCTTTCTTACTATCTGGGGCGTTGGGATCTCTAGTTCTGAGAAGTTTTAGTTTGGCTTTTAGCTTTATCTTGCTCAGTAATTTCTTTTTATATTCCCTTTGTTTGTTTTGGCTTTCCATTTTTACATTAAATGAACGTAAAAACCTTGATATCTCCTTTAACTGTCCCCATGATATTTTAGCTTTTGTTTTCATGGCCATTATTTTGCGGGTATTCATAACAGAGGGTTTTAATTTACATAAAAACTCCAAACGCTCCCTGGCCCTCTTTTTTCTCCGTTGAACAAGCCATTCTTTTGACAGCTGAGAGATTAACGAATCACTGCCCTTGCCACTTATTTTTTCTCTTATTTTCTGTAGTTTTCTGGCTCGTTTTCTTTTCAATGGTGATGAGGCCTTATCACTGCCTACCCTTGGTTCTGGCACTAGGACAAATCTGAGGCACTGAAATTGTAGTTTTACTTATATCTGTTTTGGTATTCTTAATAAAATAAACAATCTTTATTTGTATACCCCCCTCCCACTCAACTAAAGAAAATACCTTGTAAGGGGTTGAAGCAATTAAGCATAGATAATTACAAGTACTATCTCAATGGGGATTAAGTGAATATCACAATAAGATAATTACCTTTCCTCTTTTGTTGTTTACAATGAGCTCTTCAGGGTCATTATGGGCTTTTAATTTTCTTTTCACAAGGAATGTCAATAGCTGTTCTTCAAGTACAGATAATCTTTCATTAATAGGTTTCTTGAATAACTCCCTGATACTTTGATCACGGCCACGTCCAGGTGTCATACCCAGGTCAATACTCCTATTAGTGGGCTTATTGGGTGTTTTCTGTTTTTTAGGGGTGCTTCTGTGTTGATCAGAAATGTCATTTTCATTAAAGCTAATTTCCGATGTATCCAATGCAATTTCTGAATATTTTCTTTTGTTCGGCTTGAGACATTTATTGTCACTATAATTTATACATATTGCACACTTTTCTCTTGTGGCTTCTTTGGGATATATCCATTTTTCATTTATGTTGGTGATTTTGTCCTTCAAATTTGAATTAAATACATCCTTATACTGATAATGTTTAGCACAATTGTAACACTTCTGGCATATGTTTGCAGGATGGTACAATGGATTGTCATTATCAAATTTCAATCCGGGAATAGCTTTTTGAATTGATTCTTGTACTTTTGTAATTGACAATGGCTTGTATTTCTTTCTATACACTGTTGTCTTTTCTCCACATAGTCTACATATCTTTTCTAAAGCCTTTTGATGATAACTGCTATGATCACTTGTATCCATTTTTGTCTGCGTGCATCCTTTACCGCATGTGTACTTCAAAATATTGATTTCAGTAAGGCATATTTGAAGCAGGATTTCAAGAAATCTGGCATATCAAGCACCCCCAGACCTGTTTATTCCTACAGGGGAGGGTCTTAACTTATATTTGGTACAATTTGCATACTGCTTGACATGCAGGAAATTTACTTATAAGGGGATAATGTTAATGGCCATTAAGTTAATGAGAGATAGAGATAGATTTGATACTTCAAAGTTTGAACTTATATAACAAGATTCCCTGTCTACAGATGGGCTGCACACTTTATCTGGTTCAATTCCTGAGTATTGAGAGTATATAAATTGACAAACTAAGAGTTAAGGATCAAAGCAAAGATGTGTAATTGAGGCAGAAAGTGAAGCTATCTTTCCTAGCTACAGAGAGGAAGTAAGCAGGCTGCCATTTTGATGCTGCAGTTGCTAGCAGCAACAAGCTAATTAAATATTAAGTAGGCAGTATCATGTTTCTTTCTGCATAGGGATTAAGTGATACATATGCTAAGGGGCTGGGGATGGTGTGAGTGTTTAATGGTCTCCATTTTTTGTGATGGCAGTTGGTGGTTGGTGTCTGTAACAAATTCTTTCAACTTCCAATTACTTAACATTTAATACTGTTTAGACAGACTCAAATATCATCGACAAGTTCTCTGAAGTTCAAATCTGACTTTCAATGATCAATTTTTTTCAAAGTCATCAAGTTCTCGGAAGTTCAAATCTGACTTAAAGTCCCCGATAAATCGGGCTACGTATACCGCCGTGTTTACATTAGGGGATTAGAAGAGTTTATTTTTTATTTAGGTATGCAAGCTATATCAATATCAGGCCTTCATTCATGTACTCGTGTGCATGTAATCAGCATGCCCTTCAATATTATGTAAACCAGGCTATTCAAGTACTACATAATGTACACTATTTATGTGTGTACTACATGGGAATACAATTCCCTGGGAAACAAAACACAAATACTTTTTATATGTTTAAAATGAGCCATTTGATTGATGCATACACTAAATACCTTCATAAATAACATCTACAAAGTACATATATCTAATAGTAATGGTGAAACTTAGGCTTTGTATAAAAAACCTCCTACCCACGTACCCTCGTACCCACGTACGTGGGTCCTGACCCAGTCTTTAAAGAGTTAAATTTTTAAATGTTTAAAACATTATTCAATCTCAGTTTATCCTGAATTATAGATGAATTTATGCATCCATATGCCTTTATTTATAGGTCTGACATCTCTCTAGTAAAATAAAATAAAGCCGGAATTGCATAAATGTTCATTATTTTTGAGCTATTTGATTTATGTTTTTGATATGTCGAAATGTTTTTTGTTGATCGGGCAGTCTTACCTGTATAACACATCAGTGCTGATAAGCAATCTCCTAGCCTTCGTCCAGTGCAATCCGTGCCTCCTGTTACCTCATGCAGATTGTAAATGTCCCGGGATGTTTACCCTTGTCCAAAAGTTGACATCTTTTTAAAAATATATTTCTTAGAGTTTCCAACCAATTAAATTCACCACATTTTATTAGATGTTTATTTCAAATGTTATTAGAATTCATTCTTACGAATATTATACGTTATTAACGTATGTTAGTCAAAGATTTGGTGTCGTTGTTGTCCATTGTATTCACGTTTTACACCGCAAAAAGCTAGAAACTACAAAGCTGAACTTTTATCATTCAAACCAGTTTTACATCAAATCATTGTCAAAATAAAACTCTACTCTTCATATTACCTAATTATGGATCACATGAATAATGTCGAAGTTTACAAAACCAAACTTACACTCCCCTGCATAAGTTTGGCAACTCTAACTTTTAATTCCATCTAAATGATTCACTGAACTAGTGCGCACAATTATCCTTAAATTGTGCCAAAAAGCGATTAAAAACGAATATAGCGAATCCTTCTACTTTTCAAATATTTCGTTATTCAATTGCGCCACGGTTAAACAGAAATGCAGCCTTTATTATTCCTTGAGATCGTGTGAATTGATCACTCTATCACTTTGTATCTCCAATTCTGATGTTAAATTAAATAAAAGACATAAGACAAATTACACGTATAGTTTAAATCTGTCGTGCAAACAATGAATACTTGTAATATCGTTTGAAAGAATAAAAAGTATATGTGATAAAAATCGAAACTACAGGGTGTTAAAAAACAGGACCGATGAAAAGTTGAATAACTTCGTCAATCCAGAATCATCCAGGTCATTCAATGTGAATTTTGTTGTAAAAGTTTGACTATATTCTGCTCATGGAGTCAAAAACTACAGCACTTTACAACACATGCCCCATGTGGCCAATTTGCGCCAAGCAATAGATTGGTTGTACACTGTAAGACTGCCCGATCAACAAAAAATCGCTTCGATATATCAAAAACAACACTCAAATAGCTCAAATGAACATTATGCAATGCCGGCTTTATTTTATGACGAGACAGATGTCCGATCTACAAATAAAGGCATATGGGTACATAAATTCATCCATAATTAAGCATACATTGAGATAGAATAATGTTTAAAAAATGTTAAAGATTTAACTCTTTAAAGACTGGGTCAGGACCCACGTACGTGGGTACGAGGGTACGTGGGTAGGAGGTTTTTTATACAAAGCCTGAAACTTACTTGGTTACGATTATACGGGGAATCAACACGGAATGAAGATTGTTCACCTTCCTGGCTTACCTCTGAAGCCTGTACCTGGTAATCTCTTTATATAGGTTAGCGAGAGTGGTGCGCCTGCGCATTTTTAAACTTTGGCGCACACTTTAAGATTGATCGATTATATTGTGAGCAACTAGGTGGTGACATTTTGTTGTGTTAATGCCTTGTTCGTATAGCAATACTACACCATTTTTATGTCACCACCACATTTTGTTAAAGTCTCCAACTTTTTGTGAATGGTGTTTGGCATCTGCAACAAATGGAAAGTGGTAATATTTTGTATGTTACTGCCTTATTTCCTGTTTTAAAAGTGTAACTTTTGTTATACATGAATGTCATATGTTATAATAAAAATCCTTGTTTCATATGATAAAAGTCATTGTGCTCTAAATATCCCTGTGTTATGAGAGTCACCATTCTATACAAGTCCCCATGCCATTAAAAATTGACAATAAAAGTTCCCATATTGCAAATGTATACATGCTTTAAAAGTTCCCATATTGCAAATGTCAACATGCTTTAAAAGTCCCCATGTTGTAAATATCATGCTTTAAAAGTCCCCATGTTGTAAATGTCATGCTTATAAGTCCCCATGTAGTAAGTCATAATACAATAAAAGTCTATGTGTTGCAGAAGTCATCATGCTATAAAAGTTCCTATGTTGTAAAAAGTCATCATGAAAGTTCCCGTCGACACTCTAAAAAAGTCATCATGCAGTAAAGGTCCTATGTCATGAATATCCTTGTGTTAAAAGTCCTCATATCAAAATAACTAACCATGTTCCCATATAATAATAATCATCTGAACAAGATTCTTATGTTATTTCAGACATTGGAGTCCTCTATTGCTGGCCTCAGACTGCAGTAAATGCGTGCCTACAACATGCGAAGACAACACTTTGGCAACTGTACACCAAAAATAATTCCACTGGACATCTTCATAACAAACAATCACAATCTTCCACCGAGATGTCTTGAGCAAACACGATATATTAACATAATGATTACCCTAATTGACATTGTCTTAAATTTTCCCATCCTCTACTAATTCAGGGCTACATTTGCTAGAGGTGTCACGGAGCAACAAAAAAATCGGAATGGTTCGGTAGAATCCACTTTGTTCTCCTTCTGGAGCCCTGCATTTAGAGGGTGCTATTTCTGTACAATACACATCTTACTAGGCTTTGCCAATTCAGTGATCAATTAAACTCACAATAATAACAGACTTGTATTTGTATAATTAAGAACATTTTGTATTTCATATGTAAATGTATGATTTTATAATACTGTATATAACATAGCAACAGTTGCCAATAAATCAATGTTGAAAACTTACATAATAGTTACATTTTATATTCACTGTAATAATCAATTCATCCCAATTTTTCCAAAAACCCAATATTCCCATCACCGGTAAATAATTGAATGTTACCATTTCCTAAAATGTCTTTAATTTGACATTTAATATTTCTGGATGTAAATTATGATAAGCTTTTTGATAATAAATAATCGATAATAATATATAAAAATACAATATGACTATTAAACAAATAAATATATAGGGTGTCCACAAAGTCTACAATTCCAATACAGTCTTATACTGTGTAGAGACTTCACGGTTACCCTGTACATTTAAATACACATTTTATAATGTAAAGTATAACATGACAAATAATATGTCTGTGTAGTCATAATCATGAAGATTTTAATGGAAATGACTTTGTCCTTCAAAATTCTCCTTGGACCACAAATACTTTTCTACTTGTACTATATTAAGAAAGACAAATAATTGTTGGCTCAAGTCCTGCCATATGTTAAATACCTTGGTGTACAAAATAATGCTGTATGAAATTAAAAAAAATTATATTTTTGACAATATGTGCTTGATCATTCATATGTCTATTTTATGAGCATTCTTACATTTATGAATCCATAAGTCAATTGTTACAAAAATGTGCATGTTCATGCAGTAATGCACCTCAGATTATTGCACTTAAAATTCATTTAAAATCAGCAGTTTTGGCTTTTTGGGCAGCATTCTAAATGTTTTTGCTTAAAGTGTCCGCCCTTTTTGGCTACGTATAGCACAGAGTTTACACTAGTGGATTAGACTAGTTCATTTTTTATATGGGTGTGAAGACTCATTATTCACATGTTTCCTTTATTACTGTTTTGTTACGACTACCGAGGCTACTACTGTATATATAATCGGATACAACATCCACGTTCGCTTTGCGATCCTGTTTGACTTTATCTTTAGGATGAACGAGCACATTTCGAAGTGTTTGCATAGGTTTAAAAACTACTTTGATATCTTTTTTCTTCATTATTCTTCTAATTTGCTCTGATACATTTTTCACATAGGGTATGGTTACTACCTTTGTTATTTCTGTCTTGTTCTTATTATAAGAACAAGATCGTGGTATATCAAGTTCCATGCAACAATTGTAATAAAAGTTACATAGGAGAAACAAGTAGACCTCTTGGCACTCGCATCAAGGAACACAAAACAGAAGCAGATAAGAAAAAGAGTCACTACACTAGAAACAATAAAAAAGATTCTTTTAACAGCTTTAATAAATCAGCGATTACAGATCATATTCTCCAAGAAAACCACGAAATTGATCGGAACAATTATGAAATAGTTAGCACAGAAAGGAACAGAAACAATAGGTTGATAAGAGAAGCCATTCACATTAGAAAACATAAGAACTTCAAAAGAGACATGGGCAACTTTAATCTAGATCGCTTGTTGGATGAAGTTATATTGCCATAGCAATTAATTATTTTTTGACGTTGTTAAGGTTTAATGACGTAATAGTAGATTTACCTGTATTCATTTCAACTGTTTTCAATTTAAATTTAGTGATCATGGATGCAGTTTGCATTCGAAACGTCTAAAATCAAAAAATTGTAATAAAGTCTGTGACAATGAACACTAATAAATACTCCAAAGGTTGCATAAGTCACATATTTGAGGTCAGGCCTCCTTTTCACATACCCCTTAGAAAGCCGCTAAATATTTATGTGTGTAGTCATAATGGAAGTAAATTCTCTGTGATGTAGTCGAGGTCCACATACTTTTCATTCCACGTTCAAAATGGACCATTTCTCTTATAAATATTGTAAATACATTAATATTTAGCATCTACAGTATTGCTATTAGTCATATACAATTTAAATGACATATCATCTGCATTCAATATCAACACACGCCGTTGTTGCGACCACAACCAGTGGCTCACCTCTGAGGTGAGCCCAGGCAATTCTCTATAGTTTATCAGCGCCTGGATCCATGCATATTTTTATACTTAATTGGACACTTTAAAAAGCTCTAAAATGCTCTCGAAGAATTTCCACTCAGCAGTTATTAAGCTCTTTCTGCAATGTATTTATCGTAAACTAGCTTGGCTGATACAACATCCTCAATAGCGAGACCTGTAAACATTTAACATTCATTAATTTATTCTAAATGAAGATCTTGATTGATTAAATAGACTTAAATATGGTGGATTCAAGTTCATCATATATATATATAAGGGTTATGTACTGGGAGGTTTTGGATACAGGTTTTTTCCAAGGGAAATATGTTTATATTTTATGTTTTTATTTTATATTTTTTTTTTATATTTTATATGTTTATATTTTCATTTTAGGGAAATATGTTTATATTTTATTTTATATTTCCCGAGGGATAAACCCTGTATCCAAAACTGATCGTACATAACAGATGTATTTCATACCTACTGATATATCCAGAGGGACCGCAGGGACCGAGGGATATACACATATTTCCCGAGGGATAAACCCTGTATCCAAAACCGATCGTACATAACAGATGTATTTCATACCTACTGATGTTCTAGGTACGTCATATACCTTATCCAAAAATTGAAAAATGAAATTTGAAAAAAAAATTTGAAAAAAATGAGAAAAAAATTTTGAAAAAGAATGTGAAAAAAAAATTTGGAAAAAATGGGGAAAACTTTTTTAAAAAAAAATTTTGAAAAAAAATTTCAGGAGCAGGACCGGGATGGATACAGCGTGTATCCATCCCGCCCCGGGCCTTGGCTAGATACAGTATATATTCCCGCTCGTTATGTACCTAGAACCTCAGTAGGTATGAAATACATATATATATATCCTTTGCTGCCATTGTAGGCTTACTATGGCTAGATTTTATGTATATATGTTTTGTATGGATTTTTTAGGGAATAGAGGTGGATGTTGAGTTCAAAAACATAAACCTTTAACTTTTGATATATATCAACATAATGACCCCAAAACGTATAGTACACTATTATATATTCTGACCTAAAGACTTGAATACTGTTGTTGCTTCGGGGAATGCTTCCTTCTTGCCACAGACCACTTCACCTACTTCGCCAAAAACCTCACACTAAAATAAAAACCAATCTGAAGCATACATTGAGTTTTCTACAATATTGTACCATATACTAAGTATACCCCAGTCTGCATCAATATCCCTATAGGGCACAAGTTGAGATGCTATAATTTCTCAGTTTAATTATATTCAAGGGTAACTGAACAAAACAGTGACATTTTTACAAAAATGTTGCCTTATCAGTATAGTATATTTTCTGTAAAAGCATTAATCATAATAGAACAACTGATCTTTTAAGGATGTTTTTGACAACCATACATTGCATTATTATATCACACAGTTACATGTGATATGACTATTTTTATAATATGTGCATTTGTAGAAGATGGATCAATGAAGATTTGTTAAATATGTTTGTGGACGAATAATCCAAGAATTCAATCTTCTCCCTGACTTACCTTTGAAAATATCACATCGCCAGATTCTTTCAGCGCAGCCTCCTTACTGTCCACATATACAATCGCCTCTCTCATCAATGCGCCATCTATCTCTGACCAGTCAGGTCTACATGCTCCAACAGCTTCAACAGAAAATACACATATTATCCTCGATATAATTTGAGAACAATAATACTTTGAAATATTCCTAAAGGCTAAATGATTCAATGAAAGTGACTTGACTCAGGAGCTCATCAAAATATTTTCAGCCTCAAAAATGTTTTGGGTCAGATTTTTTCAGGCATGTTTATTAAGGAATCAAATAAATAATCCAACAGTAGATGAAATAAGTCTCAAATGGATACATGTACATCCATTAAAAATGTTAGTGATACTTTACATAAATTCTTCTCACCATTGATATGAGCTCCACGTTTTATGTAAGTTGCTTTTAAAAATGGCTTGCTTGCGAATGTCATGGTACAGATAATATCAGCATTTTTAGTAGCCTCAGCATATGTCATACAGACTTGAGCTTTTGGACCAATCTCTTCTGCTAATTTCTTTGCACTTGTTGTGGTTCTGCTCCAAATCATTACCTATAAGATTAAACATAAATGACATAATACAGAAAACATGGAGCTCTTTTGGAAAATATGATTAAGTGTAGCAAATATAATCTTTAAAATAAAGGTTTTCAATCATTCTCTGATCAAATGACGTAGGGAGGGTAGGGAATTTTACATGCAGTTCTGTGCCTGGGGGTGGGATACTAATAAATACCCACCACATCCCATGTGGGAGCCTCATTCAAACCTTTGAATGGTGTACTCACTTGTTCAAAGTCAAAGATAACTGATAATGCCTGGTAATGACTTCTAGCTTGAGTTCCTGCACCACATAAAGCTAAGACTTTAGACTTGGGGTTAGCCAGGTACTGAAACAAAGCAAATGTGACATTATATTTATTGCAAGTTAGGATAAATATTTTGTTGAAACTAAGATCATGATTAAACAATGTACAAAGACTTTCAACAACGATCATATTTAAACCAAGGTTAAGATCTTTTAAGATAATTTTTAATGGCAAGACTTTTAACAAAATAGTTAACTCAATCATTTATAAATTCTCTCTATCAATCTGATGGTTTATTTATTGTTCTGTAAAACTCAAGGTTTTGGCAGTGACCTGGGTCCAAAACTCAAAAGCACAAAATTTATCAAATGCATTATTCCTATAGAGAAAAATCAAATAGAATATTAAGAGAATGACCATTTTAGATATCTTCGAATTTTGACACACTTCCAAATGAAAACCTTTTAAGACAATATTTAATGGTAATCAAACTATACCTTAGATGCAACAGCAGATGCAGCAGCTGTTCTCATTGCGGTGATCACCTCGCCATCTATCAGCTTGAAATAAAAGAAGCAAATATTACATGTTGATATGCTATATTTAATTGGCTGTCACATACAGGTATGGTAGGGGCGATGGGGTGTTTCCTTATGATTTTGATTTTCTACATTTATTTATTGATGCTTTTCAGATTTTACCCTTCTTTACATTTTTTTTTCTTTTAAAATAGTCTTTATTTCATTCATTTACTAATAGACGAGTAGGAAAATCCTCCAAAGCCTTCAAATAAGGGAGTTTAATATTTTACTGACCCCCAGCGAAATTTTGGTACCATCAGAAAGCTCTGATATCATGCATTGCCAATTTGAGGTTTAACAGAATTTTGACTCGGGCCGTTGCCATGGAAACGGACGCTATAAATAACTCCCGCTTTTAACGAGTGTTAATACGATAAAATATGTATTCCCAGATATCTTTCTTATTTTCTATCAGATATTTATAATATGGGTATCAAATTAAAGTTCATGATGGCATCTTTACAATGAGGTATGAATTATGCAAATTAGCTCATTAACATAACCATTGTGACGTCATAACTGACAAAATTTAAAAGATTTTAACATAAAACTTAGCTGTGTACCTGTATAAAGGTCCCGTTATTTAAAATTACGATGTATTTTTTCCGTTTTTCATATTCATTTGAAAGAGTACGATACCAGCTTCAAAATAATGTATAAAATATGCCATTTCGGCCTAATAAATTTCTTTATTGAGCTCCAAAAGGGTAACATGCACAATCAAAAAATTGTTTTGAAACTGATCCCCTTTGAAAGAAATGTCGAAAAGAAGGCTCAAGGTATGTTTTATCTTGGATTATCGCTTTCATTTTCGTCAGATAATTTAACGTTTGGTATCAAATGAAAGGTAATGCTTTTTCCTTTTTGATGAAGTATAATTTATGCAAAATAGCTCATTAACGTTTCAATTGTGACGTCATTATTGACATAATTGACACAAAAATGTCAGAGAAGTCAAATTTATCTCATTTATGTTAAAAGGTATAGACTTGTTATTTTCTATCGGATCTTAATGATTAAAGTACCATCAGTTTGCTTGTCATGCATTCCTTTTTAAAATATATATCAAAAACATCTAGTACATAACTTTAATACATTGTGAACTGTGATTGAATAAGAGCCTTTCAGTCATTATTCGTGTATTTAGCTCTTTTATAATTAAATTCAAATTTACCTAACATGGAGTTAAAAGTGTGTTTTTCCAATTTTGCAAGAAACAATATCACACCATTTTTTCAATAGCAATAAGACACATTTTAGTAAAAAACAAATTGATGAAGGGTGTGGGGGTCAGTAGTTATTTATGCATGTAGTGGGGATTTCAGACGGAATATCACAAGGATGATATTCATATCACCCAAGAGGTATAACTCATATAACCCCGACAGGTGAATAATTATATCATCCTGATAGATGAATAACGACACTTTACTATGGTCAAAAGCAATATCTTCCAAAAAACAAACAATGAGAAATAACATTGGAAGTCATTTTGGGGGTCACTGTTACTGTTCCTTTACCTTTGAGAATACTCTTCTCAATAATAAATTTGCACTAATGGAATGATATGGATATCAGCCCCATATCATCCTGCTTATCATCCCAATATCAGTCGGGGTCCCAAATATGTGATTTATCATTTGCTGTTGCATACCTGATACTGCTTTGACTATACGGTATGATACAAAAGAATACCATAATAATGGTACTTTATAATTAATCCCTTGGTATTTTGGAATGATATATCATATTTTTATCCACTCAATGTAATTGATTTATGATAATCATTCATATATTGATATCATATTCATTCATATTCATCCTATGGTTTATTCAAACGAGAGTGACATTCCATCAAATATGGCCTTTAACTCTAAAGTTCCTAGTCTTATTTTTGAAGTTTAAAGCATTAGTTTTGTCTGATTTTTCATGTAACTGCTCTTCTGGATATAGGAATAATTTCTTGCAAAAACCATATGGTGGGGGCGGGATGGGGGCCTACTAATTCCTAAAATTGATTATCAAAGTCAAGAAATAAGAAGTTAAGTCAGAAAATGCTTTCATGAATGACCCGATTACTACATTTTTTAAATATTGCACAAATATATGCTGATACAGAGAGTTTATTACATTGATTATAATTACTGCATTACTTGATTGCATTTTAACATCATCATATTCGATGTAATGATCAAAATACAAAAATCTACCGTTAATTAAAGGGGCAACAAGGTCTGTAGAGAAAAAATTCAACATTTTTACTTTTTCTGAGCTATCAGGGCAACATTTGGCTTAACATCTTCATTGTCAGCATTAAGAAGTGTAAATTCAGCTCAAAGCTTCTATAAAAGGAGTCCCACTTATAGATTTTTAAGATCCACCACGTTTCAAGAGGAATATCAGCTGAAATAATGTTCATCCAGGGGTTTCTTGGGAGAAATTAAAAATATATGTTAGTCTTGATGAAATATCCAAACTTGAACATATTTTGACACTGGTTCATGATCGTTGAATGGCCACTCTGCACTAATTGTTGCACCTTTAAAAGAAACAAAGATTTGTCTATATTTTGTTATACCCTTAAAGATGCATTATGTCACAGGTTTCTCCCCCAGACAATCAATGATGTCCTATTGTTATTGCTCATATAATATCTCACATTATGAGATACCATGGATATATCTTGAGAATAACTTTTGGGTATATTATTGTCAAATTATCGGAAATAATCAAAAGAACAACCAAACTCCAGAATTAAACACAATCAATTCCTCGGTTACGAGGGGAATCCCCATTGAGTCACACACAGCGCCCACAAGCGTCTTGAACCAGGGAGCCAATCAGGTTTATGATAAACAAATTCAACGACCAATCAGATAACAAGAGGACTTTCCCGGAATATTCAAACTTTAGATTGAATTTATTTCTTCGAAAATAATTAGATCGGCCAGCACAATCGCAAAATTAACACTGAGAGAGGGGGATTTTGAGACTTCTTCTTTGGTAAGTAGATGGGTATATATGTGTTGACACTCAATATGCAAAAAATCCAGAGGGGTCTTGATTGTGCTACCCTATGGCATAGAGCCTCTTTAAGTAATTCTATTACAAAACATTTTGGACAACTATAATTTAAGAAGTAATTTCAAACTGTTGATCTGTACGTACCTCTTGATTATTGTATTGTATTTTAACCAACAGTGAAGGTGATCAATACATCTTGGGTGTACGGTCCTAATTTACGTAATAAATCCCAAGAGACTGACCCAGAAACCCCTCCTCCAAGGAGCTCTGTTATAATTTATGTGCACTCATACAAAGACAATGACATACAAGAACATACCACAGCCTTTTATACGCATTGTGGACATTTATGCTATATTTGAGTATATTTTAAGGTCAGGGTGCATGTTTGGAATTTTGCTGCAACCCTCTATAGGGTTTCAGTTTTGATAAAATGTACAAAAACAAGAAAATTCAGTGAAAAGCGGGGTTTACGAAAAGCGACCGACCCCACCGACCACTGACCAGTCAGTGTTTTCCACTGGTAGCCTCAAAACAGGGTTTGAAGAGAAAAATGTGTAAAACACCAACCATATCATGTAAAAACCGACCATATTTGTAGCCTTAAAATATTAATAATTCGATTTTGAATTTCAATTGTAGACAACGTTTTCTACCGATTGTGTTCTTTTCAATGAAAGGCAAGCAAACAAATTGTCCTGCCTTAGGTTCCTGGCCTACCATTAACAAACCCATCGTTTCTGCGGGAATCTATTCTAATTTTTTTACTGAAATCTAAAATGATTTGTTATTGTCATAGCCTACTGAATTATGAACACGATGTAACGTTACGTGCATTCTCTTATCGGGATTAAAAGTGAATAATCATTCCAGTACACCATTAGAAACCTTTTTTGTCATAGTGAATGTAGTTTTTTACCAGTTGACATTTAACAACTGAGAAATCAAACATTGCGTTACGTCGTGAACACCGACAATGTAAGTGTGTTTTTCTTATTGCGTTTCATATTAATGAACTTAATGCAATGTAACGTGCTTTTTCTCATCGTAATCCAAACTGACTAACAAGAATGAAATTGGTCTTCTAACAACTGAGACATTGTCAACATTATCTTCTTACTATATAGCACAGTGGTCTGTCTAGCTGTCCAGACATCTCCACCAAGACAGTTTGATCTTGGGCCATCTTACTTTGTCATCATACTAATTGGGTCTATGGTCATGCAAGGTCAGGATCATCTAAGGGTCAAAGGTCAATATCTAGGAATTTGCCTTTTTAAGACCCCTGGTCTGTGCTGTGACCCTTGAAATAATTAAGTAACCTGAGGTCAAGGTCAACTTTATTGGTCAAGGTCATCCCAAGGTCAAAGGTCAATATCTTGGTATTTGGCGTTTTAATGCATCAGGGGACTATAATGCTCTTGTTGATCCATTATTAGGTAACCTGAGGTCAATGTCATTCCTTGGGACGTGCTGTGACCCTTGGTGACCAAGGGTAAGGTCACCTGAGGTCAATGTCATTCATAGGCCAAAGGTTAATATCTAGGTATTTATTGATTATGTGACCTGAGATCAACGTCAGTGTTTATGAATCAAGGTCATCTCAAGGTCAAAAGTGAATATCTAAGTATCTGGCATTTGTTTTAATTACCTTTAAAGTGCTATGACCATTGGCGACCCAATATTAGGTGTCCTGCGATCAAGGCCATTCCGTCAATATCTAGGTATTTGGAGTTTAAAGACCCTGGGGGCTGTTGTGACCCTTGGCGACCCATGATTAGGTGACCTGAGGTCAAGGTAAATGTAAATGGGTCAATGTCTTCTCAAGGTCAAAGGTCAATATCTAAGTATTTGATATTATAAGGACCTTGGCAGCTGTGCCTCTTGGTTATCATTGATTGGGTGACCTGAGGTCAAGGTCATTCTAGGGTCAATGGCTGATATTTATTTTGAGTTAAGACCCTGGGGGCTGCTGTGACCCTTGGCGACCCATGATACGGTGAACTATCTTAAGGCCAAAGATCGATATCTAAGTATTTGATGTTTTAAGACACTTAAGGATAATGTTACCCCTGGCGACTCATATTTAGGTGACCTAAGGTCAAAGTCAATGTTTGTGGGTCAAGGTCATCTCACTGTCAAAGGTTAATATCTAGGTATTAGGTATTTGGAGTTTCAAGGCCTTTGGAGAAGTTCACTTCAATTAAAGAATCAGTCAGGGTAAACCATCAATAAATACAGGTATTTAGCATTTTATGGGGGCTGCTGACATGTTGGGGCTGCTGTGACCCTTGATGTGTCTTGCGAACGGGAAATAAACCATCGGATACACAGAGGATATCCTAATCTATAAGAGATGATTCTTAATTCACTAATCTGATATCAAATATCTATATCTATGAGTGGATAAAAATATGATATATCCTTACAAAATACCAAGAGATCCATTAAAAAAGTATGGTATTATTTGCATTATTCCATAATAACATGTTTTCCCCCGGAAAATAACGGGGAATAGAATTGATATTCAAAAAATCCTGTATCAGATCCCGTATCAGCCAAAATCCTGTATAAGCAAAAATTGCGTCTCAGATTTCGTATCAGAACTATTCCCGGTAATTTCTCTTCAGTTTAATTTTAGAAAGTTATTATAGAATAAATAGGTTATTGATGGTTGTGATGGAATATGAATTTTTTCCTTAAAAATATATGATAAGGGCCTTGGAAAATATCATATTGACACTCAGGCTATCGCCCTCGGTCAATATTATTTTTTCCTTGGTCAATATCATATTTTCCCTCGGAATAGCATTCATATTCCATCCCTTCCATTGAATAACCCCTATTTATTCCATTATAACATGTTTTCCCTGGGAAATAAACAGGGAATAGAATTGATATTCAAAAAATCCTGTATCAGATCAGCCAAAATCCCCTTTCAGATCCCGTATTGAATCCTGTCAGACAAATATATGTTATTTACTGGGAGGGATTGAATATGGGTTTTATTCCGAGGGACAATATGATATTGACCAAGGGAGCGCAATATCATATTTTCCGAGGAATAAAACACATATTCAATCCTGACCAGAAATAACTGATATCCATGATAAACATGTTAGCTTAAAAATAACCGGGAAACCAAAAATAGGTTAATAAGTTCCAATACGATTTTCTCGGGGAAAATAAGTTTTTTCATGCTATACGCTCCAATACGATTTTTCCCGGGGACAATATGATTTTTTCATGTAATACGATTCAATACGATTTTTATTCCTTTATATTTCCCTGGGAAAACAGTAGTTAAAATTGGAATAAAATCCCGTATTAATAGATCTATTTTGTTTTTTTCGTTTCGGGATTTTATTCCAATTTACTACTATTTTCCAAGGGAAATATGAAGGAATAAAAATCGTATTGAATCTTATCACATGAAAAATTGTATTGTCCCCAGGAAAAATCGTAATCCAAATCCAATTCATTGTTGAGTATGTACTCTCAAAGGGAAAGGAGAAGTGATAACAGTTACCAATTGATTTATAAAAGGACTTGAAGTGTTATTTCTAGTCATCATTTTTCACGTTTTAACAGTTATATACATGTTATGCATATATTCTCAATATTTCCAAAATTGTTTATTGTTTTTACATCCATCAGGTGATTTCTGTGGTATATGTTACTCTTGACCTCGGAAGAGATATCATCCTTGCGATATTCCCCATATCAAATCCCTCCTTGTAAATAATTACTGATGTCTTTTATCTATGGCTATTGAAAATGGTATGATATTGTTTCTTGCCAAAAGTTATTTTGGAAAAACCTTCTGTCAGTTTTAGGGTCAATGTTTGAACTTGATTATTAAAGAGCTAAATGCACGAATAATGACTAAAAGCTACATGTATTATTAAATTACAATTCACAATGAATATACATGCAGTTATCTGCTAGATATTTTTTAAATATGTTTACAAAAAGAAATGTGGTACTTTAAATAAACATTAAGATCCGACAGAAAATGCTAATTCTATTTAACTAAACACATGGATGTGATTACTCTGACTTTTTGTGGCAATTATGTCAGTTATGACGTCATAATTAAAACGCGTGTGGGCTATTTTGTATGAATTATACTTTATCAAATAGGTAAAAGCATTACCTTTTATCTGATACCAAACATTTAATCATCTGACGAAAAATGAAAATGATACCTCCCGATAAAACATACCTCGAACCTTCTTTTTTGTTGATATTTCTTTCAAAAAGGATTAGTTTCAAAACAATTTTTGTTTGTGCATGTTACACCATTTGGTCTCATAAAAAATCTATTGGACCGAAATGGCACATTGCATACATCATTTTAAAGCTGCTATCATACTCTTTCAAATTCATATGAAAAGTGGGAAAAATACATCATGATTTTAAATAATGGGACCTTTATATAGGTACATAACCAATTTTTACATTAAAATCTTTTGAAAATTGTCAGTTATGACGTCACAATTGCTATGTTAACGAGCTAGTTTACATACTTCATACCTCATTGTAAAGGTGGCATCATAAGCTTTCATTTGATACCCATATCATAATTATCTGATGATTAATAAAAAAGATACATGCAAATACATGTTTTTCATTAATAATGCTTGTTAAAAATGGTTGTTATTTATAACGCCCGTTTCCATAGCAACGGCCCGAGTGAAAATTTTATTTTTCCTTGAATTCCAAAAGTATGGTATTGGGGCTTTCCAATGATACCAAAATTTCGGTGGGGGTCAAAAAAAATATTAAACTCCCATTTATATCTGAATTCCTACTCGTCTATAAATATATAGACAGTACATGATTTATAAAAACAGGTTTACATAATCTCATTGCAGTAGTTTGGATAATAAATTCCATTTGGAACAATAATACACATTTTTTCTACAATTAATTTCATATTTTATCATAAAAAGTATCTTTTCAAATGTTCTTTGTTCTTTACTATTCAGTTCTAAAATGTAGGATTTGTAAATGCTGTAAGCAACTATACTTGTAAAATAATTCAGAAAATTAGTTTGAGAGTCTTGGCCATTATAACCAATTGTTATTTTTCTATACGAAATATTAAGACCACATGTGTTGTATATAAATTTCCATATATCCTTTGACAAACAACATTCAAAAAGAATATGTTTCAAATCACATAAGTGATTGCAAATACTACAATGATAATAATTTGTTATACCATAGATAAATAAGTCAGTTAACCCAGGAAGTATGTTATTAATTAGTTTGAAATTAAAATTGGCAACTTTTTTGTCTTTAATTTTGATGATCTTGCTAACAAAAAAATTCTGCCAATTTATTTCATCTATTTTACATTGATTTGATATACAGAAATCTCTTTCCCATTTTTTTGAGACAAACCATTTTTCAGATTTTTTATTCTTCAATATGTTATAAAAGAAATTGGATTTTTGGCCTCTAAAATCTAATTGGACATTTTTTACTTTGAAATTGAGTTTTCTTGATATATTTGTGAAGTTTGCTTGTTCTATGTTAATGATTTTTTTTATTGATTTCATTGCAATTGAGACTTGAAAATATTCTGAAATCCAATTTATTTTATTTCTCAATTTTTCTAGAATATAGTTTACATTTAAAAAATCATTTCGAATGATAAGATCTTTGACGTAAATAATACCACCCTATCTATCCAAGATTTAAAGAAAAGTGGTTTGCCTTTTAATTGAAATAATCTGTTATTCCATATGGTTTGCTGGACTATTTCATGGTGTTTCAGATTTTTTATTTCATCAAGATCTTTACAGCTATTGAATGCTTTCAAAACTTGTTTGTAGAAAATAGGTAATCCCTCAAGCTGGTTCTTGGGCCTTCTTTACATTTGTGTTCACTTATAGTCCTGTGAAATTGCAGGATTATTGAGTTCAATTATTAGTTCAGTTCAATCAATGAAGTTTCTTTCCATACCACTATATGTTCACTATGCATATAACTATGTAACCTATAATGACATAATGTGGTATTGAACAATGCAGATAACTTAATTGAAGTTTATTGATTAAACAGCCTATAATATGCATTTTATCAGTCTATACTCAACTGCTTTAAGGACTCCATTAGATGGCTCAAAGAGTAGAATGTGCGCCTGATGAGTGGCAACATCTTTGTTTTCAGGATAGAAACCAACGAGCTTAGCTGCAAGGGCATCATCTTTTTCACTATAGGCAGGCATTAATCCAAAGAATCTGAAACAGTCAATTAGTAATAAATATTACAATAAAGAATTGTGTCTTTCTTCTCCGTGGATATTCCAGTAGTTAAACTAGGTTTTGAAACACATTATGTCAAGACGAAGGAAGAAAATTGTAATAATTAAATGGTTCAATATTGGTGGATCAAGCTGACTAAAGTGGGATCAAATGAATATATTGATCTATTTTTCCTTTAGCCACATATCACCATTATCAAAACTTCAATCAAGTATTTAAAAAACTGAGTTTCAAATGACCAATGCATAGATTGATAAAATTCCGATATGGTTGCTGTACCGTCCAAAGAGAACAAGCGACTAGAACAAGCAAACTGTTCAGTTTTGATATTCTGAAAAATTACTTAGTTATACATAATAAATTCAATAAATGTTGCCATCCTGCAAGGGGTCAACCCAGTTGTCCGAAACCCAGTTGTCCGAAACCCAATTCTCCGAAACCCAGTTGTCCGAAACCCAGTTCTCCGAAAATAAGGGGATCTTATCAAAAAATACAATTTTTTAAAACGAATCTTGTCGCAACCTCTGCGAATCACGACAGCATAACATTTGAATCACGTTGACATGACATCATTGCAAAATTAGGCTAATATGATATGCTAAGTCAAGACGTTAATTAGCCCATGAAAGTTCATGGGTAACTTGAGAACTACAAAATACAACCAAATACTTTTCGAACGTACAATAGCAATATTTCTCACCTAACGTCTTCATAGTTTTAGGAACGTATTTTAGACGCATGATAGCCAAATATATCAAGATACTATATCTGCCTAAATGAAGTTATCTAGTGTTGACAAAGTTTTGAAATATATTTTATCCAGATCCATCAGAATCTTGCATGACTCGTTCATAAGAATTCTTTAATTCTACCTCGTTCCCAATACGTCCTCAGACAGACAAGAAATTGAAGTCACACCCGTTTGTTTGCGTGGCATATTTATAGCCTACGTATACGCACTTTCTCTGATTATTGTCAAACAAATACATTTCAGGAGAAGAACATAAAAAACAAATGCCTGAAAAGAATGCCGAAACATAAATCCCAAGTGATTAAGTTTAGAATGTTTTATTCTTTTACGATTTGATAAGAGACCGCGAGACTAAGAAATTAAATGCGACGAAATATTTTGACAACGTAATTTGTATACTGTTTTATTCTTAAAGTTCTATGCGATAACTTATTCTAATTGTTTCAAAATGTTTCATTTTATTTTACCTATATAAAAGAGATTGAAGAAGATAAGATAAACTGTTCCGTAATATATATTGTGTTTTAATAACCTTTTTTAGAATCACAATGTAAAATAAATCTCCCGTTCCTGCCATTCTGGTAACGCCATGCAATGGATGCAATTCAAAGTGAGAGAGAGATTTATGAATATCAGAATGCGTCCATGCCATTAATTTGGCCAAATACATGGCATGAAACTGACGTAAGCTTAAGTAAGCTACGCCCCCCCCCCCCCTTTCTCTGGTAAATTATGACTTTATTTTTCGGAGTAATGGGTTTCGGACAACTGGGTTTCGGGGAATTGGGTTTCGGACAACTGGGTTTCGGACAACTGGGTTTCGGAGAACTGGGGTGTACAATGTACCCATCCTGCAAACAAAACGTGTCTCTTGTCGTGACTTGTTTGAAGCATGGGCTTTCAACAGACATATATACAGGGTGAGCCCAAAAATGTAACCCAAACAATATTATAACTTAGTCATTCAGCATAAATTCAAGGTCATTTGGCAAAAATAAACATGTTCTTTCATTCTACAGAGTTTCATTGGTCTATTCCAAATCGGCCATTTTGAATAGCACTTCCTATGTAAACAAATATTTAGGTTTACCACACTTTAACATAGGTGCCTTATAGTCTGAATATAATTCAGACTAAATAGGATATAGTCTACAAACTTCATCCTTGCTGCAAGGGTATTTTACAAGTAATTTGAGCATAAATGAAGTCCTTTGAAGAAGGATGTACAAACTTTGGGCTACATTTTTTGGCTCACCCTGTGCAAAAAAACCTACCCTTTTTGGACTGGAAGAACTGTCCTGACTGGTTGTAACACACCTCCATCTTCCTTCATAGAGAAGTGTCTGAGTGCATTCTCAATGGCATTGATGAGTTCTACCATCGTAAGCAACCGCTTCACGTCCTCCGCATCAATGAATGTAGGAGGGGCCATGTTTCGGTTTGATCAAAATTTGTAGAGCTCTTCAAAAGGAACTCTTCAATTTTGGAGACGATGGCTGAGCGCGAAGAAGAACCTGAAGTCACGGTTAGTTATGATTTTGTAACTTAATTCGTGAGTTTAAGCATGCTACCTTGTATCATCTGATTATTTTATCAACTGACTAACATAATATATCGGTAAGATTCCGATGTGCTACCTTGATATCTCTTAAGTGAGTAACATGAGTAAATTTAACATATTATCGCCCACAGTTTTTTCAATTTTTAAAAATTGCAGAGCTGTCAAGTGTCCAGCGAATGGCGGGATAATCACGCGAATTTGATCAAAATTATTCTAATTTGCGTGTCCCGCGAAGTCCCCCAGATGTCGGCTTTGACCTCCGCGAATGGGTTTGTAAAAAACCGGGTGGCCGGGTAACTGGTACACTCTTACTCGAGTCTCTAGCTTACAGCTAGACGAAACTTCATTGATTTCGTATGTACTGTGCTACACGCACCTACACGCACCTAGAACTCATTTTTAATAAATTTTATAAATATTTTTAAGAATATTAATCATATTTAGGATGGAGCGTTGCTTGTCTGGATTTAGATATTTCAAAATTTCATTTCGGAGTTTGACACATGGTGAAATTTTCTCGCTGTAGCTAAAAATGGCTTCCGGTTCTGGACGTGAATAACATTTGAAATTATTCTCGCTTAAAGAAATCAAATATAACAATAGATTCAGACGGGGATGTGAGCTGATGTTCTTCAAATCTATACATAAAGGTATATTTCATATTATTATGCCATATTTACTGTGCGTGTGACACAATGATTTACAATATTTATAATACCAAGGCAGCTCAATCTTCCTCCTCAAAGCCGGAATATAGAGAAGGCTTTGGACCGAAGTAAGTACACTCTGTTAAGGTTCAGCTGGAAAGTAACATTTTGGTAAAAAATTGCTATACCTGCACATGTTATTTTCTGGTACAAAATTAAGTATGAAGTCATGTGTGTATTTCCTTGCTTTTTTCAGGAAAGGATCATTACACTGTCTATTTTTAGTAAACCTGGAAACAGGTCAATGGTAGTTCCTGTGTTGACTGAAAACTTTGAAAGAAAATTTGGAAAAATAGAAAGTGTGAAATATCGGAATTTATTGGAGTTCCCATTGATCTCCTACCAGATATTCTAAAAGAAGACAATGTAATGATACTTTCCTGAAAAAAGCAAGGAAATTGGCACATGCCTTCATACTTTATTTTGTACCAGAAAATAACATGTGCAGGTATAGCAATTTTTTACCAAAATGTTACTTTCCAGCTGTACCTTAAGCATGATAAAAGGCAAGAAGTTTAGTTAGAAATAAAAGAGTTATCTCATGAATGGGACCCTTACATGGCTCCTAAAAGGTAGAAGACACTAAATGGTGTGACACTATAAGCTGAATTTTGTCCACATAGAGCATGTGCACAATACTAAAGACATGTAAAATTGAACTGTCAAAATAATAGAAATTACTCACCAGCTCGCCTCTACCGGAAGTTATGATACGTTATGGTGTAACTACGGTAATTCATTTTAAAATATTGAAAAAATCAACAACATTCAATTTCTAGGGTGTACAACCATTTTCGAGCGAATTTGCCGATATAATAACAATATTTTTGAGTTCCCCTAGGCTATATATAAACTTTATCAATATACAGTATATTCAACATAGGTTTTGCTTCTCGATTTTTAAATATCACTATGCAAAGACAGGGACTCATTTTAGGTAAAATCATTGCTTCACCAATGAAAATTAAAGGGAACGTTAGCTCACAAAATAAATAAATCCATTACAATGTTAAGTATATGATTTGAAAGATTGTCTGGATTATATGTGTGATCGATTGATGCATAAACAAACATATTCATTTCAACTTGCAGACCTCCATTCTGGCTCATGTATAGGCCTAAGACGCCATATTGCCTTATGTATTGTACTGCCCGTGCGTGCATACTTAATGCGTGACGTCACATCGACAGAGATCAGCGATCAAGTTTGACTAAGAAATTAAAAGATCCACACTTAACAGCACAAAAATGATATCAATGATCGCCTATTTCATATCAAATAAGTGTAGGATGTAAGGTTTAACATTTTTCATGTTATTTAGTATTTACAGAAGCAGAGCTTGTAAAGAAACCAAGTTTTAAATTCCGATTTTGACTGTTGACAAAAATAAAGAAAAGAGAGAAAGAGGCGACTTGTTAGAAACAATGACATGAAATTGTGAATAAAAAAGATATTATTGTGGGTTTTATTTTTTGAGAGTTCATCAAATACACTCATGTGTATTAATTTAAATATGTATTGTAATACCTCTCAGTTCTACCAAGATTATAAAAACTGATCGAAATGGCTTCGTTTTTAAAGTATAAAAAACACTACCCTACCCGGAAGTAGTATAACATGTATATTGAAACCATGTGTAAACTGTAAATCACGTGAAGGTATGAGTACCGTAATCCAACACCAAATTCGAAAATTCAGAACAATACTTTGCACATATGGCGTTCCTGATCAACTATAAAACGCTTACCCCCCATAGTGTTATATATCAAAATGTACCTGTTCATATAGGGGTTCGATTGATCTACATCAAATTATAGGGAGTCAGATTACTTTTTGAGATATCAGCGTCCATTTATTGTAACTCGCGTTTGCTACCATTTCCTCAATTCTTAGACGACGGGCAAACGCGTAGTAAACATGCTCACGTCGGAACTATTTTTGACCTACATCGCTATTTTCGTAATTCAAATGAAAAATGAACTCCTCTTCTTTAGTTTGATACCAAATAGTGGCATACTAGGTACCCTAGAAGCCAACTATGGCGTTATTTAGAACAAAACCACAAGTTTTAAAATGGACTATATAGGGGTCATACCTTTTGGCGGATGGATATGGAACCTCATACCTGAATTGGCTGATGCAATCAGGATGTGACTAGTACAAAGTAACTATGATGCAATCAGGATATGACTTGTGCAAAATAATTGGCTTCACCTAGAATTCGCGATCTTTGCTCTTTAGCATAACATGAAGACATGTTTTGTGTTTAAGTAGCTAGATTCAAATACAAACTAAATGAATATAACATAAACCAACCATCATTTGTTCCAATCATGGCGAATTTTCAAGGAAATACGTGTAACTGAATGTAAATCAACAGCGGAGCTCTTCAATTATGAGGTAAGAAAAATGTAAAAATAAAAACAAAAATAAATCTCACAGAATAGAGCTATTTATACGATTCTAAGTACATTTTAAGTGCTCCATACATTAATGTAAGTATGGTTATAATGAAAACACGCGCTACGCGCTAACGCGCCACGCGCCAATGCGCTAATAGAAAATGATCCTTCCCCCACGATGTGTGCGCATGTTTTAAGCGCATGTTTATGATTGGTCTATACCCTTGGCCCAGGGACATGTATAATTAGGGTTATGACTCCCTGGGAACTTGTCAAAACATTGACACTTCAAAGACTGTATAAATCACCGCTAACCTGTCAATCAGACTTTGATGTGAACTTTGCGGCCGCAGGAAATAAACAAAGCCTCTCGAAAATTACACTTTTCAAGTTACGATTTCTTTAAAAATATAAGACCAATTAAGATGTTCTTCACACCGTTAAAAAACAGAATTCAACTTCAATTTAGGAAATAATTCCAAAACTAAATGAACGTGTACTTTTCTCTGTATTTGACCTGAGGGAACATGAGTAACTTAGAATTAATAAATATTTACGGCCAATTACCGGACAATGATAAAACACGCTGGTCGGGTTTACATTACTTTTTAAATCGTCTCTTATTTAAAACTTTAATTCCAAATGAAATACAACCCTGTTTTCAACAATATTCCTGGTAAAATAGGTAATACAATTCACTGGGACTGACGTAATTCAAAACTTTTTAAATCTAAAATCAAATTGAGAAAAACGAAAGCAAACATGAAAGGGGGGGGGGTTCATAGGGGTCTTGGAAATCCATAGTACACAGCCCCGAAGCCAGGGGGGTTCGGAGGGTGACTTTGGAATTTTTGAAAAAGTGACCCCCCCCCCCCCCTGGGAAATCCTGGTTACTGTCCTGGCATATGGCATATAGAGACTACTATGTATATAGAGATCTGGATTACCCCCATAAATGTGGGACTGATTTTTCAAATCACCCCCACAACCAGGCCCGTAGCCAGAGGGGGAGCTGGGGGAGCGGAGCCTGGAAAAAAGCTGGCTACGGGCAAGCCCCCGCAACTACTTGTGTATTGAAATCCCAAATTTATGGGGATAAGCTGGATCTGCAGTATTCGTTCAAACTGCCTTAAATTTCATAATAGGCTTCTTTAATTCTTTTAAAACATACAGGTATGTTTATTTAACTTATACGATGCCATATACGATAAATGTTGCCCCCTCTTATGCGGCCATACACAATAGATTTTCACCCTCCTCTTATACGATAACCCTATACACCCCCCCCATGAAAGCGAAAGAGAGTAACCGGGCACGAAAAGAAAAATGGAAAAATATAAATGCGATGCCTGAATTATCCCACCGTTTGGTAAGTCATGTGAGATATAACTTCAAATACAAAGAGTAAAGATATATAAAACATCCATGACTTGATATTAAGAGGTAACACGAGGTAACATGCGACAAATAAACATTATATTAAGTCATTTGTCAAGTAGTCGGGCCCCCGGCTCAGATTTCGAAACGGGATTTTTCTCGCCGATGGATGGACCCAAATAATGCAATGAAATAGGGAGCATATTCGCATATCTGCGACCATTCATCTTGTAAGGTGCTACTTTCTATCTTCCTTTTAAATCAGATAAAACACACTGACAATCGATAATCTGCACAGTTAACGATCAAACATTGGGCTTCTTCATACTTCTGCTTTCTGATGAGCCACCTAATCTCTTCACTCACTCGATGTTTATACATCATGTTCCCGGGCCTGTGGGAACGATCATTCTGAACAGTGCGTTAGTGCGCTAGCGCGTTAGCGCGTAGCGCGTGTTTTCATTATAACCTGTAAGTATAAAAGCCATTAACCTCAACTGGGAAGCACTTTCCAACTATTTTTACGGCTTGAATTGTAAGAAAATGGCACTTATCTCAAAAAATGGAAATTTGAAAGAAGCTCAATTTATTGTGAAGATGAAGTTTATATATATCTGTATATGGGGGTGTAAATATGTAGTCATAGTATGGGCTAATTCGCTTAAAAATGGCGATATATACCTCAGAACTTGTATTTTGTGATTTTTTCAATATTTTAAAATTAATTACCGTAGTTACACCATAACGTATCATAACTTCCGGAAGAGGCGAGCTGGTAAGTATATTTCAGTTCTTTTGACAGTTCAATTTTACATGTCTTTAGTATTGTGCACATGCTCTATGTGGACAAAATTCAGCTTATAGTGTCACACCATTTAGTGTCTTCTACCTTTTAGGAGCCATGTAAGGGTCCCATTCATGAGATAACTCTTTTATTTCTAACTAAACTTCTTGCCTTTTATCATGCTTAACAGAGTGTAGGTCTAGTATGTATCCAACAGACCGAATATAATATTCGGTCTGTTATGATTGATATATTTCCTGTGGAAATCGCGGTGATATTTTTTGCACATAAATTTCTCGTTTATTACAAGAATGTTCACCTTGAAAATTGGTGAATATGTTCAACTAGAAGGGTATGCAACTCTATGTAATAACATGAGACCTTCAAAATGAGCAATGACATGCTTCCCTTGTATGGCAATATTTCAAAAAGTATTAGATAAATGTATATGTTTTAGTATTATTTTGAATAAAAATCAATTTTTAATATGATTTAAGGTACAGCTGGAAAGTAACATTTTGGTAAAAATTTGCTATACCTGCACATGTTATTTTCTGGTACAAAATAAAGTATGAAGGCATGTGTCAATTTCCTTGCTTTTTTCAGGAAAGTATCATTACATTGTCTTCTTTTAGAATATCTGGTAGGGGTTCAATGGAAACTCAAGGAAATTCTGATATTTCACACTTTCTATTTTTCCAAATTTTCTTTCAAAATTTCCAGACAACACAGGAGCTACCATGGACCTGTTTCCAGATATTATAAAAGTAAACAGTGTAATGATACTTTCCTGAAAAAAGAAAGGAAATACACACATGACTTCATACTTAATTCTGTACCAGAAAATAACATGTGCAGGAATAGCACTTTTTTACCAAAATGTTACTTTCCAGCTGAACCTTAAGCATAAAATATATTCAATATCATATAAAAGTAAACAAAAGAGACCAATAAGAATAAGAATTATCAAGGTTTCTCTTTGAGTATTGCATTGTGGGTAATTATTCAAGAACACATTCCAATAAAAACATAATTTGTGGGAGAATGTTCACTTTCTGTATTGTCATAATTATGATTATTTCCAATTTTTATTAAATTATCAAGATGTATGTAGAAGATCATGTTTTTATTTTTGAGTTATTTCTTTTTAATCATCAATAAAAAGTACAAAATAAGATTTTCTTGGAATGTGTACATTCTCCAATTTTGAAAACCCATGGCAATGTTTATGTATGAAATATGGGAAGTTGCCTACCCTTCTAGTTGAAAGCCCATGATATGTTGAAGAGGTGTTCATCTTAAGGACAGGGTGCATGTTGGGAAATTTTCTGCATTCCTCAATTGAGTCACATGTTATTTTTCAAACAAGAATAACTCCTTCCCCACATTGTCTACATCTTCCAAGTTTGCACAAAGAGTGCACTTATGTGCCTAGAAAAGCCTTGTGAGAAGGTTTCCTTTGTAAAATGTATAAAAAATGAGAAAATCCAGTGAAAAAAAATTCTGAAAATTTTCTGATTTTTTTGACTGAATTTTCTTGTTTTGTATACACTTTATCAAAACATTCTTCTCAAAAGTCTTTTCTAGGTACATAAGTGCACTCTTTGTGCAAAACTGGAAGATAAAGACAATGTGGGGAAGGAGTGATTCTTGTTTGAAAAATAACATGTGACTCAATTGATGAATGCAGAAAATTTCCCAACATGCAACCTGTCCTTAAACTAGAAGCAAAAATATTTGTATAAGGCGGGTACAAGTTGATATAAAATAATGAAATGTTCAGACTCACCAAAACTTCAGGATGTGTTCATAAGTAGATCGCGAAATCAATGTCAAGGACGTTTGAGTTCACGAGATCCAAACGAGATACGCAAATTTTTGAACTTTGACAACACATGACCACTTGATTACCTCGGCCTTCTTCATGAATATTTCCGCTCTATTTACTATAAATGAAGAAAATTAATCGGGATAATGATAAAAAATGACTAGATCTAATAAATTCCCGCACTAATGGAATTTATCAATACGCTTCCGTAATGTTGCTCCGTCCGCTCCACGTGTTATTTGTTTACAAATAGACTGACGTCACTGGCTAAATCTCGTTTATCGTGAGAATTGGCATTGTCAAAATGGCTTGACCTAATCAATGGCTTCGCTACAAGAAGCGTCTGTACATTTTATGAATATCTTCAGTAAGAGGACAATATACGAAAAAATAATATTGTAAGTTCTTTATAAGGTAATCATTTCATCATTAAACAAACTTATTTGTAACATTTATACAACACCACATTTTACAATAGGTGACTTACAGTCTGAATATTTATTCAGACGAAGGATACAGTCTAGGGTAACTGGGTAACCGGGTACTTAACGTTCTTTGCAGGGTTACCAACTTTCAAAGTTGCACATTTGTAGACTACCCTTCAATGCCTTCAATATTTTTACGTTATCATTTTACCAAGAACCTGTAAGAGACTGAATTTCGGAAGTCCTAGGTAGTTATTTACACAGTTTACACGTACGATGACGTTAGTTGCTTGATTTATTGTCTGAGTGATTGACAGGATATCGATGATTGTTTTTTTATGATGGCGATTTCTACTAGATATTAAACAAATCTGGAAGATTTACATATGCATAAATTGAAACGTCATTTGCCGTTTTTATATGTTAATTAGTGTACGATGTACAATACAACGTTAGTTGCTTGATTTGTTGCCTCACTGATTGACATTATATTAATTTTGTTTGTCGTTTTGCCGGTTGATTTATTGGTAAATAAATTTTGTTGCTTGTTTGGTTGTTTGCTTGATTGGTTGTGTCACTGGTACGTTGATTTGGATGTCAGTTGGGCATTTTGAGGCATAAAATGAAAAAAATACCCGGTTACCCAGTCACCCGGTTTTTTACACAAACCCTCCGCGAATTTCCAAAATTGTTACAATCCCCGAGGCTAAATAATTGTGATTATCTAGTGATATAAGAAGCTATGTTTTTTTGCGCTTTTGAGATGTAAAGTAAACTCCCAGTGCATCAGATCATCGAAGACTGCTTTTGCAGCCCTGTCAACCCTCACGCAGTTGAGCTTGTATGATCTAATATCACGCAAATCACGCATTATGTTGATATTTTTAGAAATCGTTTTTTGTGAAATGCTGATACGATAAAAATAAATAATAAATAAAAAATAAAATCAAATGTCCTGCATAATCCCACGATTTTAGGTAGAAATAAAAACGAACTTCATTTTTTTTGTCATATACCAGTCATATGCACAAAAACTTACGACTATATCGTGGTCTTCGTCCAAAGATAAATCCCTGCATGTTTTTTACTGCTGTATACAGGTATTGTGACGTAATCATAAAATTTGAAATCAAATGTTCGCCATTTTTCCACATCACAATTTGAATTGCGTGTTTTGGTCTTATCATGGGCTTTCAACAATACCTCACCAAAAATTCCAAAACACACATGAAGTGATCAATGTATTAGTTCACATCTTCTGGAACACTAACTTAAAATTTACAGCCAGTTACTCATGTCAGACAATAACAACATTTTGTCCAGTTTTTCGAATATCGCCATTTTTCTTGGAGTCGCTTATTTTGATTTTAGACGAAATCCTGACAAAATAATGCAATATCTCATCAAGGACCCCAGCCAGTTCCATTTTAATTTATGATTTATTTATCTGGCTGCTGACTGCAAACCTGATCAATGTGTCACTGTCACCCCCACTCTCTCTCTCTCTCTCAATATGTTATTCTACATTTGATAGTCATTATAACAGGATAAAGGACGTATTGGATATTATATAGCACCAACCTGTTTTGTCGTCTCTCTCCCCAGCCATTTTGTTAAGTGTAGGAGACTTTGTTTGGGGAGTGAAAAATAAATCGAAAAATATTTGATTTTCTCTCCTTTTAACCCCTTTCAGGGTCTATTTCTTACAGAAATACAGACAGACTTGCTTGGCAGAAATGAGGAGAGGTTTCACTCTTATAGCCACTCTTAAATGACATGGCACATGCCTCCAATGTTTTAACTTTGTCAGTCTATTTGTCGTATATTTGAATGTATTAAATACTATTTAGTACAAGTTGCAGTTTGATTATCATTCATCTTATGTATATAATTTCTTTGAAACATTTAAGATTGACTTTTGATGATTTTTGTCGATTGGTCAAATTTCACCGTTTATTTTCAAGAAAAAAATACCATAGTTCTAGATTGGAAAAAAATTCACCATTTATTTTCAAGAAAAAAATACCATAGTTTTAGATTGGTCAAATTTCACCATTTTTAAAAAAATACCATAGTTCTAGATTGGTCAAATTTCACCATTTTTAAAAAAATACCATAGTTCTAGATTGGTCAAATTTCACCATTTTAAAAAAAATACCATAGTTCTAGATTGGTCAAATTTCACCATTTATTTTTAAGGAAAAAATACCATACTACTTTGTTTATTAGCAATATTGGCATTAAATACTCAGTCATTATCACCTTTCATGCCTTCTTAAATTTACAATCAAATATATTTTTGCATGCTTTTCTTACAGGTGATCAATGATCCTGCATGCAGTATTGGGATCAAAACAACATGGGGCTTTGGCAATCAACTCTTTCTCTTTGCTGGCAAAGAAACTGACAAACTCTCAGATCCAGGTAAACAAGATGTAGTTAAATTATATAGACTTCTTTATTGGTATGTCCAGTGATCCAATAATGCGCTGTCTTTATGTATATTTTATATGCATTTAAAAGAAATGTAAAACTCTTTGGCTTTGGGAAGTAAAGAACTTTTGAATCTATAGCTAGTCAATTATAAATACAATTTAAAGTGATAAGGTGTTAATCTCACTTGATTCATTCATTTTTGGTCTGTAAGTGTTGTTCACAAAACTGGAAATTAGTTTCCAATATTTGCTCAACTGATTGATAAAAGCTAATGTTCTGATTTGAATTTTGTTTATAGAAGGTGCTACCGGTTTCAAGGGTGCCACACACATATATGAGGTTGTGCGGGACACTGATATGCATGATCCTATTACCAGAAAACTTGTCAACGAATCACACAGTAAGGACAATGTTGTAATGTAAATTATTACATAAAATCAATAATGTTCAATTTCACCAAAATGGCATGTTTCAGATGTTAGCTATGATTAATTATGTACAATTGCTACTCGATAAATTATTGCTAATAAAATCTGAAAAAATAATATGTCTGATTTTATACTTTATTTCTAGACATATTTCTGAATCTGCAAAAGTTTGAACCAGAGTCTGCGGGAGCTTCCAAGAAACCTCAGTAGGTCTATTAGTTACTCTGTGATTAATCTAAGTCCCCATTGATATTACACACTTCATGACTCCTTTCATTGATCTGACATGCTTCATTGGTATCCAATACTTTGTTGAAGTGACATGCTTCATTGATATATCATGCTTTATTGATGTGACATGCTTAATAAATGCGACACACCATTCATGTGTCAAACTTCATTAATAACTTTGTTAATTTGTCATGCTTTGTTAATTTGTCATGTTTTGTTGATGAGACAAATTTTACTGAGCTTCATTGATGTAACAAGCATTATTGATGTAACACACATTTTAATGTGGCACACATCATTGATGTGACAAGTTTCATTCTGAAACTATGAATCCTGGACAGCTTCATTAATTAAGATATCATTTTTTCTAGATTGGTGAAGTTCAGTCGAAACTACAGATGTGTTATCAGATCATGTCTACAAGACCTCATGGCAGCTGTAGAAACATCCATAGAGCCTCAAGTAAAACAAAAATATGAGGCACAGCTGCAGTTGTTTGACCTGACTGAGCTTGTCTGGAGCTTATGTGAAATCCTGTTTGTTGACACATTGCCAGGTAACGTTATATAATTGCTGATTAATCCAGAGGTTCAATGTAAAAATTCAATCAGTCATCTGAATGGAGAGGTATATAATAGTCTAAAATATATCACTCAATATATCTTCTCAACAAATTAATGCTGAACTAATCTATTTTTATGTCACCACCACAACATCCTCCGATCACAGGGCTTCAAAATCCAGAATATATTCTTTCATTTTACCCACTGCTTGCAGTTAACATTTCCCCGATTAAGAACTCGCAATATGATTGGCTGTCGCAACACTGCGACAGAAATCATGTATAAGTCATTGCACATAATTATCCCAACGAACGAAGTTCGTTAGGGATATAGTGAAGCCCTCCGTCCATCTGTCCATCTGTCCGTCAGTCCATCAGTCCGTCAGTCCGTCAGCCAGTCAGTCCGTCCGTCTGTCCGGAAGATAACTCAAATACTAGTTGACAGATTTTCTTCATATTTAGTGGAAAGATGTATACTGGTGAATAGTTTTAACCAAAGTAATTAATATTATTGTTTGAAATTTTGGTAGTGTATTCACAACATTTATCTATTTCACATATATTCCGTGTTTTTCATCCTGACCCCCAGGGGCCATGTATGGGGGGACAGGAAAACAGAAATTTTCGCTTATTTTTAGATCTTTCTGAAGTATAGCTTTATTTTACTCAAATGAAAGGCTATTAAGAGTAGATTGCAAATATTGTATCTTTTTTCTGATTCGAGCCTCGTAAAATTCAAAATGGCCGTCTAATGTACGATTTCGCAATAATTTTTCGATCCCTTCAAAGTATGGCTATACTATACTCAAATTGAAGGAATTTTGGAGTAGATCACAATTATGGTATTATTTTTCAGATTTGTACCTCAGAAAATTCAAAATGGCTGCTTTGCAGGAATTCGCAATTCTAAAATCTAATTTTTCCATTTTCAACCAAAGTAATGAGTTTAATTGATTGGAATTCGGTAATTGATATTTTGTTCGTTGGGATTTGCTACTCCGCAGAGTTGCCATTATCTAGTTAGATCACTTGATACTGTTTAATCAGGCGCTTCCAAATTGGTCATAGCAGGGGGAAGAACAGGGTTCGTACACACCTGGAAATGTCAGGGAAATTGATTTATTTTTCCAGGTACTGGAAATGTCAGGGAATTTTGAAATTAGGTCAAAAAGGGCCAAAAATGTCAGGGAATTTTGAAACAGTATATATGTCAGCGAAATGTCAGGGAATTTTGTATCATTGTTGAAAAAATAATGTTCCAGCAAAATATATTTTAGGGCTATGACAGGATATCAATAAAATCCAAAATCTAACATTTAGTTGTTTCCACAAAATTGAAATCTTTTCATTAGGGTTGATTGAATGACATTTTATCTGGTATATTGTCTATTTGTAAGGACAGTTTGAACATTATACTGAAACCAAGCAATAAAGAATATACATATAATGTACAAATGGTTCAATGCAATTATGCTTCTCCATAAGTTAGTCTTGGGCCATTCAAAGTTAATTAACGGTATATGTTTTGTTGAGGGGTTAATCTGAGGAGGGTGGGTGAAAAACAAAAATAATTCCGGGAACTCTTTTCAATGTAAAACTGTATTTATATTAAGAAGCTGTCTGTTAGACAGTCCTGTGGTACATCAGTCTATTTATCTGTCCATTTGTCAGGGCAATAACTCAAATATCAGTTGACAGTTTGGTTCAAATTTTGTATTCCGATGCTTTGGTTAAGAACATACTTTTGCCATTTTTAATGAAAAAAACTAATTTTGAAAACATTATGAACAGTTTTTAGATTTGGTCCAAATTTCAAGGGAAGGGGAGGAAATAACCCAGAATCAAAAGAATTAAGAACCTTTCTTCATGTAAAGATGAACCTATAGTTTTACTTTGGCTCAAATTTTATATGGCAATACCTCAGGGACAAAGGACCTGCTCAAGAAGAAATATTTAAGATGGTCTCTGAATTCAAATAGCCACCATTTTTTATGAACTTTTTGATAATTTAAAGAAATAAGATACCTGATAACACAAATATTATTTGATTTTGTATCATAGGCCTGTGACTTTTTGTGATGCTACTTGAGAAGGAATTTCTAATAAAGGTATCATGTTTTGGTATAGATTTTCCCAAAAGGAAGAAGACAATAGTAATTCCAGGTTATTGCTATCATATTATGTTCACAATGATCAGTATTTGATAAAATATGTTTCATTAGGTGCATGGGAATTTCCCCTCGACGGAGTTGTTATTTTTATCGTACCTAACAAGAGGTACGATATTGTAGTCCGCTTGACGGGCGGGCTGGCGGCATCTCACTTTTCAGCTTGTCTACAGGTTTCCAGCCAAACCTTTTGAGGAATTCATCTGAAATCTTCAAGGATGTTTCTACATATCAACGTCAAGAACTGATTAGTTTTTGGGCATTCTGGGTAAATTTTAAGGTGGCCATTTTGGATTTTCCGTCCTAAAATCTTCACTTTCAAGACTTGTTTACAGGTTTCCAGCCAAACCATTTGAGGGATTCATCTGAAATTTTCAGGGATGTTTCTACATATCAACGTCAGGAACTGATTAGTTTTTGGGCATTCTGGGTAAATTTTAAGGTGGCCATTTTGGATTTTCCATCCTAAAATCTTTACTTTCAAGACTTGTCTACAGGTTTCCAGCCAAACCTTTTGAGGGATTCATCTGAAATTTTCAGGGATGTTTCTACATATCAACGTCAAGAACTGATTAGTTTTTGGGCATTCTGGGTTAATTTTAAGGTGGCCATTTTGGATTTTCCGTCCTAAAATCTTCACTTTCAAGACTTGTCTACAGGTTTCCAGCCAAACCGTTCAAATTTTTACATATGTTACACAGTGATAAGTTCTAGAGCTGATTAACTTTTCTGCGGCCATCTTCCTTTTATGGTCAACAAGACCACAATGCTGTGTTTTAGGTACGATATTGTTCACGTCTGTGCCTTGTTCTAGTGTGATATTAGATCAAAATTTTTAAGTTTCAGTTGTCATTTGGATTTATTACAAAACCTAACAAAATATAGTTTGAAATGCTTAGAATGCACCAAATACAATGAAGTATGATATTAGATCAAAATTTTAAAGTTTCAGTTGTCATTTGGATTTATTACAAAACTTAACAAATTATAGTTTGAAATGCTTAGAATGTACCAAATACAATGAAAATTGTAAAAAAATTCTGGGGGTGAACCCCCGTATCCCCTTTTTGGTTACTTTTTCTCGCAGTGATCCAAACCCAAAGAATTGCACACCCTTGACATTTGCTGGCTACGCCCCTTTATGTGATGTATGTTTACCTTTGGCCTTATGGAATGTAAAACATAAAAAATAGTGTGTATCAGAAAATAAATTGGTGAATAAAAAGTAAATTAAGTCATGAGAAATGGTGCTAAAGGAGAACCCACAATGTTTCATAATAAGTCTTGTATTTTAAATATTACAGTTGTTTGAGACTTTTCATGAGGCCGTGCATGCAAAATTTGATCTGGAAATTTTCTTTCTTGCCTGGAAATGTCAGGGAAATGGCAGGGAATTTGATTTTGAAAAAGGTGTACGAACCCTGAAGAAGGAGGTACGGATTCTGGATACATGCTTAGGAGGATGCTACCACAAGTGGTGACTTATTGTTATAGTCTACAACTTTTTTGTGGCAGTGGTTGGCATTTGATGGTTGGTGTTTGGCATTAAAAACAAATGACAGGTTGTGACATTTTGCATGTTTATGCCTTTTTAATTGTCAAATATGATTTTTTATGTAATCAGAAATATAAGAGTGGTTTCTGTATTTTTACAGGGGGTGTAATTGTGATAAAACTGCTCGACTGGCTGAGGTGGCATTTCACTGATGGCGAGAGACAAGCACAGGATGCTATGAAAGAAGATGTTCCTGAAGAAAATGAGAATTACTGGCAATCTGTAAGATATCTAAATTGGTTTATTGAATTAAGAATTGTGATGAACAATATTTTCCAGTAAAAATTTAGAGTTACAAGTATAACGTAAATGAAATCTTAAGGTTTTTTTAGTTTTTTTTTAGTTTTTTTAGTTTTCCTATTCATTTGGCTTATTGTATAGCTAATGTGTGAACTATTTTTTGTAGGTATGGAGCTTTGTGTTACAAGGACGTATAGATGACGCCAGAAAGATGCTGTCAGTTCACAGATCGTATGATACTCCAGCCTTTCAGAGCATTGATGAACTATTAAGAAAAATGCCAATATTTACTGTAGGTATTTTGTTCATTTATGAGGTAACATTTTTAAGAGGGTGTAATGAAAAAATCTGGAAGCTCCCAACATCCTGTTACAGGAACAGCCCATCATTGTTACTAGATTCTGAACATGGATTATGGCTAGACAGCAGCTTGCATTTTAACAAAACTTGTATATCTAGTATCACCTATATTTTTAAAGTGTAATGTTTTAGTGGTATTGGTTATTCCATGCATTTATAGTGTTGTTGTAAAAGATTTAAGCCCAGGGTTCAATGAATTGTTGATGATTTCAAGCATGGGGTCTAGTAAAAGACTATGAATGAGGGAGGAGATCAAATTCAATGTCTGGTGAAAAGGGTTTCATACAGTACCACTAAAAAGAATGAAACTCAATCCAATCAAAAAATTTTTGCAAGTTTTTTTTAAGTACAGCATTTTGACGTCCAATATTTTTCGTTCTTTTTGTGGCCAGTGTTTGGCATCTGTAACAGCATTTAACTGGAGGTGGTGACATTTTGCATGTTGATGCATTGTTGCACTTTTGTTCTAGTCATTCACAGGCCAGTCTCTAGCTGAGTTTGATATGAAATGGAGACACTGGAGAGACGAATGTAGGCGGCGGCTTGAGGAAAATGAATATGCAACAAACAAAAATCTAAACACAATTTGTAGGGTAAGCTTACTCTAAATATTATGTAAATAAAATTAAGATCCATGGGTTTCATACACTGAATTTGATGCCCATCTTGGATTAAGATCTGGCCCATTGGATATTTTGATTAATTTTTTAGAACTTTTTTCCAGTATTGGGATATTACATAATAAACTATTACCTCATAAGTTGTGATTTTAAAATGATTGTGCTCTACTTTTTGTATCAGTATTATTATACCCACTGTTTTAAATTATACAAATGCCACTGCTATAAAGGTATTGAAACTCTTCATATTTCAGATACTGAGTGGTGATGATGATGTGTTCATTGAATTGAGAGATGTATGTGCATCATGGTATCATATGATGGTCTCTAAATTACTATATCAGGACCCGACTGTTAAAATACACGATCTACAGTATCACACACAGGTTAGTGACTAGTGCAGAAGCTCTTGAACAATTGAAAAGAACCAGTCAGTAAGATCAGTATTTTTCATTACAGGGATCTTTTTCTGAATGGATACATATCTAAGGTGCCAAATACTGGTTAGTTCTGTCCCCCACTTCTGTACAGCTAAGACCTAATTTTGGTTACCATTTATAAACCATTGAGAAAAGCATTCAAGGTTAAATTCATTTATCAACTTTAAGTGTTTTGGATGACTTAATGCCTATTTGTACACAATGTCTCTGATAGTAAGTATGCCCCCTTTCAACCCGCTATTATGCATCAGTAACAAGTCAAAAAAAGTCGTACAGGTTTCAAGACAATTTGGTACTTTATTTAAACTCCTTTTCATAAGGGGATTATTTAATTCATCAGTACCTTTACTCCTTCCTTAACTTAAACATGGTTACCATAGTATAACTAAAGGCCGATGTCCACACATTTGAGAGTAGATGAACCTTTAAGAGAAAGGTCTATTCCATCAACAATCCTATTATTGCAGTCATGCATCAATGCATTTGGGGGAAACAGTCAGCTACAGCCCTCAGACAACATCCTACTTGCTGCCATAGAGTTTGATATTCCTCAGGTGATCAACCTCAGCAGTACATACAAAAGCAACTGGTGGTTTGTAGCCCATCTTACAGACCTGCTGCAACATTGTGGTCAGCTGGAATCTCGTACACTCCAGTGAGTAGACTAAAGTATACATGGAGAAGCGATGCATTTACTTTGAATGGATTTTCATATATTAACTTAATGTTATTCAAAGTTTTTGTTTTATTGAGGTGAATATCTGCCCATCTTTCACAAGGGATGGTTCATAACACTTGATCTTTTGCCTTTCATTCATGTCATGTGACCTAGTCTTAACCAATCATACTATTGAAAGCTTGACAGTGATATGATAAAATATTATATTAATAATATATAAGAACAATAGCCATAAGGAAAACTAAGGGGTCCTAATCCTAAAAGGTAAAAGTAATCACATTGAAAGAAACAGCTGAGTGCATTTATTGATAAGGTAACCCCAGACATTCAAACATATGTCAAAATCTTAATTTCGGGTTTATACCAGGTATCAAATGACTTTTGAATATGTGAACTTTGCTTTTTACTTTTTCCAGCTTTGGGTCCAACTTAAGAGAGTACCTCATACTAGAGTATGCATCAAGTCTCATGTCTCACGACAGGTAAGATGAATTTCAGTTGTATAATGTAGAAATGAGAAAGTATGTAAATCACTAATTAATCTTGTCACATTCACACTATATCTCATGTTTTGTCATAAAAATCTCCATTTTTCAGTAGTTGCTGTCAGATGTATAAACTCAAAATATTTTTGTTTATTCCTTTCAACATTATGATTTATCATTGTTATTGCAGCCTGTGGCAGATTGGTATCAACTACTTGGACCACTGCCCGGAGTATGGGAGACAATACCTTGGGCATTATATGGACAGCCTTCCCCTGGATACAGAGAGAAAGGCTCAGAAAGCACTCAGGATATGTGAACAAAGAAATCTTCAGGAACAAGGTAAAGGAGGCTGTTTCTAAAGGGAAATTCTAACGTGAATTGACTTTGCTTATTGAAACACCTGGAATTATGTAAAACCAAGGAATGATTTAGTAATCGACTGTAAATCTGTATTGCTACACAGTAGTATAATGTAAATATATCTGAATAACATTTAAGTGTCTTGTGTGCAAATGATGCCTAGCTTGGCTGACGAAACAACTATTTTGGTGGTTGTAGATATGGCCAAGTGGTCTAGAGTGTCGCTAGGCAATGATGTCATAATGTAGTTGTTGCATGATGATTATTATGTTTATAAGCTTTCAAAACATGTCTCAACATTTGTCATTCTATTTTAGGTCACAGCATATGTAAAGTTATGGGAATGCGGTCGCTACATAATGGTCGCCTAGGTTCAGCGTTGTCATGGGGACTGAAGTCTAAAGATGTTACATTTGTAACATTCATAGCAGAGAGGTACTTTGCACTATAAGATTTTCTACAGATGTTGGATTGTGAATTCTTTTTTTTGTCTTTTTTGATGAACTTTTTATTTGTATGAATTTCTTCAAGACAATGGAAGTTGAAAAATACACACGCATTGATTTTTATGTGTTAATGTGTTAGTATGTACAATATTGGTCAAATGAGAAAAATGTACTTTATATTGTTGGTATATTAAAGTACAGTATTTGTAATAGAAACAAAAAATTTGAGTAAAAGCGTTATGTTATTTCCTGAAAGAAAATCTTGCCTAAAATTGTTATTTTTTATGCCTTTTAGATTCCTTGATGAGTACACAGAGAATGGTGGTTTTTCAAATGTAGATCTTATAGACAACTTAGGCTCAGAGATGTTACTTAGCAATAGACTCACATTCCTTGGTAAGTAAATCTTTGCAAATACCATCATGTGGCACCTAACACTTCCTCTGGGTCATAACAACTAAAATCTGTATATAGGAGTATTTTACATTGATATTAAGGTAAATAATTTATTGATATAAAGATAGTTCTTTTAATTAACAAATATAAGTTGTTATATCTAGTTGTTATGTGATTACATTTACAGGTAAATATCGAGAGTTCCATAAATTGTATGAAGATGGAGACTTCATTGCTGCGGCATCCCTCCTCTTATCTCTACTCAGCTCAAGGATGGCACCTCGAAAGTAAGTCATAACACTCTTGTATATGTTTTATCTGGCATATGTTTCATCTATAGTGACATCATATACAGGTAGATAATTTGTCTTACAAAGTCACAACATAACAATTTTGTCCATTAATACATGTGAAAATCCCTAAATTCATGCCTCATTTCAGGACTCATTTCATGTTTAGGAATTCCTGCTATATGCATGTAATATGTATGAAAATGGATTGTAAATAATCCTCATAAGGTCAGGGTGCACTTTTTTTGCAATTTTGAAAAGTAAACCACTGAATAATCAAGTTATTCAAACATTCTGAAGAATTATCAACCCTCAATTAATAGTCTAGGTACACTAATGCATCTTTTGTGCAAGAATGATAGATGTAGATGATGTGTGGAATGAGTTATGTTTATCTGAAAATAGCACATGGTCATGAAATTTCATCAAAGTGCACCCTGACCTTAACATGTGTTATTTACCCTTCTTTCAAATAAATGTTAATTCATGTATTTAATTTGTGTGTTTGCAGGTTCTGGTTGACATTACTGACTGATGCTCTGCCACTATTAGAGAGAGACCAAGTATGTACTCTTCAATACCATAATTCAATGTAATTAAACGCATAATTTCATAAAACAATTGAGACTGAAAGTGAAGTCTTCCCAGATTCCTCTATCCTAACATCTATAGCACATCTATCTATGAATGTCTACCAATGCATTATTATCACAAGGAACAAGGTTTGGTAGGGATATAGTGAAGCCCTCTGTCCGTCAGTCAGTCCATCCTTCCATCTGGAAGATACCTTGAATATTAGTGGACAGATTTTCTTCATATTTGGTGGACCAATGTATATTGGTAAATAAATTTATGCAAAAAATCTTTTTCAAGTTGGCCACTGGTTTTGAAATAGTGGAAATATTTCGTGAAAATGTTGAGTTTTTCATTTTAAACCAAATTAATAAATATTATCGTTTGAAATTTTGGTAGTTTATTCAAGAATCTATCGATTTTACATATTCTCTGTATTTTTTACCCTGACCCTAGAGGCTGTGACGTGGTGGTCGGGATAACATGAATTTGCGTTAATTTTGATATCTTCCAAAGTACAGCTTCATGAAATCAAATGAAAGGCAATTTAGAATAGATTGCATATGTTATATCATATTTTGATTCGAGCCTCGTAAGATTCAAAATGGCTGGCTAATCTGAGATTTCGCAATAACTTTTCATCTCTTCTAAGTGTGGCTATATTATACTCAAATTGAAGAAATTTTAGAGTAGATCACAATTATGGTATTGTTATTCTGATTTGTACCTCAGAAAATTCAAAATGGCTGCCTAGTGCAGGAATTCACAATTACTTAGAGATCTCAAAGTATGGTTACATGATACGATATTTGATATATATTTCTTTTAATATCTGCCGATTATTAAATCAATGGTAGAGGAGATGATATATATTACATTGTGACATATAGACTACGGCCCACTCTGATAATTGTAACTCCTTCCTTACATGAAAGGTTACACATTCCAACCTATTTCAAACCATCTGTATGATGATACTAGACACTTTCTGGGTAGTTGGACTTTCTATAGGGGTGGCAGACGGCCCTCAGACCAATTTATACCCCTACCCCCAAAAAACCATGGGGGTACTTTAATACCACCCAATAAAAAGAATACTAATGCATGTCAGATATTCATTGTTTTACATTATGTAGGGCATGTTATGGTTAGTAAGTGCCAGAAATTTCCAATCTCTAACTGATATGGTTACCATAGAAACAGTATTTATATCTTGAAATATTCTCAATTTGACCCCCTCCCAAATGTGTCCTTTTGATCTCAAAGTGAAATATTTGCAAATCTGTTTGGATTTTATGGCTGCTACTTTGTCAAAAATTGTATCAATATGTATATTTTAACATTTAAACACTGAAAAGTGTTCATAATGATCCTATAAATCAATAATATTTATCAAATATAGTCACACATAGCTCCTTTTAGGGAAAAATGGGCTTGGCACTTTTTGGTACGTGTGTACTTGTTGCAGCGTTAAATGAAAAATACATATTATACTAACAACAATTGACATTTAATTAGCATCTACTTATGTTATGTAACTTTGTAATATGTTCATTATCATTATTAGACACTTTAAATATTTTATATCAGTGTTATCCTGACCCTTCCCTTTATCCCTACACCCTTCAAGGTGGGCATTACCAATCGTGTCAAGTTAACATTTCTGTTTGATTTATTTTTACCATAGACAAGGTACAAAAGCTTCACCATGAGTACTGACCTTATTAGGTGCTAAACTGATGAATGGATAGGTAGATGGCAGCACTTGTGCTGGTTGGACTACACGCTAGCATCTACCATAGACACATATTGATTTACCATATTTGTTATTTTGGATTAAAGTAAAACTGCTTTTGCATCAAACTTAATGAGATTCAGATTGTGTTTGAAACTAGATGATCTTCAGATTTTGTGTGAACCTTAAATTCATGACAATCAAAAGAATTCAACATTTAGGAAGTCAACATTAAGATTTTTAACATCGTCTCAATGAGAATTTAGCCCGACCTTTTTCAGAAAGTTAAAGATCATAGAAAATTGAACATAATCAAAGTTCCTAAGTAGAACATTTAATCTCCTAAAATCACATTAAAATTATATCAGCAATATTTCCAAGCTAAATAGTATAAAAACTTCTATCACATCATTTGCAACGTTTTCATTATTCGATAGTTCAACCCTATATGAATTATTGATGATTTTAAAAGTGCAAGGAATCTAAATGAATCAGGGAAGCCAGTGATATGTATTTGCCTTATTAATTGTTGACTTATACAATGAAATAGACCTAGATGCAAGTAGAAATAATCTTGCTTTACATCATTAAAAATTCAAAATTCAGTCAAATAAGTGATATCATATTTGAAATCTTCATGTAGAATTACATTTCTTCATGCAATAAGTTAACCTTTTAGTGAGTAGTTGTGACTAATGTAATCATGTACTTATACAATTTGTCAGTAAAAGTTATTTATCCTATACTAAATGTTATAGGTAAATAAAATGCATGAATATAATTGATACCTTAGGTGAGTGGGGATATACATGTACTGCATATCCCGCTTTATCCCATACTTGGTCGTGTTTCAGGTACATAAAGCAGGTTTGTAAAAACGTATATTATCATCAGCGGGCAGATATAGCTTTACGTCCCGTTGTATAGTATATCTGCCCACTCCGTCATAATCGCCCTCGGGCAGATATATTATATTTGCCTTGGGATAGTCTCAATATCCTGAACCTCATATAGGATATTATCCTACACTTAATGTACTAAATGTATAATAATATTAGAAAATAAATTTGATATTTATTGGCAAAATAAATAACTGGAGGATATCGTAACGATATACTCCGGGCGGAGGATATCGTGACGATATACTCCGGAAAACCCAATATGCGGAGAATAATTGTGACGATATACTCCGCTTGTTGATTTCCTGCCAAATTGACTCTATTTGGCATGAAATTCATTTTGCAATGATATTATACATTTAGAACACTCCTTGTAAGTGTAGGATAATATATATAACTTTTATTGACATATAGTATCATAACATGATTACATTAGTCAGAACTATGGTAGACTACATATCTAAACTACAAAACACCAACTAAACTAAAAAATACAAAAAATATATAAAAATATATATGGTAACAATAATAGTGTGGTGCACACACAATGCATTATGACCATGCTAAATTCTTAAATGAATGGTAAATGAATTTGCCAATATGTCTTTGCAAGGTTACATTTTTATTAGAAATAAGATTGACAAATAAATTTTCACTTTGTAAATCCAAGTTAGGTAAAATTTCACGGGCTTTTGTATATAATATTTGCCTATTCTCATCATTTTTTGTACAAGCTAAAAAGAAATGACATTCATCCTCTACATCTTTACAAATATTACATAATCTTTCCTCTAAAGGTTTTGGTTTTGGCTTTGTATGTCTTCCAGTCTCAATTGCTAACTGATGAGAACTCATTCTAAATCTACTTGTAGCCAATCTATACTTTTTATTATCTAGTTTCAAGTACAATTCTTTACCAAAATCATTTTTAAATAATTTGTACGTTCTCAATATAGGATAAGTGTTAATAAGAACATCCTATGATTTTTTTCAGAATATCATTTTAATCTACTCAGTGATATTGATATATGCACTTGTTCGCTTTGCTCTCTCGTGCAGATATCAATATCACCTCATAGATAAAAATGATATTCCTCAAAATCATAGGATATCCTATAAATCTCTATGTATCGCCAGGTTTATCACCCGCTCAGTAATCCCCTGCAGGAATTTCATTCTGTGCAATTTCTCATATTTTCGTATTTTAGTATATGATAAATAATTTTGGGTACAAGGTATAACCCTTGGGATTACAATATTCTACCCTCAACCCCTCGGGGAGGTATATTGTATTTCCCTCAGATATATTGTATTTCCCTGTATTAAAAACTTCCCATTAATTAAACCTCATATATAATGCACACGATTTTAAATACGAATCAAAACTATGAATTAGTGATATCCATGTTTCTAACGAAAGCATGAATTTGAAAGAAACAAACATTCTACTCAAATGGTATAAAGATATTACCAGTTGTGTGCATTTTGGATTTGATTGAAGAACTTCATTAGAGGCAATTTTGAAATTACAATATATTAAAAGAGGCTCTATTGCTTAGATGGGAGAATCAATTACCTGCATTGTTCAGTTTATGACAAAATTGATGTTTAGTGTTACTTTCATGAACACCCATCCTGTAAAATAGCATTTGGAATCTAGTAGTTTGTATAAAGATGAATTAGATAAGGCATTGTCGAGGGAAAATATCCAACAAGATCCAACTTAGAGTTTGCTTTTTCTTACTAAGTTCCATTTCAACTTTTGGTCCCTTCCCTTTGGCACTAGTGCTTATATATTTACTAGTTTGCTCATGAAATTAGGCATACTTTAACTTGAAACAATTTGTAACACTCAATTTTTGGGGTTTGGAGATCGAAGTAATAATGATGAAAAACAAGCAATTTTAAAATATTTATGTTTTACCCAAATTTTTAAAGATTTTTGTTAGCCTTTGTTTTGTCTGTTTTATTCTCAAATAAATCATGGTCATCAATTCTATTGTGACATAATCATCATTTACCAATTTTAAAATTAAATATTACTAGTTAGAGAATGTGATTTCTTACTTTAGGTTATATTTATATCCCGATTTATATGTATAATAATAATTGATGAAGACGAATAGAGATTATCCTCTATGAGGTTCAGGGTATTGGAATTATCCCGAGGCCAATATAATATATCTGGCCTAGGGTCGTTGGTCCCGAGGGAAGATATTTTCTATTGGTCAAAGGCCTTAGGTCCTGAGGGAAGATATATTATATTCGCCAAGGGATAACCCTAATAGCATGAACTGACTATAGGATGATCTGTTTATCCCATATCAATCTTTCTTATCTGGTTCACATTGTTCAATTGGCCAGAGTTAGAAAAAATTCAACCATATGAATGTATTCATGTCTAATTTTGTTTTCTTGGCCTTAGGAGGATTCTCCTGTTTTTTAAGTATTCATCCACATATTCTCGAATCATTGATTATTAACATATGTATTAAGTATGCTACTTCCCTCATTGCTAATCATACACAAATGATGATTATGACTTAGTGGCCAGGTGTAATATATCTGCCCTCTCAGGCCGGGACATTAGCTATATCTGCGCGCTGATAAAAATATAAGTATTTATAAACCTGCTATATGTATCTGAAACATGTCCAAGTATGGGACAAATGTATCTACTTTTTTTGATTTCATACACTAAACAGATTTGTTTAGGAATTATTTGAAGTATTTCAAAAACATATACTAAACCACTATTGAAGGAATCATTGAAAATACAGCATATTAGAAACATGTGTAAATTGTTTATCTTGCAATTATTTTGCTAAATACTAATAGAAATTATACTGTACCTTCCAGAGAATAGCTTTTTTGTTAACTATGAGCCAATGAATGAATGGATGCATTTTATTATAACTGCAAAATGATGTTCTATGCAATTCATACAATTGATACGAAAAATTAATTTTGCCATATTAGAATCAAGTATAATCTTTAATCCATTGGATAGATCATGCATTGCCTGATGTTGAGGTATTGATAAAAGAATCAGCAAGTGTCTGACAAAATAGATTTTAGTGTTATGTATTAGGCAAAATATTAGGAAGGGTATAAATGGTCTCCAATCTTTCTAGTTTTGAGTATTACGTCTTCTTGCTTTGATTCAAACTATCCTCGGTCACTATTTGTAACCCCTCCCTCCTTCCCCATTTAGGCCATGGATATGAAGATGATTTAGAGGTTATGTGAAGGATACTAGGGAAGGGTTAATAGCCATAGTTATATTAGTTCATTTAAGTTTAATCATAAATGTTATGCAATTCACACTAGCATCAAATATCATACCAAAAGGATTGAACTGTTCATTACTTTTCAATTGCAGTAAACATGGTAAAATGGTTCTAAATATATTTAGAACCATTTTACCATGTTGAACAAGCATATTAATTAATTGTAACTCATAGTTCTTGATGACTTGAACTTATCCATTCATGTTCTAGGAACAAGTCAATGAATAAGTAAGACTTGACTCTTGACAGACTTAAAAAACCGAGGACCCTAAAACTAAACTAAAAGTTAGTTTGACCATTGATGACCTATGATAGGGAAGGGTCTCGGGATAACACTTATATAAAATATATAAAGTGTCTAATAATGATAATGAACATATTACAATGTTACACAACATTAGTAGATGCTAATTAAATGTCAATTATTGTTAGTGTAATCTGAATTTTTCATTTAATGCTGCAACAAGCGCACAAGTACCAAAAAGTGCCACGCCCACTTTTCCCTGAAAGCAGCTATGTGTGACTATATTTGATAAATATTATTGATTTATAGGATCATTATATCAACTTTTAAGTGTTTTAGTGTTAATATAGACATAATATTACAAATTTTGACAAAGTAGCAGCCATAAAATCCAAACAGATTTTGAAATATTTCACTTTGAGAACAAAGGGACACATTTGGGAGGGGGTCAAATTGAGAATATTTCGAGATATAAATACTGTTTCTATGGTAACCATATAAGTTAGAGATTGGAAATTTCTGGCACTTATTAACCATTACATGCTCTACCCAATATAAAACAATGAATATCTGACATGCATTAGTATTCTTTTTATTGGGTGGTATTAAAGTAACCCCATGGTTTTTTGGGGGTAGGGGTATAAATTGGTCTGAGGGCCGTCTGCCACCCCTATGGAAAGTCCAACTACCCAGAAAGTGTCCAGTATAATCATACAGATGGTTTGAAATAGGTTGGAATGTGTAACCTTTCATGTAAGGAAGGTTGCATTTCTAGAGCACTTCTACAGAATGGGTTACAGTCTAATATACAGATTCATGAATATAATGTTTTTTAGACTTTGCTACACTGTGGAGTTGCCACTTTCTACTGTGTGAATGATTTACATTTGAGGTTCTTTTCTCCAGTATGAATTTTAAAATGTTTTGTGAGATCAGACTTTTGTATAAATATTTTTGAACAAACATAACACTTGAAGTTCTTTTCTTCATGGTCCAGTATGAATTATAAAGTGTTTTAAAAGTTCTTTTCTCCAGTATGAATTCTGTTATGTTAAATAAGAATAATCCTTTGTGCAAATGTCATCACGATATCCTCCATGGCAGCCATGGCTGTTTGATGGGGTTGCTACCCTTTGTAAGACCCATCAGGGATGATGATATTATATACAGTGTACATGTTTCAGGTCGTATTCAACAGTCAGCAAACCTATGAGTTGATGCATTGTCTTGAAGAGTTGAACCTGGCACAGAGGTACTCTGATAAACCCACAAGGGATATGCCAGATGATCCTAAAGCTGCAAAGGTGAGTGCTACATCATTTTGAAGGAGAGTATAAAAGTCGAAAAACTATTTTCAAAAGGCACACCAATTTTCCCTAACAGTTCTGATTTTATTTTATGAAAAAAAAATATTGGGGTAAATCAAAATAATATTCTGAAATTAACTCACAACTGTTGGACTAATAGAAAAGAAACATGACATGTAATGATGACAACAAAAATATTGTAAAACTACGAAAAATATAGAATTTTTTTAACTTGAGTGTTACAAGATGCTGCTCGACTAGATACTTTATGTCATCATCAAAATAGAGAACAATAACTTTTGCAGAATCTTGTCTAATACACCAACAAGCAAACTGTTTAAGTTTTAATCAATTCATATTTGTATTAATTCTAATAATCTTCTTATGTATTTCAGGGACAGACTGAGCTAGAAAAGGAGAAAAGTGAACTTATGAAGCTAGCCTTAGCTAGGAATCTAGCAAGAGCCATTGTAGAGGAAGGGAGTGAGATCTAGCAAGGAAACTTAAATGGGAATAAATATCATTTCTTGTCATACGTCATACTCATACATACATGTATATGTCTGTGTTTCATTCAGTGGACCCTGACATTGGAATCTGAAGAATATTGCTCAGTGCGAAAGTCACTGCAGATTGGAATACTATTATACTTACATTGTACTGCCTGGGAACAACATTACAATAGGTTGATATGAATTAGTGTTCATGATTGGAGACTTAAGATTTGTATTTTACCCTCGTACAAGTAGAACACTATGAGGAATGGAACCCATTGTAAATGCTGCAATATTAGTCACATTATACATTGAATACCTTCTTGTGAATCTTACCAACTGTCACTAAAATTACTATACTTTGTACAATGTGCATCCCTATCAGCTTATATAAACAGACATGGTGTTGAAGCATGTAGCTAGGAATATCATCATAATTTGATATGAGTAGTAAGATACATAAATAGGCTGAGCAGTATTCACTTTAAACAAGTTAACTATACAATTAAACCTGTGAACATTCTATGCCTGTTTTAGTATCTCAGTATATCTGAAGTGTTTGTATTTTGTTAACATGCTAAAATGAATGTTGCTGGCCTAGGCTAACAGTGCTCAAATTAAGGGAGTAGAAGGGGTAGAGACTATTCCCCTTAAAATCTCAATTTTACATTTTTTGAAAAATGAAATGAGATATCTGATTCAAAGTGGACGTATTTTTGAAGATTTAAGATCTAGAAAATTCAATAGAATTGGAAACAGAATGTCTAGTTTTCAGTTAACTGGTCTCCCTTTTATACTCCCTTTAATGCCAAAGTCACATTTGCTCCAATTTTTAATCTGGCAACCTGCCTATTGAGTACTTTGTTCAAAATTGCATTCAGTTTTGATCAAAATACTTAATCGTCCAGGCGCAGGATTGAAAATCAAAGCAATTTGACTCAGGCATGAGAGACTGACATCCTTTGAGTCGTGGAAGATCAAAGATGGGATAAAAAAATTTTCACACTTCTATGTGTTCTGATATATACATGGAATAATGTACTTTATATACAGATTCTAATGTATGGAAGTCAAATCACTTAATAAAATTAGCCATAATCCACACAGTTTACTTTTTATTAGTTTCATCTTGCAAAGATGACCTGTTACAGTGGATTGGATAGAAAAAATTCTCGTTTTAAGTTATTTTTGTTCAACATCAATATAGAAAACCCCCCCTATGACTCCTCATCCTCCTTAGCAGGTGTCCAGAATCCGTACCTCCTTCTTCCCCCCTGCTATAAGCAGTTAGCCTTTCCCCGATTAAGAACTCGCAATCTGATTGGCTGTCGCAACACTGCGACAGAAATCATGTATACGTCATCGGCGCATAATTAGATCACGTGATTCACCTCAAGAGGTGGATTGATATTTATCCTGAGATTAATCCCAGGATCGTACGAATTCACCGATTTTTGGATTAATTCTTGGATTAATCCCACAATGCATCATTACCATGACGAAATTTATCCGGATCGGATCGCGGATCGTACGAATTCACCGGCCCTGGTTCAAAAGCTCGCCTATTTACAAAAAAATAGCCACCATTTTTGTCTCACAAAATTCACTTTTGGACCAATTGCTTTAAAACCTTTGTCGATAGGATTTCCGTTTAAAGTTATTTTTGTTCAACATCAATACAGAAAACTCCCCTATGACTCCTGGTTCAAAATCTCGCTTATTTTCAAAATGGTCGCCATTTTGTCTCGAGAAATTCACTTTTGGCCCATTTCCTAGCTATACAAATAATTTCAGGTGTCCTGCATTGTAGAAAGCCATGTCACTGTAAAGAGTAGTTGTATGAAATAATTTTGTTACAAAAATCAGTTTTTTATTTTCTGCCATTTTAGCCATCATTCACTTTTGACCAACACCATGTGAGCTCAGTACCATGGTACTATTTCATTTTAGTTTTGATGCACAAGCCAATGGCCTTCAGGACTGTCAATAGGTGGCGAAAAATTCAGTGGGTTTAATAGCATACTTTAACATGTAAAAATTGCTCCAAAAATCTCCCAAGATAAATTTCATTGAAAATATTCAAAACTTCCAGTCTGAATCTCAAAACATGTTTGAAAATAATAATGAAGGAAAATATGATATTTATTTGATATATGTAGAGAATTTGAACTTTCAAAACAGCAATATTTACACACAAGTCAATGGGCCAGTTGTGAAGAACAACCTAGTAGTTAACTGCCATCTATATGAGTCCTGGCTCCCATTGACTGGAAACCTAGCTCAGTGTTGCCATCTATTGAGAGATCTCCCTTATAGTTTGCTCATAAACGTTGAAACGCTTTCAACATTTATGAGCAAACTATAAGGGAGATCTCTCAATAGAAACGCTTTCAACATCTCTTTGATATCTTCTGAATGTTAAATGTTGGAGTTTTTAAAAACATCTATATGACAGTCTGTCTCAATGAACATGTGGCAATGACGAACAAAAGCAATGTTTGCTCACTCTGAGGCTAGGTAGGTTAATAGGTTACCTACATGAAGTATAAACTATGTGGAATAGAAAAAAATGAATAAAATAATTCACGGCAGGGGTCAACAGAACATATAAAAGGCAATTCCTTTAGTTTAAACTTTGCTGTTATAGAGAATTGTCCTGCATTATTCAAACAAACCAAAAATTGATGAATTCATAGATGATCTTAACTGATTTTAGTTGCATGTTGCATCTAAATTTAATGGCCTGCATTACAAAAGATATGTATTTATAAAAGATGAAAGTTTGACCATTTGTAACTGTTGAACATAAGAATCAATATGCTTGGCTGATTGAAAAAATTTCTTAATTGAGAACTTTCTTTCAAAAGGCCTCCCAGATATATTTTATTTGAACAGGGTGATAAAATGATAGAGTGGAATCACAATCTCTATGATGATGGAATCTTCTGAAATATGGTCAAATGATTATAGGGTTTCACAATTAGAATAATTTTTTTTTGTTACTTAACTCGTAAATTGCTTTACTTTGAAGGCTGTTTTAATTTGGGTGATTTGGCAAATTGATTAAAACCGCCGAATCAAGTCTCCACCAATTTTTAGAAAATAATCCATGGGACCTTAGGTCTCATTAGGAATTCTTTCAATATTTTGATTGTAACCCCATTTTTGACATTTTAGTTCATATTTGAAGTTACAACTCCCTGTGTCACCCAAAAGTAACCCGGCCATGTGACTTCCTAGCTAGCCTTCCAAAATCCATATTTTACTGATGAGTCAAACCGTCATATTATATGATATAGCGGCCAAATTAAACCACGAAATTCATAAAAATAACATTTTCTATTCTTATAAAATATTTTTATTGATAAAAATTGAAGGTAAATATACAAAATTTACATTATTGTAATAAAATATTGGACATGATTATAATTTTTTACAATATTATTTTACTTTTAAGAAAATATCAGAATATACATAATACTAGGATATAGTTACTACTACAAGCTCAATTAATGGGATCTAATGGACACAAATATGAGATAAAAAGCTAATGTCTATAGTCTATGTTACATGATATACTTATTAAATCTGTTACAGAAAAGATACATGATTTTAACGGGCTATTTTAACTTGTTAATTTTAAATCAATATTCAAATTCTGATTTTGTTTTATATTTTGAAAGCATCAATTTAAGTAGCTACATGTACTTGTAGAACTATTCTTGATAAATTATGGAATGATTGAAACATCTTTACACAGATTCTTAGGAATGATTAGAATATTTACAATGCATGTTGTTCTATAATGCACTTATTAGAAACATGGAATGAATAAAGAAATAAAAAATAAAAACAAACTGATTGATATGTCATTGATCTCAGCATTTTTCCTTGAAGATGGTGTAAATTCCGCAGTTTCGCAATTTGACCAAAATTGATAAATATGCAAATATTTCACCATTTTTCTCTTTCCCAAGAAGGTTGTCTTGTCAATACAAGACTATTAGCATTAACTTATTCTAGTCAATTTGAGATACATTTAAGCTCTGGACTTAATTGGTATATAGTACAAAATTTATACACCATCAATTATATATACATGAAGACCCTACAGAACACCACGATAGTCCACCCTAGTGAAATTATAAGAGGCGCCATAACAATCCGGTAACTATGGTTGCAATCATGAATAGTTTATTGATGCTTGAAGATGTGGCACTATTGCAATGGTCTCCATAGCAACTGTATATACAGGCGCGGTATGTTCTGTCGTGATCTGCATAGGTGATGTATTGGCACTGATTACCCATATCTCTTGAGCTGCAGAATCTACGAGTACCCACAACACCTGAAACATCAACGTAACAGATGTATTATTATTGAGTTCAAAAGAAGTCTCAACCTTATCTAGCCTATGACTAGTATGTTGATTTTTTAAAACAGAACACAGTAACATACCTTGCAGAATCTCCTATCTATAAAATGTGCAAGACAGCCTGGGTTTGATTTCTATAAACAGTTTTAATGCCTATATTCATTTTTAAGTCTTATGTAAATGTTGTATCCACATCATAGTTGGATAATAATACACTTATTTTTTTGATAGTTTCTTATAGCATTATACAAAAGGTTCAATTATATTAAGGTCTGGTGGTAGTTAACAGGAAGTGACAAAACAAAAAGTGACAAAACCATGCAGGATTTTAAATTTTGAACCAAGATAACAGAGTTCTGTTTTGACCTCCAGTCAGTTAAATTAAACTTTTTGTTTTGTCACTTCCTGTTAACTACCACCGCACCTTAAGGATACTCTTATCAAAGACATATCATACCTCCCCATACTCCTATAGTTTTTACACAATATTGAGCAGAGTCTACGACACATTCTTCAGACTTGATTGTTAAATCCTGCACATTGTCATGATCAAACCTCTCTCCACAGTCTGGGTCAGTTGTAGAAGAACACTGGTAACATTTCAGTGCATCTGAAAAAAAATTAATTAAAGGTTCAATAAAGACCATAGAAGAAATTTGGGAATCATTTTACCTTTCCGGAGCTATTAGTGCAACATTTGGCCTATGTCTTCTTCGCCATACCTATTTTATTAAAATGTATGCACTTGTCAACGAATACCACCATTCAGACTTGCAAATAGACTTCTAAATAAGCAATTGAAAGGATGGACGTCCCGCATTTTGTTTTTTGAAACATTTCTGAATTTCCGCCATTTAAAATTCTTACTGCAGCTGAGATTAGGTAAGACCGCATGTAAGCATGATTACAGTATAACCCCGGTTGTCTGATATAACCATATGCATGGTACACGATATGACCGCAATTGACGGTCTATTACCAGCGACTCTAGCAGTTAGCCTGGTCCACTGACGAAGAAAAATCAAAAAAATTGAAGACTAAAACACCTCAAATCTGCCCATATTCAAGGTATTCTTGACACGCGCATGGTATATAGGAAACAGAATGTTGGATAGAACGTTAGGTGAAAACGGGGCTGGAATCAAATGACAATATCACCGGGAAATCATTTAAACGTGCGTGTATCTGCACTATTTGTTCAACCTTTAAGTTGACGTATGGCATCTTGAAAACATGAAATCCTCAGCACAGCAAATCCATGATTATGCTCCAAACTGTAGATAACGAACTAGCATTACTGGGCATGTGGGGTTTATTTTCCATCATGTACCAAATTCATGGGGGTACTGGGCATTAACTTTTATTTTGGCAATTTATCCCCATCCCATCTTCTTGATTTTCGGATCCATCTCTGTTATGGTATTTCAAGAGTCCAGTAAAAATAAAACCCGTGAATTTTTCTAAAAAACACGGAAATGATTTCAAATATTTTGTTTTGTTATCATAAAAATAGGTCATTGTGATTAAACTCACCTATCGTTGATATCGCAATCAGCAATAGTACTAATCCTGAGATATATGTGTTTTTCATCTTTTGAACTAAGTTCATGACAATTTTTTGAAACTTTTGGGAACCATATACACTTATAAATTGTTCAGGTGTACTTCAAATAAGTTTTTTCAGGTGCGAATAAAATGGCGGAGTCTGTTTCAGGATATCACTAGTGCTCAAACTTTAATGCACTATTCTATTTATTCTTCTTTATTATCGATGTGATTATGAAAACGATTATTCCAAAGGTTTCAATTTTTACAGTTAAAACAACTAATTATTGACATTTTATTGATGTTTGAAATAGTTATGCATTCAATTACATAAAACAACAACAATCTATGAGTCACTTAGGAAAACACTGTTACTTAATTGTACGGCCTAGTCTATAAAGTGGAACAAGGACTTGGCTCATGTAAATGGCGCTTACAGATTTTGTTTACATACAAGGGCCGATCAAATAGTTTCTTACCATTGGCTCTCGATTTTGTAATAAGAGGAGTTGGATGCTCAAACATTAACATGAGACGGGATAGTTAATTTGCTTGATACCGGCTGTACGAGTTTCATATAAATTGGTTTATTGGTAGTGACATATAGTCAATGCATATTTTCAATGACTAAGTTAGGTGGAGCAGCGTTATATATAAAATATCTACTGAGTTGTGGTTCTGGAAATTTACCGGCATTGCATTGCAACTGCATATTTTGAAGGAGAATGAATATTAGCATAAAAACTACTTAAACATGATTACGACAGTCTGTTAACAGATGACACTACTTGGTGTTAGAAATTTCCAAAACTGCTGCTTAGTACAATTTTTATATAAAAAACGCTGCTCCACCTAACTTAATCATTGAAATGTGTTTTGTCTCTATTTCACTACCAATGAACCAATTTATATGAAACTCGGACAGTTTCAGGCAAACGTATTACCCTGTCTCATGTTAAAGTTTGAGCATCCAACTCCTCTCATTATAAAATCTAGAGCCAATGGTAAGAAACTTTTTGATTGGTCCTTGTAGTTGCTTAATTCCTTTTCCAATGCAAACCATACACCATACAGCATCTCGAATTTCCGAAATTCATAATTATAACATAGACCTCTATATGATTGTAAAATACACTGCGTGTTATTCATTATGGCACCATTGTTGTTGAAAGGCCATTTTTATTAAGAATTTTTAACTTCCTTTTAATTACCCCTGGTAACAATAATTAATGATTAAGTAATTTACAGTAATTAATTAATTACTGCATTCAAAGTTTGCCAATTGATTCAAACCCCATTTCTCGTATTCCAAAGTTTTTCCGAATTGAAGGTGTACTCCGATAGACCTGGGACTAAAATGGATAGACCGAGCTTCAAATCAACATTTTCACTACCAAGGGATAGGCACCGATATGGTGAACTGAATTAAACAATGGTTTTCTTTTAAACCAATTATTGAAAACATTATGTAAAAAACACGGTCCTTTATGTAATGTTGACTGATTGACAACAATTTAGTGGGAAAATTACTTACATATATTTTATATAACTGTTTTTGTTAACATTTTTTGTTTTTTTAGTACAATTGTTTTTTGTTCCTTTCTACCAATTCTTTAGAATGAAATAAAATGTATTTTTGAAACTTGTTGGAACAAAATATCAATAGCGATACTAATTACTAATCCTTTCCATTTTCATTCTGGAGGTCAGGGAATACAGTTATACAATGGGCTGAAATAAAATTTCTTGTGTTACATCCATCATTCTCTCGTCTTTATCAGCCTCATGCATATGCCGCATTATGTATATACTTTTAGAATATTTGCATGACGCTACACCTTACCAATCAGAAAACCAGGAGCCCCCTTTTTAAACATTTAATAACATATTCCTTGGCCTCAGATCCATTCCTTTCTAACTTCGGGTCTTCTTTTTTATTTTGGATAGAAAATAGCTGAATTCTAATGATTCCAATCCGACTTACTTTACTTCAATAAATATTCAAAATTTAATGTGGTTTAATAAAGCATTTACCAACTTTGAAAATTTAATCTTCTTTGAAAATGTGACTTCTCGGTCGCGGAGACTCGCCATAGACCCCATGTTACAACACAAAAAGTACATGTAAGATATCTTTTCTTGTATTGGGCAGATAATATTTTCTTTTACTGGACATATTTTCGTTTGTATATTTATCAGACACATACATAAGGATTATATGAAAATTGATCCACTTAAACTGATAATATTTATTCAAGTTTAAGAGAACTTTTTTTATTTACCACCATGTTAATTAACCCGAATCAGACACCTGGTGGAGAAACTGGTAACTTCCTACTCGCATCTAGGTAATTGTGCAACTTAAAGTTGTTCCATACGAATGGAATCTGAAATCCAGTGTTTCTATGGAAAAATACAAAAGTCCTGGTTTAAAAGTGTGTCATCCGAAAATCGAGTGCAATAAATGGCCATGAATCCATTTGGCATTGCACCTTTAACATCCTGTACCAGGACTATAGTCTATAGTCCTGGTACGGGATACACACACGTAGCAAACTATTTCTAACACTATACGCGTATAACTAAAATGCAATTTTATTCAACCAGAAAACTTTTTCAAGGCACGGTCTGGGTATAACTCATATCCTTAGGGCATTAGCATTGTGATACCTAATTGACTAATCATTAATAATAACATAAATAGTTTTTCACACAAGGCCATGTTTTCCATATCATATAACCATTTCCTATATAAATCATGGTGTCAATGATATTTATTATGTATTAAGATTATTCTGTGTTCTGATTGGCCAGACTGCATACTTTGTGTGAATATATCAACATAAACATAATTATAAATCACTAAATTAATATGTAATACATATGTATTAATATGTAAACACTAAATCAATTATAAAAAACATCGTCTGACATATGTCAAATTAAATGTTAATTTGACAAAGATTTTATCACTAATTCTCATAAAGTAGTTTGAGATGACATCTGATTGCAACTTAGCATGCATTTAACATGTGTAAGAAAATCAAGATAAAAGCCCTTGAAAAATATTGATCCTATAATTGTCTGTTTCATTAATATAGTATTACTGTATGACATACAGTTTATATAACAAAAGTCAAATCTGACCTAGAAAGCCAGATAAAACCATAACTTAATATATATTTTAATCTTAGATTCAGTAGGCTATGGTGTTGCTGAATGACAGATCAGCAACCACAGGAATCTCGGTACAGGAATCAACATTGCCAGCAGACAGTAAACCAAAGGCCAATTTTACAAATGAGCTGGGTATCAATCATTATAATAAGAATGCATGATGGGCTAATAGTTGTTTATGTCACACAACGCAGCACATCGTTCCTCCACAACACAGTTTATATCTATATATTTGTATTTGACATATGAAGTCAAAAAAATTTGTTCGCCTTGAAGAGCAAAGCTATTTTTCTTGGATACCAAGAAAACAAGTAATATAATGTTAAATCAGAGACAATATACCATATTTTCTTGCGAATATGCCCATGAGCGTTTCTTTGAAAGAGTGGTGTAAAGGCCTACAGTATGGGCGTTCATTTCAAGAACTTCTTAATAAACTCCCAATGGGCAAAACTATTCGAGAAAAGAAAATATAAGTAATTACTGCTTTAAAACAACGTAATCTGTATGGAAATAAGTGATTACTGTCATACTTATTGTTTTAGTCATTTAAAATATGACACAATTTAATTGTTCAATTATAGATTATATTTCAAATCGTATCAGAACAATAGGTCTTCAATATAACTATAACATTGCTTGCGCACACGTTCAAGACCAGTGTATTAAAATGCTCAATGCGATTACTGTCTTTTATCAAATCGTAACAGAACAATAGATTCTACGTCAGTTCAGAACAAGCTCAATCACTGTCTAGGTCTTCGTATCAAATGGATGTTCTCCCATTCGGAAGAATTTTCGTTTTCGCCATTTACTCACTTAATCCTTTGAATGTAATGTCCATTTTTCGAACCTTAGTGAAGAAGTTTTGGTTTCAAAAGATGTACTTGTCAACTTTACAATCATTAATATCACTACTATCAAACGCCCACTGGCTTGGAAAAGCTATTTCAGCCCTTGGGAAAATTGTTGTTCCCTCTCGATAAAGCCCCATGGATATGCCAGGAAACCCTCACCATTTATTTTAACTCAGATGTGACAAAGTTCTCAGATCTAAATGCAGAGTTTCTGTTTCTGTTAGCTAAGAATATTAATGACACCTACAGTTTTTTTGGTCGGTGTCTCAAAGCAGTTCGTTCATTTGCGCACTTACTCCTGTACTGTAAGGACATGATGGGACCGACTGAGTGATTGGAGATTGTTGTCGACTATGGCGAGAGAATTCTCAAATAGGATGCGTCTGCGAGGTCCTCCTGGTATTTTAAACAAATAGCCTGCTCCCAATATAGCAAATAAACCTTGGGTTGATATCTCGACTACCAGGGTGCATAAATACACGAATAGCAATAAATACATATAAATCATTAAAGATGAACACGACGCCAAACAGAAAAGGCATCTATATAATATATATAAACAATTGTGAAATTATACATACACATACAGTAAGTTAACGGTTATTTCTATCGCTGAAGTGGAAAATACTTATTCATAAATTTTACAGTCCTACCGAATTAAAATGACTTTAACCATAGCAACGATGATGTGTTGATTAGTTAATTGAATATTTTCATGATTTTAGAAGGTATTTGGGTGTGTTTTTTATTTGGATTCTTGAGTTCTTCATCAGATGTCAGAAATACAATTTTGATATTATGCTTTTAGTGCTAGTCCATATTCCAATATCAAATTGTAAATGCAGTTGATAATAAACACATAAATTATTGGATTAATTATTGAAATTAACCAAGCATGCAGAAAAACCTGCACAAATCCATATAGTCAGATTGGGTACAAATTTCTACTTAATGAAACTTTTAAAACGCTATCAACACATTAATAATATGTAACCGGATGTATATTTTCTCAAGTATATGCTTCAAAGGTAAGAAGAAGAATCTTAGTAATTATATTCTTGATCTTTGGTTATTTAGTTTTAGGATGTAAAACAAAGATGTACTAAGGGTAATATTGGGTAACAAAGGCCAAAATTTAGTCGGTTACAATACATGATAAAGTATTACATCTTAAAAGAATCGGATCCAGGGAGTGACAAAATTACATGACAATATATTCGTTATAATTTCAAATCCAATATCTCACAAAAGATCCAGGATATATTATGAAAGTTATGAGGATTCAAGTGCAGAAATGAAGTGGAAATGTTTAAACACAAAATAAGAAAAATGGTAACCACATTTATAGAATATATTATTGTAAATTGTTTTCACATTAAGTATAGTTTTTGGATGCTTAGAAAAAAGACGTTACAATTACAAGGAATGATATGAGCCCAAAATATTCTAAGATTGAAATACTTTTTTCTAGATCTGTACTTTGCTACAGCAATGAGCAAGTACAATTGTATGTTAAAGTCGCAGCAAAGACTGTTGGATGTGTTTTCAAGAAGCAAATTACAGATTTCTTTACAATTTGATTTTATTCATCTGATCAAAGTCATTGTTTGATTTGCAGAAATGTCCAACTTCATTGAATAAGGAGTCCACTCTTTTAGATTGTACTAGATAACTTAAAAATTGAAATAAGGGAACCTAAAAAAAATCCTGAAATAAAGTCACTACTAAGTTGTTTAAAGTGAATAGGTATGGCAGAGACTGATGATGAGAGCAAAAACAAATTAGAAAATTGATTCAAGGGGAGATCTACAAGAATTCATATGATTTTTGTATGTTTATTTATTCTCGCTATAAATGCCAGTGACCTTCACACTATCTAGGTCACATACTTCAATATTTATTCAAACCAATGTTTATTCAAAATGTTTTATCCGTTAATTATAGATATATCAGAGCAAAATTATAACAATAATATGAAGCTTTCACGAGTTGATAATTGGTAAATAAATTTAACTTACCTATTGCATGACAAACCATTTCTAGTAAATCATTATCTCTGTTTCAAAATGTAATAAGTACATAACCTACACTTGTCAGGTACACGAACGATAACACAATGACCAATGTTTCTTCCTTTGATAACTATTTGATAACTATTAATTTCAAATGTATTATTATTTCAATCATGTTATATTATTTCAGTTAGATGATGTTTGTGCGAGTATTCGTGTTCCTACTTATTAATTGCTTTACTTCTACAAATGGGGCTAAGGTAAGACAACTCGGTCAAAATAAAATCACTCGAATACCAAATGTACTACCCTTTGCATTCTTTGCCTTGGCTTCTAAATAACCAAACTCTGTGTTTAGGATATATCAAATATCAATTTGTCAGATTTTAGAATTAAACTGAAAACAACCTGAGATATTGTTTTGTTTCTGGGATTGAGATTCAAAACACTTTATAATTGTATTAATTTTACAATGTAAAAGGCAAATGGTATGAGTAAGCATCCCTATATAAACAGACTCCAGAAATCAATTTATCACAACTATTATGTGAAGTATCCTCATATTGTACTTTTAACATCAAGGTTCAACAACGCTTAAAGAAAATCAACATAGGAGTAGAAACTGCCGAGAATGACATGAAACAGGTATATATGTTTGTTTTACAGAAACGCTCATGTGCTATATCATATTTGGTTGTCCCAAGAAGTGAACCACTTTGACAATTTTTCTGAGCAAAGTCCTTCACAATTATTTTTTCACCCCATTCCTTCATAAGATGTAACGGATCTCTTTCATATTTATGAAACTTGCTGTGGATACTCTTAGGCCACTTTATACTGATTTTAAATGAAATGGTTCATCCATTGCTGAGGAAATACTTGTCAAAAGCGGTTCTTTTTGGGACACCCGTTCCAAAGTCTTAAAACATCTCAATCAACCCACCCAGAACTGCAGCTGAGTAATTTTAATTTCAATCCGTAATAACTTAAAAGTGTATCATATGCTATTGCAAATAAAGCATTCAAAAGTGACTTTGACGTCGATCTACTTTCTTCAGTTTTTAAAAGAGGAACATCACCATGATGTAGAAACAGTATTACAAGAACTACAAGCAAGTGTAACAAATCACCAGCTGTTCGACATTACAACCAAAGAAGAGCAATTGGAACTTATAGAATACTCAAAGAACAAGACATGCATCGACCCACCAATTGTAAGAGACGCTTTGTATTTTGAGAATGAATCTTAAGTCACTAGTGAATGCCTGATTCGCACCTAGAATCAGATATCACAAGATGCAACTCACACAGGAAGGTCAATAAAACATTTCAAATTAAAGTTGTGGATTAGATTTAGATATGAGCATTGGAGTTGAAGCTACATGAAGTCACATGCTTAAAGACGGTATATGATTAAAGCCACGGCCATTGACCCAATGGAAATCATTATAAAACAATTTAACGACTCGATTAAACTATATTCTACATTTCAGTTTATGAACCATACAATGTCACGCAAGGCTACTAAGTCAAGAAAGAAAAGACTGAAGGGAACTAATAGCATGAAACATTCAAGGCAAAAGAGAAACATTGTTCTTAATTGGGATAATAAATGGGAGAAAAATGGAAAGCATGCTATCATTCCATGGATGTGGGGTGGGGAAACGAGTAAGTTTCAAAGATATGATAATCTTTTGAGATAATGTTGGTTGACTTAATAATATTTATGAGAAATCACAGAAAACTACCACAAAAACGCAAATGGACCCAATCTTTTTAGCCTATATCTATGGTCTGGACTTCGAGACTGGATTTTATATATCCCACATCGTTTGACACTGAGTGCCCTGTCTTGTATGAAAACTAATATCTACAGATATTTTTCATGTTATGAGTATTGGCTATACAATCATCATTATGTACTGTATTCATGGCTTCTGTATGAATGAAATGTACCTTTGAGTTAGTTATGGTCCTGATTTGTGATGATGAAACTTAAATGGTGGGGGGATATTAGACATTATTTCTTTTGACGTTGGATGATACAGTAGTTTGGGATAATAGGGGTTTGTTCTCCTTATGACGGGTGAGCGTTTAGATGTTTTTTTCTCTTGCTTGACACTTGTGCGTATATTTAATATTTCTTTGTTCAGCCCCTGCAGCAAAAGAAAATGTCCTTAGAGCAATGGCATACCTTCACAAGCATACCTGCATCAGATTTGTTCCCTATACACAAACAGTACACAAAGAGCACAAACTGGGTCACAACTCATGGCTGAACTTCACACATGAAGGAGGGTAAGAATGCATCTATTGAATATATGTGGTTGTCAACCCCATTAAATGTTATTGCGTTTAAGTCATCACGTGTATCGTTTAAGGTGCTGTTGGTCGTTTATTGGTCGGCTGGATTTGGACGAAGGTGAGGGACAGAGAATTCATCCAACTAGCATGACAGTAAGTTACGAATTTCACAATTACCATATCGAATGAGCTGATAAATGAGATGAATTGAGACAACAGCATCGAAGATCAAATGAAAAAGTAACAAGGTTGCTGCTGCGTAAAGATAACGATGTTATACCAGAGACATGGTTATACACGTAATGAAAATGATAAAACATATTGTCAAGTGGAAACATAGCAACTCAAGTAAGAATTACTATTGTACTGTCTGAGAATAATTGAAAATCTTTCACTTGCAGTCTAAATCAATCAATTTACCACTTCATGAATTTGGTCATGCGCTGGGCATGAGCCACGAGCAGAAACAGCCAGGAAGGGAACCGTATCTGAAAATAAACATTAACAATGTACTGTGTAAGTGATGCCTTATTCCTACAATGCAAATAATCCAAGATGTAATAAAATTCACAATGTTTTAACTTATAAAATCTTACATTATTATAGGGCATTGCATGACCACATTCTAACCTGGAAAGAATGTAAAGTAGACTAGTCAGGCACCAACTATGTAGTTTACTATACTTTTTCCAGCAAATTATGGTGAATTTGCAGTTACCGAAAATGCTGTTTCCTACCATATGCATGACTTCCATTCACTTATGCATTACTCAAAATGGGTGAGCTGAATACATTCAATTCTTTGAAATATTTAATATCCAATGACATGTTGTTTTCCCAAAATTTGGTTGCATCCTATGACTTGCAGATACTAAGCTGATTTTTTGTCAACAGTTTAACACAAGGAATGAGCTACAGACTATGGAGGGCTTTGATCCGGATTGGGAGTACTTATTTTCTAATAAAAGACAATTTGACTTCTTTGACCTAATGGATATAAACAGAGGATATCAATGTGATGGTAAGTGCCAGTCAGTGCATACATATCATTACATACCAGAATTGTCACTTTTTAATTTACTTCATGTGTTTACTTTTTTTGTAAATAGTTATGAATAATATAACATTTTCAGCGAATTGTCCGTCAAATATTGTTTGTTACAATACTGGTTTTGCTGCTTTGGTGGATGATGAATGTAGTTGCATCTGCCCTGCTGGTCTAAAAGGCGACTGCACTCAATTTGACAATGCTGGTGGGTTGATTGTTGTATAAAAATGTCTTCAATGATTTGAAATATTTACATCAACATATAGATATAAAGAAATGTTCATACAACATGTATATCAGCAGGCTTCAAAGTAACTTAGCAAAAAGTTAGTCTTACCTCTCTATTTTTAAAAAATCTCAAATAAAAGCAATACGTATCATAAATGTATGTAAACATAAGGTAGTCACTAGAAGCCTCTCTGTTTTCTCACAAACCGTCATATTTCTAGGATACGAATACACAAAATATCTATAAATTTTCATTATTTTCGATATTTTTTGAAGTTTTATCATGTATATAAAGTATCACTCCCTTATCGTTCCTTTAGATGACTAACGTCAGAATATAGTTGAGTGGTGGTCTCGTGAAAATACGTACCCTGGAGCATCGATTTATAATAACCGGATAGTGATGTTTAAATCCGGGTCTTATGCATTTGTTTACCTATAGTTGATGGTCGTTCAAGTGCAACACACTTATTACGTCGACTTCAATCAGTCCAAGTTTAGTATTGCAGATGTATAGAAAAAAAGAAACGATTATGACATACAATACATTTGTGTTAAAAATTAAATTTTTATCGGATTTTATTAATATAATGAATATACCCTTGTGTTTAACAACATTTCTTTTACCTAGACAGCACTCGGTTTATAAACCTACGTGATGGCTTCAGTAGTATATTTTTAACATCACCAAACTACCCAGAGTCGTATCCAAACGATGTGACAGTGTACTGGTTCATAAAGGTACGTGGATGGCTTAAATCAACATACATAATATGTTTACACCAAACTCGATCAATAGGCTTTCTGTTTGGGCATGCTTTTTTGTTAGTATTTATGATTTTTGAATACTGTTTTGGATCATGAATTTTATACTATTTATCAGATGTTGTTCCTTTTGTATATTTATTGGTCAATTTATTAATGATATTATAATCATTACCGAGAAACAATTAATAAGAAAAGTGTGGACAAACATAAACCCCATAATTATATACATTCACAAGGCTCCAGAAAATAGCAGAGTTAGTGTCTACATTGAAGATTTCGATATTGGTGGAGAAGAAAATAATGGAGATGAAGATGCTGGATGTGATGACTATTTAGAAATTAGAACAAGCTCTATTGGACAGCCAGGGCATAAGTAAGCACCGGGACAAACATCAAATATAAACAACGAGCTTTAATATGAAAGTAATACAATCAAAAAACGCAATAAGACATATTGTGAAGAATGACATGTTAAATCAATGAATGTACCTTTTTAATGGTGGATATAACCTTTTGTTTTCCACTTTCTGTTTTAGGCATTGTGGTACAAATTTTAAAAGGAGTTGGCTAACAGAGTCAAACCTATTGTGGATGACCCTTGTTACGGATGATAAAGGAGGTGGATCGGGTTTTAAGGCTAAGATCACATTTATATCAGGTATTTTAGATCATACTTATGTCATTTCTATGATGTGTATTAAACGAGGCATCTGATATAAACACAGAGCCAGCTTTTATTTTCCCCTATCACTGTTGTAATTCGAATAAAATTTATGTTGTAGACAAATCTATTATGGAATATTATAATATTGCTGACAATGGTGCAAGTTACAGTGGTTTCATGAACTTTACTCAGGACTTCAGACAATGCATCAACTGGGAACGAGTGAAACACTGCGACGTTAATCCCTTTTCACGGAGGTATTTTTGATATATAATATTATATTCTTAGTAATTATTAATGTCATTTTTATCTTGTCCTAATAATTGATGCTACAAGTTTTGAATACTGATGTATTTTGATTTTTAGCTTTTATGATAATGGGTTGGGAGACCATAATTATTGCCGAAACCCAAATGGGGCACTGCGACCTTGGTGCTACACAAACGAGATGTGTTCCCAAAATTTCTGTGATATTGGTCAATATGGTATTCTATTTGATAGCTGTTCATCGTATTTTTAACTAAAATCATTTAATATAATCATTAATCTTCATTATTCACTTTCAACACTCAGTTTTGACACTAATGAGTTGTTCTTAAGATTACTTCCTGACCTGGAAATATCACCATGCCATTTAAATATTTCTTAATGTGTTTACAGGGTTATGTCATGACATATTCGATGATTGCTCATTTGTATTGACAAATGTGCAAATACATTGCCAAAACGAAGAGAACCAACGTGGCTGTAGAAAGACGTGTGGCATGTGTGATATATCTGAACAGAAGAAGGGTACTCTGTCTGTTAAGAATAAGACATAACGGTGTATTGGAAAGTAATATGACCCGAACTACCTAAAATCACATCAAATGAATATGAAACCATTTTTTATGTGCAGCCGAGAAATTCGACATACTTTCCGATCGTTAGTTTTACTAGGAGTTAATTGCATTCATGTTTCAGTTGATGTACTGCCACCTCCGTTTGTTAATGACTCGTATGCTGTACAAGATGATATAAATCATATAAGGAAGAATAATTATGTTGTTGGTGATGTTGTTAAATATAATTGCAAGAAGAATGGCGAATACATATTTGGTTATGAAGAGAGAAGGGCTATGTCTGATGGCACATGGAGTGGGAGGTCCCAGTTTTGTGGTAGTAAGAAACTTTAAAAGATCTGTACCACTGTAGTAGTTTGGTTTATAATGTTGGTCAAGGGACCAAAGGCAGACCATACTAGAAAGAGTATCATATAGGCACTAGGTCGAAGGAAAGGGAAGATATGAAAAGTTAAACCACTACTGCAATCCTGTTCCAATTCTGTCGACCAATAAAGAATATATTGGATAACTCTATAAAATAATTTAACATCATCAAAAGAATTATATCTAGTAGTTGCTAGGCCAATATGAATTTCATTACTGTGTTTCAGAATGCCCAAGTGGCTGGGCCACATTAGGCGACCATTGTTATAAAGCATTCCTTGAGTTGATGAACTTTGATGATGCAGAGACTTTCTGCCAACGATTTAGTACAGATGGTCATTTAGTGAGCATAAATAGTGCAAAGGAACAACGATTTGTGGAACAGATAGGAAAGTGGGTTATCATTTGATTTTTATAGATATGTGCCCCACTCCCCCAATATGTGAACACACACTGACGCTTCAGAGACTGGTTGTTATCATGACATTATTATATTATTTGAAATGTTTTGAAATTCCAGTTCCCATATTTACCAATTGTATTGATTAGGTTTCGACCTTGGAAAGTGCATTCAACTTGATCCACTATTTTCTCCTTGATATATTCAAACTATGTTTGTTTTAGTAAACTACATTCATTCTGGCTTGGATTTACTGACAATAAAAATCATTACCGTTATACATGGTTGGATGGGAGTCCCTCACCGTTTGTGATGTGGTTTGATTATGAACCTAACGACCAGCAATCGCCCACCGGTGGCGAGGACTGTGCTGTTTACAGCCCTTACTTTTTTAAAGGATGGTATGACCGTTCTTGTGACTCTCTGTTTGCGTACATTTGCAAGAAGCCTGCAGAGATGGGTAGGTACAGTAATTTAGATTGCAATAAATGTTACAATAGTATTAATCTTGCAGAGTAAATTCCGAAAAAGTCGAGAGCACCTGGATCTAAACCACGAAGACCTTGCAAAAATACAATTCATATAATAATGCTTTTTATTTGACTATCAGGATGCAAAAGTGGATGGCGACACAATCCTGCAAATAATGCCTGTTATAGAGCGTATCGTTCAACCGTTAAGTGGATTGCTGCAGAAGCATACTGTAACAGTATGGATGCAAATCTTGTCAGTATACTCGACCAGAATGAAGCTGACTGGTTTGAAGCATACAGGTCATCCATAAGGTAAGTAGTCATCTATTCAGAAAACAAAGAGTGAATAAACAAGTATGTTCTAAACAAAACAACAGAAAACGACGATTTTAAGAACTCGTAAATCATCATCAATTTAACTCATACCAACATTGAAAAATTAAATAATGTAAAATCTGTCTCATCCGAAGGCTCCTCGGACCTTCCCAGTGTTCTCATAAGCAGGTATTTACATTTCAAAATGAGTCAATGGATGATACATGAGAGATGAAAAAATTGGTCAAAGAAAAATGCTCACATTGAGGTTTCTGGATTAGAGAAGTGTTTAGATACTGAATATGACATTGCGATTCTTCCATAACTTCACCAAACATCAACCATTACAATATTTTACCTGTAAACCACGAATCCTATTTCCTGTTCATGATTTTATTTCATTGCACCCTCATTAGAATCAATATTTTCAGTGGATTGACTTATATATGGATTGGATTGAATGATAGGGAAACTGAAGGTGAATGGATTTGGTCAGATGGAAGTTACATCGGTTTTTTAAATTGGAAATTGAGTAAGTTGTCTCATTCGTCTTCTGATTGGCCTTCGGAAATATTGATTATCAGTATCATTTTTGAGTACGCTCTCTAATTAATCACTTTTACAGTGATTGATTGAATTCAACAGCCGGAAATATTATTTAATACTAATTCTCCTTTAATAAACCACATTTTCTTTTGACTAAGTTTTCACAATGCAATATGATATATTATTAATTAGATAAGAAAATCGATTATATATGAAGTTAAAAATAAGTAATATGACATATTTGATGTAGGTGAGCCAAATGGACACATTGCCTCAAACTGTACACAAATAAAAGCAATTAATAAAGGCAAATGGGATGACATAAGCTGTGATTATGAAAATAGCTTTATCTGTGAAGCTACATTGCCAGGTGACGTTGAGCATGTATTACTCAAGTATAAGTCATAGTAAAGGACATATTCAAATTAAAATGTAATCATGCAATAAAGATTCCAATAGGGTAGACTTTCTTACATCCCTGTAAAGATCTTTTGTCAAAGCTATTCCGATGGATTAACATTTTATCAACAACATCTGTGTTTCCTATTTAAATTCGGTTAATATTTATACTAGATGTGGATGTGCCCTGCCAAGATGATCCAGCTAAAGACTGTATAAGTATTTTAGCCAGAATGCCCGATATGTGTGAAAACCAGTTAGAATTTGCGCATGCGTATTGTCTGTATAGCTGTGGGTTTTGTAATGAATATAACCACCAAGGTAATAATTGCATCTCTACTCTTTATTTAAACTTTTAGGCTTATGCGTGTTAGAACTTTTCTAAAAATTTGAAAAAACAAAGTTCCACAGTCAATGAATAATAAACAATCCAGAAACCTTTCCATTTTATATATATTTCTACTTTTGCAGACAACACAAACTATACATTCATTTTCACTCCTAACAATGACAATCAAGTGAAGCTGTTAAATAATGTGGTACCAATGGAATACTTTAGATTTGAAGTGAAGACGTGTAAGGCAGCTTCGATATGTTTAGGGGCCACAAGCAATGCTCGTCCATCAGAGGTGCGTTTATTTACTCAACTGATTTTAGTTACCATTAAATTCGGGTCACCTTATAACCTACAGCTAGAAGTAACATACATGTAAGTAACAACGTGGGCAAATTTATCATTAAGTCTAATTATAAGATATCAATTGTTGATGTATAGATTATTGAAAGTGAGATACACATAAACTTAAGTACAAATGTGGAAATAAATAAACTTAATTGATCAATAAATTGATAAACAAGTACATGTACACTCCCCTCCATAAGTTTGCCAATACACTCTCCTCCATTAGTTTGGCAATACACTCTCCTCCATAAGTTTGGCAATACACTCTCCTCCATTAGTTTGCCAATACACTCTCCTCCATTAGTTTGGCAATACACTCTCCTCCATTAGTTTGGCAATACACTCTCCTCCATTAGTTTGGCAATACACTCTCCTATATTAGTTTGGCAATACACTCTCCTCCATTAGTTTGGCAATACACTCTCCTCCATTAGTTTGGCAATACACTCTCCTCCATTAGTTTGGCAATACACTCCCCTCCATTAGTTTGGCAATACACTCTCCTCCATTAGTTTGGCAATACACTCTCCTCCATTAGTTTGGCAATAAACTCTCCTCCATTAGTTTGGCAAATGGAAGTTTTCTTTGGATGCATATCAATGACTTTCAATGTTTGAATCTTTCTTTTGTCAATTTATAAAGGTTTGTGTAATGTTACTTTTTCAAATGTTTTCATGGCTATTTGTGATTTGAATTAGCATAATGCTAGAAAATTAAATGAACAACGTATTAACATGCACGTGGTCCAGAATCATGGCCATAACCAATTATTGTAGGTACCATTTCTTTATTTGTATAGGTGTATCAGATAGAGCTAGGAGGTGGCGGAAATACAAAAAGTTTTATTGCGAAAGGCAAACACGGTGCAAGACGTGTACTAATGAACACCCCAAATATTGTTAGTTGCACTCAATATAGACCTTTCTGGGTTCGGGCTACTAGAAAGGCCCAAATGCTTCGCATTGAAGTTGGAACTGGACTGTGCATCGGGGAAAATATGTTCATGACGTGGACAGATCCATATTCTGTAGCTCCATATGGATCAGGTTTTGTAAGCGGAAGCTCATATTATAGTGCTCCAGCTTTTTGGAAGGTTTATCACACAGACATTATGCTTCAGACTTGTGGCGATCCAAAACGTAACTATTTTACTCTTTTGACATCTAATCAGTAATCGGTAGCTTGGATAAAAGTAGAGTGTTCTTCATATTGGTAGAACAACGTCACCAATATATGCAATTCTAAAAATATTGATAACATTGAGCATAAGCATAAGATTGATGTTATTATACGGATTTATGCAAACTTATTTCAAACCCATGATCATGATTGACATGATGAATGTATTACAAGTAGTATAATAGACTAAAACAGTTTCTTTCCCCATTCATAATGCCCATGATGGGCTCTTTCTGTTAAATGCCCATGGGCACTAATACAGATCAGTCTCAATGTGAGATTCTTCGGAAGGCTATTAAATATAACAAGTGGATATATATTTCATTCTATTCATCTATAGTTTTTTTCATGGTAATTTGTATTAACAGAATACTGAAAAATACATGAAAAATACAGTAAATATTATACTTATGTGGTGAGTGTTTTCATGTTATGCATTTCTTCTTCTTTATTGCTTATCACTTCAAATAGACTGCTGGGCACAAACGGACATACCCAATTGCCACATTGTATCCAAATCCATATTAAAGATCGGAGAATATGCTGAATATTCTTGTGACATTGGTTATGGGACAGATGACAGCATGCGACAAGCGTGTACCAGAAATGGGCTTGTACCAAGGGAACCTCCAAAGTGCATACGTGAGTTGTGTGAAGTAGATTTGTGGTTTGGATCATTTATTGCATCTCTAAATGAAATTAATACATGGGACAACGTTTTTTAAATTATTGAATTTATTTTATGTATGACATATTTCCGTTGACCCTGTACTTGTGCTGTATAATATCCTTTGAGAACTGAATATGTCATTCCAGCCAAGTCTAAGTTAATTGAAGAATTGGGAAATCTACAAATACCACGTCCATATCGCATGGAGGTTGGAAATGTTACATTGGAAAATAGTCGCAATTTAAGAATAAACCGATCAGGAGAGGTGAGTAGGTCTTAAATATAAAACTGATGCCCTGAGTTCAGCATTAATTATAATTCATAGCAGTCCAACTGAAGTAGTGTATCAACACAATGTGTCCCAAAGGGTATAACTCTATAATTCTGGAATAACTTCAATTTTGTTGGATACTCATTTGGGTTCATCCTATGCAAAATTTATTGATTCATTTGGTCATAATCATTTAAGTTAAGGTCGCTATGTGTATTTAGATACTGGAATGGAAGGTGTGGTCAGAAAGAACAACTAAAATCTATATGCAAATATGGCGGCCTGTTAATGAGCCGTCTTCACATTTTGGAAAGATAATGGCCGGATTTGAGTTGTTAGGGCAGAACATGATTCAGCTCTATCCAAAGCGAATCAATATAATACATGTTCAAAAACATGAACGTATCAAGGTACAGTAAATTATGTTTTCATGTTTTGCAATGATACATAACACATTGAGGGTGCACTCGTCAAAATACCTTTTAAACGGGCTCTGTATTTCTGTATCACCCTGTATTATTATTGATTACTAGTATAGAAAGAGACACATCTGCCTGCATTTATTTCAGGTTGCCAGTGGAGATGTTGTGGGATGGTTTGAGCCATTCTCCCCAACTGCTGTAAATTTTATTGCATGTAAGACCGGAAACCCAGGATATCCAGATGCTCACATATGGAAGATTAGCATCCCATTCAAACATTCCACTTTTATAAAACCACAGACTCAATTTTTGTTTTCCAAGCGATATTGTATTATTTCTTCTATTGGTTTAAAACTAGGGCCAATTTCTTGATAAAATAAATCTGTTTTGATATACTTTTAACTGCTGTAGGCTTTTTTATTTTCTCTACGTAAATTAAATTGCACTGACAAAGAAAGCATCACTAACATTAACCCTTTAAACAATATGCAAATATTTTCCTAAAATGCTTATTTCGTTAAAGGCCCCATGCAAAGGTTAAACATATAAGTTAATCATTCAAATATTACCTTACATGACTTATAAACCAATTTACATTTTTGGAAAATCTGCCTTTTAAAATATTAATTGTCTTAATATGTTAAAATATTCGAATTTCCCGCCTTTTTAGAAATAAAAGTTTAGACTTTACATTATCAAATACAACACAAACAGTTGTAAATCACACTATTTTCTCTATTCCATTATATTGATCAGGCAGGAGTCATATTCTCTCGAATCAATGAGTTCATGCATATAAAAACTTTAGAAGCATGGTATGATGTCACGATGATACATACGTAGTGTATCTTCAGCAAAATCTTTTTTCAAAAATTACCAATTTTTTCTCGTACAAATATTTTTTTAAATATGCCAAATGTTCAGATTGAAGCAATATTGGTCTATCCAAGTCAAAAGTATATTTTTTATCATGCTTTGATTTTTTATACCATTGGATTAAATGGATTAGAATGTTTTTTCTCTGAACCACTTTATCTTGCTTATGACAGATGAGTTAAATTCTTGCTTATTTTTCGACTAAATTTCTTAATATTTTTAACACTAATAGGTTAGGATGTATGTTATGTGTTGGTGTAAATTATTATTAATTATTATTAATTCATGTACGTGACAACTGGAGTTGATATGAAACAAATTCACAACTCTTTTAACAAAAAGTTCTTAGTCAAAATCAACCTTTTGAAATTAAATTGAAAAGTTAGTCACTTATACTCATAAGACAAAGACTGTAAGTTGTTAACTTTATTTGGGGCTTTTAAATCAAACAGAGACATATAAAACATATTTATACACTCCGAAATCAAATGAAATAATCTAGTCTGCATTGGGTTCATCATTTGCAGACAGCCTTCCCCGTTGTGTGTCCAGTAACGACAGAAGTTAAAGTTATTGAAAATGGGGCTAGCAGTCAACGTGTACGTTTTCGTTTACTTGCAGTCCACTAACCACTACGGATCATGTTTGAGTATGTCCCCTGCACGAAATATTTCTGTAATGACACACTTTTTGTAGGGGTGCTATTTTTGTCAATAGAAAATAAAAGGAGGCCTTTATTTTAACTGGGGCCATTATCAACTCAATCAATGGTATCAACTAGGTAAATGCACTTTCATTTTTTATCCAATTGCTATCTACATGTACGTTTGTACTACAAATCATGTTACTAAGTACATGTAACTAAAGCTAATTATTTAGCTAATGAATAAATTAAGTTACGTGATCCTTTGTTTTGTACACACGTTACTAGCCATTGGATACTGGATACTTTGGCCTTTTTGGTCAATCAATTGATAAATTAAATTTAGTAACGTAATTCTTTAAAAAATTGGTTACATTGTGTTTAGTTTTGTACAAACATCACTTACATGGATACATCAGCACCGTGATTAGAACCTACGCTTGGGTTTGTAAATTGTGGGTTATATCATACGTGTCGGATTCTATCCCCAGATTCTATCACGAGTGTTGAAAGCTGAGGCCCGGTGTAAAAGGGTAGGAGGTCCTATCAAATTATGGTCCTACTCTTTGATTTATATGGTGATAAATACAACTCTTTCCCTTATTATCTTATTAACAATCAGGGCCAGTAAGGGCCGTTTAGAAAGGGGACCATAATCCCCAGGGGACCATAATCCCCAGGGGACCATAATTTCTTTCACACCGGGTATATACTCCCAATTGAAAAATAAAACTAATTACCAACTTATTACCAACTAATTTACAACTAATTATCAACAATTCTGCTGGCAATTGGAATTAAAGTTAAGCGTTAATTAAATCAATGATAATTATGGCCTAATAGTAAGTTAGGTGATAATTGGAGATGATTTTCCATAGGCTTTTTTCAATTGGGCTGTCAAAAAATAAGTCTTATTCTTATCCAGCTTATAAAAATCAGTCTTATTCTTATACAGATAAGTAATCTCTAATAAAGTATAATATACTCAGTATAATATACATGTATACACCACGCATTAACAACTCTGTACACTAGGACATTTTAAACATTTTTAACGTATTCCTGGGTCTCAGGTTGAAAGTGCCGTCAAGTGGCCGGTCGTTCATGCCAGAAATTAGAGCATGCCATATTTAAAGTTTTATCAACGTTTGAACTACCAAAATGGTTTTCACGCAGTTTAAATATATCAGTCACGTGACCTTTAGATATTTGAAACTCGGTCAGTTTATTTATTTATTTGAAGATCGATAAAATGTATTTATTTACAAGTGTAATACGTTAACAATGTCATCAAATAACGATAAGTAGAAAAACATCACGTTACGCTGGAAACAGTTAGATCTTAAGGTAAGTTGTCTCCGAAATTTGAATTGTTGAATTTTTTTGAAAATTATTTTTCACTTTTTTCATTATGATTGATCGTCCATCACTTTGATAAGCCTAGTGTAGTTAGTCAAGTGAACTCGACGTAATGTTTGTTGTTTCACATTACTCTTTGATATGAATATTTGTTTTTTTAGATTTTATCAACATTAGATCGACAAGATTAGGGGAGATGGTCGAAATAGCCCCATGTCAAAGTAACCTCATACATCGAAGTTTGATGCATCTCCCCCAATCTTCAAAATTGTTTTGTTGAACCATCACCTTAACCCAGATAATTGGGGATTGAACCAAATCAGATAAGTCTCAGTGTCACGCGGTACTAACTTCGACCGTTTAATTTGAATTTTTACCTACGGGATGTTTGAAAATCAAGGATTACGAGTCTCGTACTGCACCGTTTTTCTTCAAACTTGTTCTTCTTCTTCTATTAGAGTACAGACTCCTCTTTAGGATATTTCGTACTATGTGTGCTTGCATGCGGTGTATATTTTTTTTTTCTTTTTTTTTTTCAATACTTAAATGACATTGAAATACTAATAAAATCTTATCAAAGTGCGGTGCGGTGTATATACAATTGTAGTGTGAGTGTGCATTAAAATGTCTAAAATCGTTTTAAAATCGTCATCACTTAGTACGAAAGCATCACACTCCCTGCCTCCTTCTTAAAAATGTCCAGGGAATCGATCATGGCTACATTTGCTGGAAGAAGGTTCCATAGTCGTATGGTTCCATTCAAAGAATAACAAAAATCCCTTTCTGTTGGTACATTTTTCTCCTAAACAGAGTCCCTACTTCCAGCGGCATTTTGGTCCCCAGCTGTAAGAAGGCCTTCTAACAGCTGGGGACCAAAACGCTGCTTGAACGAGGGACTCTTTACAATAAAGAAGTCCTTGATTTTCGAGCATCTGATAGGTCAAAAATTCAAATTAACGGTCGAAGTTAGGACCGCGTGAGTGTGCAAGACGTGCCTGAAACCAAATTGTAATAAAACATACAAAACACTGGCGGATCCAGAACCTAGCAAGGGGGGGGGCATATTTCAAGTCGGCACTTAAATGGCTGCTTGCACAGAAAAAAATTTGGGCCCCTAAAATCAAAAATTGGGCATAAATTTTGAAAATTTAAGGCCTATTTTTGATTATTATTTCACCACCAAGAAGTGGTGACATCTTGTTATGATATGGCGATCGGCGTCCGTAACAAATTCTTACAACTTCCAATAACTTAACAAATACTGTAACACTGATATCTTCAATTTTTTTCAAAATCACCTACAAGTTTTCAGAAGTTCAAATCTGACTATATTTAAGATTTGACCTTCAATGACCTTTTCAGGGTCAAAAAGGTCTTTTTCAACTTGCTTCAAATTGACCAATTTTTTTCAAAATTAACTACAAGTTATCAGAAGTTCAAATCTGGCTTTAGATTTGAGATTTGACCTTCAATGACCTTCTCAAGGTCAAAAAAGGTCTTTTTTCCAACTTTCTTCAAATTGACCATTTTTTATCAAAATCATCTGCAAGTTCTCTAAAGTTCAAATCTGGCTTTTGATTTGACCTTCAATTAAATTCTCAAGGTCAAAAAAGATTTTACCTTCAATACTCAAGGTCAACAAGGTCTTTTTTCAACTTGCTTCAAATTGACCAATTTATTTATTCAAAATTATCTACAAGTTCTCAGAAATTCAAATCTGACTTAAGATTGAACTCATAATATTATGAGCAACTAGGTGGTGACATTTTGTCATGTTAATGCCTTGTTTGGCTTAAAAAGGGCTTAAGAGGCCAAGTTACAGTATGTCCTAAATGGCCCATTTTTTGAGGCCCTCCAAAATTTTGGGTCCAAAAATTTTTGGGGGCCCTTAAGATTTTTTTTGTGCCAACCTTAGGGGTCTTCCCCCCTGAATCCGCCAGTGCAAATATACACTGTATCACAGGACACTGAGGACAGTGTACTGGATGTCTTGAGAACTAGCCAAGATACATATATTATTATCTACAAAATGTTTTGATACTTAAAGGGATCCAACACCTTACAAAACTTCTTAACGGAGAGGAATAAGGGAAAATGCTTGCCGGATTCTGAATCTGTGTATTTTTTAATGATTTTTCACCGTCTTAGAATTTCAATTTTTTTCCTTTGAAAAAATGAGATTTGCATTGTTTTCCAATTAGAAAAATGAGTAAACATGAATAGCTCGAAATCTAACGGTGAGATTTTGTTTTAAAAAATCATGGATATCAAGGCTAAATATAGCTATACAGTAAACATAAAAAAGCAATGCTTGGACTCTTCATATTCACACAAAAAATTAATTAGTAAATGAGGTTTGATATTTGTGAGAATAAGTTGTACGAGGTGCAATGCTCTACAAACACCAGACTACAGGGTGGATTAGGATCAATGACACACATAAAAATTAATTTAAAAATATTTCATGATAATTATCTCAAACAAAAGCAGTTAGCGAAGGATACGTTTCATTACACTCAATAATAGTTATCATTTTTGACTATATATACATATCTCATGGAAATGTATTTCCATCTGCTCAAGATATCATATTTTAGCTTCGAAAATCACAATCGTTGGATAATACATTTGTCTCAGAATGATAGGCCACCCTGTAGCAATGTAGCTTTCACTTGAAGTGTACCCTTGAGAATAATGAACTTACTTTCAAATTGGTCTTGCTTTTGTGGTGTATGTTGCTTTTTAGCAAATCTGCCACGCTCATTTCTTTCCAGAACCATCTTGTTCAAATGTATCACTATATTATACGCGCATGTATAGACAGATGACATAGATATACATATAAATTATTTATTATGCACCTCATTAAAATACTCAAATCTGATTGGTTCTTGGTTGCTTGTAATTTGGCAATACTCTGCTCTTTTCTGAAAACTGCCGGATATTTTTTTTAATATCTGACCCTTTCGAGAAAAAGGGTCGGATACTTTTTTCAATGTTTTTGCAACATTCCCACTTCAGAGTTTTATTTCTTAATAATTGGAGTACTACTTAAAGAGAGAATCAGATATAGCGAGCAGGCTAAACAAAAAATTGTTTCAATTTTAGAATATTATTGGCTCATGTCATTCCTTGTCATGTCTATTTTCTAAAAATCACAAAAGTGCATACTTTATTCCAGGAAAACTAAAGATTTTTACAATAATGTATTATTTTTCTATAAGGATGGTAACCATTCTTATAATTTGGGAGAATTTAAACATTTTTCACTCATTTTTGCACTTTGAATCATTAATAACTTCACCAATTTATAACATATTGTGAATCTTTTGGGAGATATTGTATTTGATATTGTAAGGAATAGATAATTGGTAGGTCAATTATACATGTTGCTTGTAATTTTGTCACCCCCTATAGATCAGATTCTGCCTTTAAAGCTTACATCTGAAACTGGCGGAAAATAGAAGAAGAAAATGCACTTAATCAATCACAATTACCCTTATCATTCAAAAGTTACATATAATTCTGCAAGAACGTCTCGAATAAATAAAAATTAAATTCCTGGGGCAAATATTTTCGTCCAGTGTAGCAAATAAACTGGCCGGAAGTTGTCTGAGTTTTGAAAGTATTTGTTTAATATTGCACCTGTATTTACTTACATGGGAATATATTCCCTTATGGAAAAATGCAAATGCATGAACATATATTTTCACCTTATATATGACTATCTAAAATGCTGATGAGGGACGGAATGATTTTTTTCTATAACTGTAAAAACAAATAACTAATTTTGAAGGAAATAAACTGAGTTTATGTTGAATTTATATGTTGAATTTAGCCTACTTTACTGGTATATTTGATCATATATCAGTACCACGATATTGTCAATTATCCTGATCCATAAAAAGTAAAAAAAAGTGTTTCACACGCCATGGATGTGCGCGAGGTACAGTGTTTTTTCTCAGAAATGGCAGAAAAAAGGTGGAGGGGGATTGGGCCACGCGCGGGCAAGAATGAGAAACAACTAATTTAATTACCCTAACCTTAGTTCATCCAGTAGTATGTTTTTACTGAAAGGTAGTGTTTTTATATGCAGCTTAATAGCATAAAATATGTTGAATGAAGCATATGGTGTGGATTAGTCGTGTGACACACAAACTGACCAATACATGAGGGTATTAGCTACTTTTCACATAAACCAAAGGAGGACAATGCTTTTATTTCAACTGGGAGCTTACCTCCACACGACTGATCATGTGACCATGGTGGTGGTCCCCTTTAACAGTGTATATATAGTGATATATCAGGAAATGCTATGATGTTGTCTTGTTTCTATACCAATTATTTGAATCAGTGAATGAGCATAAATGAAAACTTGACAGACTTCTGGATGCTTACAAACATTTTACACACTCGACCCCTTCTAATTCTTTTAAATCACAGCCATCTAACAATGTGAAGATTCATACATACTAGAATTCTGTGATTCCGGGTCGCCGCAGAAAAACCACTGAATTTTGGGTATCAAAATTTTTGCAGAATTAGATTTTATTTTTGCGGAAAACTTGATTTTTCCAGTCAACCATCTCACCTCATATTTTTCACTCAACTTGACACCCTGTAATCAAATACTGGTGGTTTGAGGATTTCCAAGGCAAAATGTTATTATTATTATTATTATTATTATTATGTCGCTTTTTCCAATTTCTCCAAGCTTGCTCCAGTGAACTTGAAGATTTCATCTAATATGTCACGAAATTTGAATTCCCTACAATTTTGTGATAGTTCAGATGAAGCCATTGTTTGCAGAATTTATTCCGGAATATGGGATTTCATGGAGAATTTTACTTTTCATGCAGAATTTCTGTGATTTTCTGAAATTGGGATTTCATATAATACATCATCACAAGAGCTTAAATGCACAGAATCAACGACGATAAGGTCCCATGAAATGAGAACGAAGTGATTGTAGTTGGTAGTCGGTGTAACAATGTTCTCTGCAGGATTTTTACTCAAGTGGGTGCAAACTTCTCATTTTCATAATTCAGACCAAAATTGGCCCAAACATGCCAATTATTTCATGATTTTTCTCATTTCCAACTGGGTGCAAATGGATTTTCAGGTGGATGTAAGCCTGTTTTTAAAATCTCAGGTGGAGGGTGCTGCTGCCACTTGCTTTAATGGTAGGGAGATCACTACAATTACAAGAAACAAACAATCATTTTTTTACATATTGATAGATTAATTAATTTTATTTTCAAAACAGCATCATCTTTCAGTTTACTGATACCATCATGCTTGGTGATTGTTAAAAAAGATTTACAACGAAAAAGATAGGAAGTAGATACTCCACCAGAGAGGGTTTAAAACTAATCCTTGCCATGGTATAAGAATAATCTGAGACACATTAATACAATGTTTGCCCGTATCTTCAAATAAAACATATCACTGAATACCTCATGGGTAAACTATGGAGGAGTTATTTGCAACAAAATACCCCATATCTGGAACAGCACACTCTTTTATTGTGTTATATTGAATGTACTCAATAACTTACATGACTGACAAACTGCATACAATTTCAGATGAGTGTTAGTCTATCAGGACCGATTGGTCCCCATTCTGGGTATGGGGTAGATGGCAGGGGTGGGGACTACAACACTAAACCTGCCCCTAGGGTTAGACCAGAGGCTCAACATATTGCCACTCAACATCAAGGATCAGTGGGGAACCTATTTGAGCTGCAAGGAACACGCATAGGAATCTCACAGTACAGGCCTAGTATGTGTTTGCAATTATGTTAACATTATTATGTCACCACCACATTTTTTAGCAGTTTGTATTTGGAGGTTCATATAGAAAAAATAGATCACTTTTCAAATCAGTTTTCAAATCAGTTTCTAGGAATGAAATCTAAGATTGATATCCATATGGTTTGCTCTTAAACCAATTATTGAAAACATTCTGACAGAATTTCTGTAAAAAAACACGCTCCTTTATGTAATGTTGACTGATTGACAACAATTTAATGCGAAAATTATTTATATACGTTTTATATAATTTTTTTTAGTTGAGAATGAAATAAAATATCTTTATGAACCTTGTTGGAACAAAATAGCATGTACAACATTTTCTTAGGCCTATCAATATTATAGTCATACAAAGGAAATTTTGGTTGATTTAAAAAAAAGTATTCAAAAATTAGAACAAAAACCCCCAAAATAGATAAAAATTAAGATAAGTCTTTTATTTCATCATTAAACAAGTTACTTTTTGAAATCAACCAAACTTTCCTTTGTACAATTACAATATTGAAAGACCTAACACGTTGTGTTTATGTCGTTTTGTTCCAATGAGGTTCAGATAGATGTTTCATTTCATTCCGAACATATGATACCAAGAACAAAAGAAGTGACTGATGTGTTTTCTAAAACAATATAGAGAAAAATATATATTTATTTTTCAAATTATATTGTTACCATTCAAAAGATGACCATTAAATTACTCAGATGCGAGTAGGTAGTTACCAGTTTCGCCACCAGGTGGCTGATTCGGGGAATTAACATGGCAGGGTATTACAAAATTCCCTTAAACTTGAATATGCATCAGTTTTAGTGATTCACTTTTCATATTACCCCTGTGTATCTGATAGTTATACAAATTAAAATATGTCCAGTAAAAGAAAATATTATCTGCCCAACACAAGAAAAAATATTTCACTTTTTGTGGTTTTACAACATGGGGTCTATGGGGAATCTCCCCGACCTAGAAGTCACATTTTCAAAGAAAATTAAATTTTCAGAGTTGATTAACTCTTTTCAAAACTTGAATTTTGAATTTTTAAAGACGTAAATCAAGATTATTTCTACTCACATCTGGGATATTGACAATGTCTAAAGTGAAACTGGTTTAAGTGAAACGTGTGTTCAAAAAGTTCACCATATCGATACCAATCCTTTCAAAGCTCCTATCATTTGAAGTAATATATGGGCACATTTTCTGAAAATTCAAAAGAACAATTTCAAAAATACATTTAGTACAACTTTTAACCAATTTTCAGTCACATTTTTAAAGGCTCAAAAGGCTATTTCATGATGTTTAGGGTCACTCTGACCTTGCCCATTCTGATCCTTATCATGTAAATAATATGTGGAACTTGTAAAACTGACTGGTTAAAACAGAAATCTGTTATCCTAGTTCAAAAGATTTAAAAAATCCAGAATGTTTTTGTGACTTCCTGTTTTGTCACTTCCTGTTAACTACCTTGAGACGTCGGTTGACTGACTTTAACCGGTTAAAACCCTCAGTTCACCGGTCAATGTACAAGCTGTAAATTGACACCACTAGTACATTCTCATTGTTCTAACATTAATATTTAATTAACATGATTTTCTTGTGAAGAGTAAATGTCAATATTGTTCTTTGCACTCAAAAATCAATCTTTATTTCCTCAAAAATCAATTATTTGCCCAAAAACCAATCTAATATATATATGATGGTGACATAATGATATGATTTTATTGATTTCTCCTCGACAATTTCACACAATATCAACCAAGGAACAAACCATTTTCTCCAGTAAATGTATGAAAATAAAGAATAGTTGTCATCATGTTCATTTCAATAGGTTATCAATTGAGGGTTTGCACAATGTACATGCAATATTATACTTCTTGCCACACCAGTACCAGTATGCATGTACAGGGTGTCCAATAAATAAGGTGAAAGATATTGTAACTTTCTGAATATTGCACCAACCTTGATGAAATTTTCAGAGTTTGTAGCCCAAACCTTTTTATCTTTATTCTGTGAATTTCAAGCGTCTTCTATTTGATTGGCCAGAGTTGTGGTTGCTATAGCAACCGAAACAACAAAAAGGCGGGGCAAGTTTATTTACGTCACAACTTTTCAAAACATTTTTATTTTTTCTGATAGCTTTATTCATACTCCCAGGTCTATTACTACAACAAATACAATATAAAAACAGTCCTAAAATCTGATTGTTATGAAAATAAACTATTCAACAGACATGTAATGTCCATCTCTAGCTATACACTTCTTATGCCTATTCAACCACTCTCTAAACACACTTTCAAACCCATTCTTGCCTATTTCCTGAAGTCTTGCTAAGACATGTGATCTGAGTTCACACACAGCTATGCTCACTAGTGAAACTATTAGGGCACTGGGGCTACCCCTACTTGCACACCCTCCATATTCCCCAGACCTTGCACCCAATGACTTTTACTTATATGCAGAACTCAAACGTGACTTGAGAGGAAATAAATTTGGAAGCACTGATGAACTCAGATCACATGTCTTAGCAAGACTTCAGGAAATGGGCGAGAATGGGTTTGAAAGTGTGTTTAGAGAGTGGATGAAAAGGCATAAGACATATAAGAAGTGTATAGCTAGATATTTACATTATGTTGTGCTATACATTATGTTATGCTTATTTTCATAACAATGGGACTTTAGAACTTTTTATATTGTATTTGTTGTATTTGTGGTAGTAATAGACCTGGAAGTATGAATAAAGTTATCAGAAAGAATAAATATGTTTTGGAAAGTTGTGACGTAAACAAACTTGCCCCGCCTTTTTGTTGTTTCGGTTGCCATAGCAACCACAACTCTGGCCAATCAAATAGAAGACGCTTTAAATTCACAGAATAAAGGTAAAAAGGTTTGGGCTACAAACTCTGAAAATTTCATCAAGATTGATGCAATATTAAGAAAGTTACAATATCTTTCACCTTATTTATTGGACACCCTGTATATCCCGTTTCAATACTAGATTTAATCCCACATTTCCATGAATAATTAATTTAAATCTGTATGCAGTTTTGTAATTTCGACAATTAATAATTGGAAATGTCAAAATCTTGCAACATGTTTCAGACATATGTTGCACATTGAGTTAATTGAACTAAAACATTTGGTATTCGCACTTTACTCATCTAAATCCATGCTTTCACCTGCAACTTGAAGTGCTATCTTATACATATTTCCTTTATTTTAAAACAAAGTCAAACTATTTTTTACATATTTGTATTTCAAAAGTTGTTTTGGCCCACCCTGTACATGTGTATGACTGTTGGTGTTTTAAATAAAGGATTTTTGAATGTTAACCTAAAATACATTCACTGAAAGTAGCATGTTGCATGATCATTTTTCTTTTGTTCAATATCAAATTAAATATTTATTCTGGATATTGTTTTCAGGTTCCTTCTTTAATAATTACCTTCATCAGTCACATGAATTTTTTTGAGACCAACAATTAATGTATTCAAAGACAGTCTCTGAACCCCCCCTGTCCTGTTCACCTCTGTAGAGTGGGGGGGGGGGGGTACGAGTACTTGAAGCTAGACTAGACAATTATTAAACTGCATGTATATTGGAGCAAGATCCTGATTAGGAAATAACCATGACAAAAAGCTGACTGATATATTTTTATTTTATTTTTATTTGAATCGCTTTTGATAAAGTGGAACACATACAGTGTACAGGGTGTTCCATAATGACAGTCCCCTCTGTATATGGTTCTTCCAGACATTTACATAAACAATACTGTTTACAATACATTATTATCTCTGTAGAGATGATGATGTGACACATACCTACATGTGTCAGTGTCCGTTTCATCCTCCGATCCCTATCCCAGGTTTTACTGTTTCCTCTGGGCAAAATACTATTTGAAGTTGGAGTTAATTTTAGCCAACATTTTGCTACATGTTACACAGTCATAACATGATGAGCTATTCTGTTTGTAATGATAACATTTGCAATGTGGTCACACAAAACATTTACAAACATTGATAACATTTATCCTATCCCACAGAGTCTGCACCTAAAGATCACATGAAGGCAAATGCTCGCCGGATGCGCCAGATACAACGGGCCAGTAAACAGAGAGAGGAAGAATCAAATAAGCCTGTTAAAGCTATGTGGAAGTCCACAAAATATGACACTGTGCAATCAAAAGTTGGTGAAGAATTAAAGGTGAGATTATTTTCTTGATACGTGAGCAACTTCCACCTTCAGTCACAGTCTCATTGGTTTTGAAGGCATCGTCACATTATCAGTTGTTCATACCCTTCGACTGATTTTCCATTTGTTTGCTGTTTTGAAATCTCAAATCTGTCATCTTTTCTTGTCTTTGCATTTCCAGACAAACCGCTTGATAGATTGATTTCAAACTTTCGGGAATGCTTTTTGGCATTTATGATTAGTTCTTGGGCATACTGGAGAATTTAAGGTTGCTGTTATTGATTTATGGGCAGATGTTTTCTGTGTGCCTTGATTTGATCATCCTGGATTTAGCGGGTACTGTATATACACTTGCATACATTGAATGTTTCATCATTAACTTGCAGAAAGAGCCTCCAGCCCCAAGACCCAGCTCCGCTAACTATCTTCGTGCCCACTCACGGACAGGAAGTGTAGATGGTAGCCGAGGAATTCGCACCCCATCCCCCGCTCCCAGCCGTCCATGTAGCAGAACTTCCAGTGTAGAGAGATTAGACATACCTAGAGCAGAGAGTGCTATGGATGTAAGAAAAAATTTTCTTATTCACATCAACTTTTTTAAGAGTTTAGAAATAGCTGCTAGAGTTTTGAATTGCCTCCACTTTTTCATAAAAATATAAATAATGTAAACACAATTACTCAGATGCGAGGTGATAGTTACCAGTTTTGCCACCAGGTGGCTGATTCGGGGGAAATAACATACAGCAAGAAAAGATATTTCACTTTTTGTGATTTTACAACATGGGGTCTATGGGGAATCTCCCTGACCTAGAAGTCACATTTTAAAAGAAAATTAAATGATGAACTCTTTTCAAAACCACATTTGTAGATGTAATGTAGATTCCAAATATCACATCAGGTTGACTGAATTTTTAAGTTTTTAATGACATAAATCAAGATTATTTCTAATCGCATCATCGTCTGTTACCAGATGTCAGAATTTGTTCAGATTCTAAATTCTGATGCCGTATGGGCATATGACTTAGCTCATTTTCAAGAATTTCCAAGATGCTGAAATGCCTGGTTATCATGTAATTTTCATGAACAAGGGTGGTCAAAAAAAACGGCAACCCTAATTTTTCCTCATATCTTTGTCATTTTTTGAAATTTTGCCCTGATATTTGGCACACATGTACATCATTCAATTTCATACTAGGCTGTGTTATTTCATGAACATTGTACTGATAGTCGCAATGTTACAGCACTTTAAACAAGGTGTCCCAATTTTCCAATATCGTGCTGTAGGCAAACCTGCACACATTTTCCAAACCTGTCAATGACATAACTGCATTCCTCAGCAAGTATGGCCTGAACGAGACATGTGATCTTTATTTTGAGGTCAAATGTCTTTCTGGTGTTATTACCCTACACTCTATCTTTGGGGTATCCCCACTGGTAAAGCTTAAATAGGGCCATATCTGGGCTATGGGGTGCCCATTCATTGTCTGTTGTACTGCTGATAATGTGGTCATTGAAGTGGTCCCAAAGCCATTATTGTGCATCATTTGGTGTATGGGGTATGGTTCTGTCTTGTTGGAACCACTAACTGTTGCTGCCTATCAACCCCCCTGGGTTCACCTAAAGTCCTCAAGAACTCCATGGGGATCACAAAATAGAGTTTGATGTTGACAGTTATTGTATATCCGTTGATATCATCAAAGGTAAAGGACCCTATCTTCTGAGAACACACTAAACTGTGCATTTGTCTGTGAGGGTGCCTCTCCACTACTTCATCAAGTGCTTGGCTCCCCAAGAATACATAATTTTTACCAGTGCATCAAGTTGGAAATGGAGTTCATTTGAATAACAGACCAGCTCAGACAGCCCGAAAGTGGCCATATGGGGCATGTTGTTTAAAATGCAGTAATGTTGTGACTATCAGTTTGATGGTCATGAAATATGGTAGGTTGGTAGGAAATTGAATGATGTACAAATGTATAAAATATCAGGGAGTTATTTCTTAGAATGACAAAGATATTAAAAAAAACTAGGGATGCCATTTTTTTTACCATCCTGTAACTGATCAGTGATATGTTTAGTTTGGTGGCATCTGCTATTACAGGGTATTGCTGTTTTCTCCTGGTTGTTCTGCACTCTTAAATATAGAAAGCCAATAATTTTCTTTGCAGGTGAAGTTGATTCGCAGAGACGTAGATTTCGTGAAAGCAAATGGACGTGCCGTGAGAAAACCACAAATAAAGCGGGCTCCAAGTTTAACAGCACTAGATGATCTCAAGAAAAAGAAAGAAGAAGATGAAAAAAATTACAAAAGAGGTGTTATGCCTAAATAGTAAGTGCACTTCACGTAAAGTGACTAGAAACTGAAAAGAGAAAAATAAGATCTAAAATAAATTAGTGAGAAAATATACTAGCTAGTCAACAACCTCACCTCACAACATGTGGTATACTAAATACAAAAGATAAAATCTACAAAATTTGAAGCTGGCAAAACAGGAACCCTATTATATTCTGAAACTATATAGTATGCATCTTAACGTTCTCTAATCTGCCAAACATTAGGATATTGTAGAACTATATGATAATTAAATTGATTATTGAAATTTCCTCTTCAGTTTAGTAAACCGCCATAAAGAATGGGACCGTGCAGAACAAGAGAGGATCGCTAATATGCCTGACCCAGACTGTCCTCCAGGGCACCACAAGATGCCAGATGAAGAACGCAAGAAGACCCTCTCTCTTCTTCGAGACAGTAAGTAATAGTGAAATGAATGCACTCAATCCAACGGAGGAGGTCTCATAAAGCTACGCATTGTCATTTATCTGTAGAATGATCAATGTATTCTGATGTTTTCAAAAGGGATGATGCCTAAATAATTATGGATGAACAAAGTTCAGTTTTTAAGGGAGGGGTGGGCAATTGAAGATATCATAAGTGTGAGAATCTTCCTGAGAATGTTAATCAAATATTTTGTGCAGAATTTCCTATTTTTATATTTGTGTCATTCTGATTTATTCTGTAGCATGGCAAACAAAGCTTTTAAGCATATGTGAAGTATTTACACCAGTAATATGCTATCTTAAAGTTTTATTTCATTCCTTGTGAAAGGCCTGTCACACTTCAGAAGTGCAATGTGAGATTACCATACTGCCCACTATATTGTACATTCAGTCAGGTGTTACTTCAGAACCATCATATTTTCCTTTGTTTCTGTTTTCAGAGGAGAAGTCATATATGCAGCAACTATCTGCCCTCCCGGTACGAACAGACACTTTACGAGTGCGAACTCGCAAGGATGAGTTAGACAAAAAACTGACTGAAATTGAAGAGGCTATAAAAGTATTTAATAGACCTAAAGTGTTTGTGAAAGATTAGATATTCATTTCTGATGTAAAGTATGTAAAAATCCCTCCATGACTTATGCACGTTCTCAGTGTAAGGTTGAAATCCCCAGTCCTGAGTCAACAGTATTTTCATTGTTGTATCTGTACCCTTATAAAAAGATCAATGGTATTCAATGTGTTTTGTCATGTTGCTTACAACATTGAACCGTGGTAGTACTCCCATTGATACAACCACTGTTACAATGTATGCTAATAAAAGAATTGTGGTTGAAATTGGTTGTTAACCATTGTTTCAACAACACTGACAATACAATGTATCCCTACTGTGAATCTACCATAGATCTACCATGGAAACTGCCATTGTAATAACAACTAAGCCATTGTTGCTTCAATCAACTGTTCTACAATGGTTCAACTACCATTTTAATGTGATTTAAAATGTTTAATGTTGAAGATTTTTATTCTGGCATTCCAAAAGATGGCATTGCTAGTTTCTCCACATTTACATCATAGTTTAGTGAAGAATATTGAGCCTATTTTGATGATAGTGAGACACAAATAAATTAGCTTATTTAGGGCTGTTATTGTAGCCATATATGAATAAAATCAATTTAAATAAAATGATCTTGAAACCCTGATCCTCTCCTTTATGACTAAACCAAAACACTTAAATCTGTAAATTGTAGCATTCAGCATGAGAAGTTCATTAGAACAATGACAAAAACTAACCCTTATAAGTATTTGATTTACAGTTAAATGATTATTCAGCTTTTTAATACTTTCACATACACATCATTCTGATGGTGGTGGTGGTTTGGATATCTTCACTATTCAAATCCATATTTTGGAATAGAGATATTATTGAAATTCAGAATTGAGAATTTTTATGTTTTCACATAATACTACATTATGTGTATGGTATATCTTCACTATTTCCGCCATTTCATAGATACATGCATGGGTCTGTTGAAAGCCCATGATACGTGTAAACATAATTGTTTGAATGTAATTCTTGCTGTTCATATTGTTGATTACATTTACAATTGTTTGCATCAGAGGAGGGATACGTATTCTAGATTATAGTTATGATTAGAATTTAAAATTGAGAATTTCAATATTTTCGAATATCGTACATCATGCCTTTGGTAGATCTACCATTGTTTCTACAGTTGCAGAAACCGTGGTTGTTTGAATATAATTCTCCATGTTCAATTTCATATTCTAGATATCAGATATGATTAAAATTGAAAATTGAGATATTTATATTTTCAGATATACTACATCATGCATTTTATAGATCTACCATTGTTTCTACTGTAGCAGAAACAAATGTAGTTTGAATATAATTCTCATGTTCAATTTCATATAAGATATCAGTAAAATGATTATAATTTAAAATTGAGAATATTTATATTTTCAGATGTACTACATCATGCCTACAGTAGATCTACCATTGTTTCTACTGTAGCAGAAACAATGGTAGTTTGAATATAATTCTCATTGTTCAATTTCATATTCTAGATATCAATTATGATGCTAATCTAAAATTGAGAATATTTATATTTTCAGATGTACTACATCATGCCTACAGTAGATCTACCATTGTTTGTACTGTAGCAGAAACAGTGGTAGTTTGAATATAATTCTCTTTGTTCAATTCATATTCTAGATATCAGTTATGACGCTAATCTAAAATTGAGAATATTTATATTTTCAGATGTACTACATCATGCTTACAGTAAATCTACCATTGTTTCTACTGTAGCAGAAACAGTGGTAGTTTGAATATAATTCTCATTGTTTAATTTCATATTCTAGATATCAGTTATGATTATAATTATCCTATGGAACCAAGTTCTGAGGGATATAGGGAACGCCTCTGTCTGTCCGTCCGTTCGTACGTCTATAACAGTTATGATTGTTCAATTTCATATTCTAGAATCTAGATATCAGTTATGATTGTAATTTAAAATTGAGAATTTTTATATTTTCAGATGTACTACATCCTTCCTATAGTAGATCTACCATTGTTTCTACTGTAGCAGAAACAGTGGTAGTTTGAATATAATTCTCATGTTCAATTTCATATTCTAGATATCAGTAAAATTATTATAATTTAAAATTGAGAATTTCTATATTTTCAGATGTACTACATCATGCCTACAGTAGATCTACCATTGTTTCTACTGTAGCAGAAACAGTGGTAGTTTGAATATAATTATCATTATTCAATTTCATATTCTAGATATCAGTAAAATGATTATAATTTAAAATTGAGAATTTCTATATTTTCAGATGTACTACATCATGCCTACAGTAGATCTACCATTGTTTCTACTGTAGCAGAAACAGTGGTAGTTTGAATATAATTCTCATTGTTCAATTTCATATTCTAGATATCAGTAAAATGATTATAATTTAAAATTGAGAATTTCTATATTTTCAGATGTACTACATCATGCCTACAGTAGATCTACCATTGTTTCTACTGTGGCAGAAACAGTGGTAGTTTGAATATAATTCTCATGTTCAATTTCATATTCTAGATATCAGTTAATGATGCTAATCTAAAATTGAGAATATTTATATTTTCAGATGTACTACATAATGCCCACAGTAGATCTACCATTGTTTCTACTGTGGCAGAAACAGTGGTAGTTTGAATATAATTCTCATTGTTCAATTTCATATTCTAGATATCAGTTATGATGATAATCTAAAATTGAGAATTTTTATATTTTCAGATATACTACAACATGCCTACAGTAGATCTACCATTGTTTCTACTGTAGCAGAAACAGTGGTAGTTTGAATATAATTATCATTGTTCAATTCATATTCTAGATATCAGTTATGACGCTAATCTAAAATTGAGAATATTTATATTTTGAGATGTACTACATCATGCCTACAGTAGATCTACCATTGTTTCTACTGTAGCAGAAACAGTGGTAGTTTGAATATAATTATCATTATTCAATTTCATATTCTAGATATCAGTAATATGATTATAATTTAAAATTGAGAATTTTTATATTTTCAGATGTACTACATCATGCCTACAGTAGATCTACCATTGTTTCTACTGTAGCAGAAACAGTGGTAGTTTGAATATAATTCTCATTGTTCAATTTCATATTCTAGATATCAGTAAAATGATTATAATTCAAAATTGAGAATTTTTATATTTTCAGATGTACTACATCATGCCTACAGTAGATCTATCATTGTTTCTACTGTAGCAGAAACAGTGGTAGTTTGAATATAATTCTCATTGTTCAATTTCATATTCTAGATATCAGTTATGATGCTAATCTAAAATTGAGAATTTTTATATTTTCAGATGTACTACATCATGCCCACAGTACATCTACCATTGTTTCTACTGTGGCAGAAACAGTGGTAGTTTGAATATAATTCTCATTGTTCAATTTCATATTCTAGATATCAGTTATGATGCTAATCTAAAATTGAGATTATTTATATTTTCAGATGTACTACATCATGCCTACAGTAGATCTACCATTGTTTCTACTGTAGCAGAAACAGTGGTAGTTTGAATATAATTCTCATTGTTCAATTTCATATTCTAGATATCAGTTATGACGCTAATCTAAAATTGAGATTATTTATATTTTCAGATGTACTACATCATGCCTACAGTAGATCTACCATTGTTTCTACTGTAGCAGAAACAGTGGTAGTTTGAATATAATTCTCATTGTTCAATTTCATATTCTAGATATCAGTTATGACGCTAATCTAAAATTGAGAATATTTATATTTTCAGATGTACTACATCATGCCTACAGTAGATCTACCATTGTTTCTACTGTAGCAGAAACAGTGGTAGTTTGAATATTATTCTCATGTCCAATTTCATATTCTAGATATCAGTTAATGATTATAATTTAAAATGGAGCATTTTTATATTTTCAGATATACTACATCATGCCTTTGGTAGATCTACCATTGTTTTTACACTTGCAGAAACAGTGGTTGTTTGAATATAATTCTCATTGTTCAATTTCATATTCTAGATATCAGTTATGATGCTAATCTAAAATTGAGAAAATTTATATTTTCAGATGTTACTACATCATGCCTACAGTAGATCTACCATTGTTTCTACTGTAGCAGAAACAGTGGTAGTTTGAATATAATTCTCATTGTTCAATTTCATATTCTAGATATCAGTTATGGTGATAATTTAAAATTGAGAATTTTTATATTTTCAGATATACTACAACATGCCTACAGTAGATCTACCATTGTTTCTACAGTAGCAGAAACAGTGGTAGTTTGAATATAATTCTCATTGTCCAATTTCATATTCTAGATATCAGTAGTTATGATGATAATCTAAAATTGAGAATTTTTATATTTTCAGAATTAAAATATAGAATAATAACTAGAAATCAGCAAATCCATGGAGTAGCAAATCCCAACGAATACAATAGCCATACTTTGAAGAGATCAGAAAATTATTGTGAAATCCCACATTAGGCATCCCATTTTGAATTTTACAAGGCCCGAATCAGTACACAGGGAAATATGTTACTGAGTTCATTTTTCAAATACACGAATTCATAGATATTTCTTCCATCTTTGAGACATATTATTACTCCCCTTCCGTTCACACCCCTCCCTCCCCTCCCCTCCGTTCAATTTTAATAATAATTTTCAATAATTTTTATATAATGTATGGTAACATTTTTACAAAACCAAAGACGACAATAGTTTTGTGATAATAACTTTACCTACAAGTATTTATTACAGGTCATGTAGACCCCTGTTGCTTGATCTATAGCAAAAACATTGGCATTTGCACATTGGCAATGCTGTGCCTTTTTAATAGATCTTTTATCTTAGAAGTCCATCAGTTCAACAATGATTGTCTTTATAGGTATATAAAGCCCCCCCCCCTATAAAGTCAGCTTATTATCAAAGGAACTGTTTATTAATAACTTGATAAGGTCTCCACTTATATATTATATATTCTTTTTACTTTTATTGATAATATACATTATATGCATACATGTTAGCTTGTACATGTACTTGGTAAGACATATTTTGTTGGGCCATAAACTTAAACCAGTGTTCTAGAAAATAGGAACTGTATATGTATGCATTTGGTTTGA